AAACAAGGTGTACGAATTGACTCACCATACGAACATACGCATACTTGAACATATCCAGTCCCGCTGCATGTCCAAGCTGACTCTCCCCCCTCAGTCTCGTAAGCGCTTCAAAGCCCACCGTATGCGCACTAGTAAGCCCATGCCGATCCCCCGAGATATCCTCAAATAGAGATAGAATAACCAACGTCGCAAACGTCTCATCTTTCGCCGCCTCAAGCGGCAGATCCAGCGCCTCCTGCAGACGCCGCAGCGCCAACCCGAAGCGATATCTCGCCTGAGTCACAACACCCGGCACATTAACCCTGTTACTCAGGGCCATTAGGGCCGTCGCATCGACAGCTAACCGTAAAGACATCGATGCGGGGTTACCCACATTCTGATCTCGACAATCGGCATACAAAGACGGGAGGAACCCCAGATGTCCCATGCCGCCGAATGCATTACATTCGACAATGGTAAACTGATCGAAGAAATAGCAAATGGCTCTTTCTTCCCACGTGGCATCGCTGATCTGATAAGCGGACAATGTCGTCTTTTGGAGATCCTTGCCGCCGCCTGATACATCATGGCTGCTGGGCTGCGTTTGCGTTCTACTTGATGAGGAAGAGCAGGCTTTGGCCTTGTCATTCATCAGTTGTTGCACTTTGTGCGTTTCATTTCTGAAGATCCCATCCGATCGGTAGCCCGGACATGGCTTGCCGTATATGCCGCAGTTCCGGCATCCCGGACGGCCTTCATCGCACTGGGAGGGCGATTAGCGTGGGGTCCCACAAATAAATAGCATACTCATTGGGGTGAAATGGTATGCAAGGGACATGATCTGCTATGACATGTCAAGGCTGCAGATCTGTCCTACCTTGATTTTCCGTTTGCGACACAAGTGGCACCCCGTACTTGGCTTCCCGCCGTACACCATCTTCGTCTACTTGCTAGGGGCCCAGCTGTGGGATAGATCATGCAGTGGAAAAGACATAGATGAGGACAAATTTTGAGTGCTTCACGAAGCGAATAAACTAAATGCTTGATGGCGTCGTCGCAGCTGGTGCCTTGAAGGATTGACATAAGGAACCGTCGAATACGGGGTCTTGCCATTTTGAGGGGCCAGTCAGGTGATTTCCATTATCAACGAGAAACAACAACTACTGCAATCCCCCAACACAGCAGTACGACCGATGATCAACACCGTTCGTTTGACTGAGACATACGTAGTGATCTATTCTGGTCTCTATTCCTCTCTTCTCGGAGCCCTTTCGGGATACTTCTAACAACTGACTATCTGAACACAAAGAGAAAAAAACCCACCAAGGGAGACAAGGCACGCCGGGATGTCGCGGGTGAAAGGTAAGCTCAATGTCTTCGCTTTGTAGGACCAACAGTAGGAACACCAAATCTTCTGTAAATGGTAAATACATCATCTCCCGAGGCGGGTATCATCTAACCCTCGAAAAGAAGTAGAGGTAAACATATCATGAGCCAATCATGGTTCCCCAGATACTCCTGCAGGTACAACGTATCGGTAGCCCACCCTTTGCCATTTTGTAACTCCACTCCACGTTTCCCATAAAATAATTCGAGAACAAGACTGAATATTGAAAGAAAAAAAAAAAAAAAAGAAACAAGATCCGTTTAGACCAAACACCCAGAATGCGAATGCTGATGTTCGATGACCTGGCAACGCTGACCGCGCCTCGTTTGCCTAGCGACACTCAGGTTGGACCAGCCGGGTCGTTGAAATCAGGCGCTAAAACAAGAGGTATATAGACGGCAACGCTTGGATTCATAAAGCAGGAAAGAAGGACGTGCTAGTCATTGCAAAGGTCGAACCCCCCATATTAGGAGGCAGGGGCATCCACCATGGTTTGGTCATCGTCACTATTGAGCGGCACACTAGGCGGGGGGTCCGAATAGCGCTCCCTATGTCGGCTGTCGTTGTTCGTGGGGTGCAGACCCGGTGTGCTGGAAGCACTCTCCACTATCACCGCATCGTCGCCATCGTCTTCGGGTGGTGGCGAGAAAGTCCAAACCTAGAAGGCATTCATCACCGTCAGTCTGTGAGGAAACAAAAGAAACAAGGGAGAGTCGGGAGGGTATGTTCCTTACCTCCATCACTGTGCGGCCTGCTCTACTTGCCATGATCACAGCTTTCTCTTCCTCAAAGGCCACCCTCCATACAGCTTCTGCCGGTGTCGACAGCTCTCTGAGTAATTGGCCGGTCTGTAGACTCCACACCTTGACACGACCGTCACTACCACCGCTAACAATTCTCGAACTGTCGAACTGCAAGCTGGTAACGCTGTTATCATGAGCCGCAAGCCGGTGAATGGGAGCCATCTTGGTCAATGACCAAACTCGAACAGACCCGTCAGAGCCACCAGTGACCAGGGTATCTCCCCGCATTTGCAGCTGTCCTACTAGGGAGGTATGGCCCTGAAGGATAGCATGGCACTGACCCGAGTGCGGATCCCAGATCCGCACGCTGGTATCTAGACTGCCGGTGGCGATGCGTCTGCCATCAAACGCGATAGCATAGATTTGGCTGAAATGACCAGAGAGCGTCCGCAAGCACCGCCCCTCAGAAATGCTCCAGATGCGTGCCGTGGTATCATAGCTTCCCGAAACAACCAGATCGCCATGGATGGCCAAGCAGCGGACACTAGCTTGATGCCCAACCAGAACGTTCTTGCAGGTACCCGAGGCCAGATCCCATATCCGCAGCGTTGTATCCCGTGACCCCGAGATAGCCGTGTTCTTGTCGGACATTTTGAGGCAACGCACGGTTGACGTATGGCCACGTAAGAGGTAGAGACAGGCACTGTAATTTGATTTGCTCGTCAGTAGCGATCCCCGACTGCAAGTCGTCATGATTTGCTTACCCGGTCGCCATGTTCCAGACCCTCACTTCTCGGTCGCACCCACCACTCACAAGGATGTCATCCCAAGGAACCATCGCCCATACGCCCATCACATGGCCTTGGAGGGTTCTCTGGTTATCCCCGTTGGTGTCGTATACATGAATCTTGGCATTGTCCAGTGCGACCACGATATACTTGGGGGTTAAATGAAGACTTGTAACCACTCCCTGGTCGGGAGTGATGTGTCGCTGCGTACAGCGCCCACCCTTGTTCCAGGCAGATTCCACCATGTACTTTTGCTTGAAATGCGATCTGTAGGACAGAGGTCGGACCCGTCTTTTGCGTGACGGGTACCCCGACAGGGAGAGCCAGTCTCCCGACAAAGAGCGCGACGACACGTTGGGCAGACCGTCTCGAGGCTGGAGAGTAGACACATGGGGTCTCCTTTGCAACCCGCTCAAGGACTGAGTACTGGACACAGCATGCAACGGCTGACCATGGAAAGGGTCGACGAAGTCCCGGTCATCCTCCGACAGCCTCCGAGATGCATACGAGTGCTTTTCGCACAAGTTCTTCCACGTAATATCATCATTCAGCAGTTCCCGCCAGCGTTTCGATACCTGGGATGATCTTGCCAATGTCTTCGGGTCATCGATGAATGATAGGACCTAGTGAAACCGAGCGAGACAGCTGTCAGCCTTGTTCGAGCGGTGAGACCGTCCGCACCGGAAGAGGTAATCAACTCACCCTCAAACATAATTCATTGGGAAACACCTGAAACGGATCCTTCCTTAATCGGGGGCTAACATAGCTAGACACAAAGCTGAGATGCTGGCTATCACATAGCCCCAGTATGCCTTCCAAGAACTTCTGCTTCCGAGCGTTGGAGAGAGAGGAGAAGTGTATCCGAGCGTTCAGCAAAAAGGCATCGTCTTCCTCGTCGGGTGTCTGCCAGGTGGGAGGTCTTTGATGAGGGGTCGGACTGGGAGCAGGCGTGGGAGGCGACGCAGGCGCCGAGGGCAGTAGGTTGGGGGGAATAGGAGTACCGGTCTTGGTGGATGAAGAGAGCGATCTAGAATGGACACTGGAAAGTGACGCAACCGAGTCTCTGACTGCAGATGACTTTGACGGCGCAGTCGCCAGCTGCTCAGGTACACTGCGCGGACTCATCCCGGTGTCTACTGGATGGGGGGGTGCTTGTGAACTGCCGCGGTGAGGAGCGGTTGTGTCATCCAGGGGATTGCGTATTCCACCCGACTAGCCTTTCACACGGTGAACGAGATATCCCTACGCAAACCCCTTGAGACCCTGTCTCGTTCATAAACGAAGAAGACGTAACACACAAAACGAGAGAATGGGGCAGCTTTAATCCAAAAGCGAAAACGAAGGCGGAGGGGAAGAGCGAGAGATAAGACGGATGTGGACGATCTCCGCCGGGGCAGGGAAGACGAAAGGTTAGCGGTAGACAAGGGAATAGGGGGGATGGGAGAAGAAGGGAAGAAGAGAGTGGGAGTGTGGATGGGTCGGGCCAGAAGTTATATAGATACCAAAAATGGCTGGAGAAGGAAAAGAGGGAAGACGAAACGACAAATAAAAAGTTAGAAAGTAAGTTGGAGGTGAAGGTCACTAGATGGGGGGGGGTGGTTTTGGAAGGAGACCGATGGGGGGGAAGAAAGATGAGAGAGACGACGGATTGGTAGTCTACTACTCAGTAGTACTACTAGTAGACTATGGTACTTCGGTACAGCGGACGGAGGAGGGCGGTAAGATACAACTAATCAGGACTGAGTGCGGCCTTCCCGACGCCATCCAGAAGCAGGCGGAGAAGAAGCGACGAAGGAAAGACAAAGTCTGGATCATGCGATGTCGTGACGGGTCAGGTGCAGCCTTCCTCTTCTTCTCCCCCGGAAACCCTCCAAACCAGCCCCGATTACCCGCCAAGCAAAGCCGATGGCGCTTCTTCCTCTCCCCTGATTCGTGCAGCGGCATCACTGGAGTTCCACCAAAAGTCTCCCCGTTGGTACTAGTCTAAATTAGTCAGCTTCCAGATTAAAGTACCTTACTAAGTGAAGTTACGATGAACTAGTCCGTAATAGTAGTGCTACTGTCCCGGTCCTGCTCGTGGTCGGTACCGACTATCCTAATGGCGGCAATAGTATGGAGATTTTGGATACTACGAGCACCAACTGTTGGTCATGTAGATAATAGGTGGTTATATACTTACCTCTGCTTTGTCCCCAGTGGAGACAGGGCGTCACGGCGCAAAGTCCGTCTGTCTCCAACGGCCGAGTGTTGCCCATTCCGAACTCTCGAGCCGCTCTGGTCCTGTTTACGTCTGTCTACTGTAGTAGCTCTTACGCCCCTCCCACGCCATGCTTCCCTTTAGATTGGGTAGATGGACGATGGTCCCGTCAAAGAGACCGTCGAGCTCAGCTGAGCAGCCAGCAAATAGGACCAAAGTGCCTATTCCATACTATACTCCCTCTAATACCTACAAGGATCAACCCCACTGTCGTCACAAACCGCTAACTAAACGACGTGAAGTTGACGTGGAGACTCACCCATCTCAAGGCCAAGAAGAAAAAAATAGTACGTACTCTACCACAGAGAGAACCGTTTCAAAAAGCAAGGCACCTGCCCGAATCGAGCATGATGTCTCTGGTGCTTCGGTCTAACTTTTCGGTTCCACTGCAAGTCGCAGAAGATATAGTGGTCTGAAGGCGGGAGTGGTAAGAACGGCATGCGTCGTACAACCATGGATCCGTGCAGGTGCCTCCAGGGAACTGATAATGATTCAGTCTTGCCGAATATTTTCATCACTCTTTCAATGGAGGGCAGACATGATTCTCCGAGAGTTTATACCTTCCACGTCTGAGCCAATCTACGTAAACGTGATCGTGGGGGGAGGAAGGAACGAAACAAATCAAAAAGTAAAGGACACATGCAATTATGATCAAAGTAAAGGATTCAACCGCACCGTGCAAATGCTTCAAAATCGTGGCCATGACGTGTGGCGGCGCTGACTCAATGACAATACAACAAGAAAGGCATAACCCCGCAGGGAATATAACACAAATCGCCGCAGTTCCCCAAGCTTGGGAATCCGTCCAGTAACAACTGTCAAAATCTATTACACAAGACAACCTCACGGTGTCTACAGACACAAACCGTCCGTTTTTGAACCGGTATGTAGCTCGTTGGCCGAGGAGAGCTAGAGGTAGAAGGAAGAGAAGAGACATGGTGTAAATCCAGAAATGGATGTTGAGAGAATCTAGTGGGCATGGCCGATCTGTAGGAACAGTGGAAGAACCATGCCAACAACAGAAGCGATCAGGTCCCTCATAGACTTGTCCGATGCTGATGGTGCTTCTCTATGATCGCCGTATCCGTTGACCTGAGACTCACGTGAAGATGAGTTCGGGCTGTTTTCCTGCATCGTGTGCATAGCAACGTATCTAAAGACATCAGTATCACCCTGTACCGTATAATTGAGCCAAGGAAGAACTTACAGGAATGTGCCAGCAGAGAACAAGAGGAGTACACCGGTTCGCCAGCGGTTCCCGACGTCATCACCTCCCGACCCCGAGCCCATGATTTGCACAAACAAGAATGTCATGAGAGCACCCACAGGAGCAGCCAGACTGAAAATCAATAGATGCGCTCTAGCGGTACGACTAGAAAGGCCCTGCTTCAGTAGCACCGAGGTGAGGCCAAATGATGCTGGGGCCTTGTGAACCATGATGGCCAGGAAGATGATGAAGCTCAGACCAGTGTCGGAGCTAGATGCACCCAATGCAATTCCATCGGCGGCGGCATGAATGACAAGTCCAGTTGTCGTTGCAAAGCTGTGGCTTCTCCTGGGAATATTACCGGCATCGAGCAAGCCCCCCTCGCGTGACGGCGACGAATTGCGCCGCAGACCAGAGCCCAAGTTATCTAGCGATATATGATAGGGAATTCGCTCCTGTTTGGAGGATGATGCGAAAACGGGCAATTTATCGATCAGGTACATCAGGATAAAGCCACTGATGAGTGCAATACCTATCCAAGCATGGGGCGAGTTATCTTCATCGTGATCCTCGTCTGCGTGATCGCCCGATGTATCGTCCTTGCGTCCCAGTAGTCTGAGCTTTTCATCTTGTGTGGAATGGATTGTAGGTACCGTGACAGGTGCGGATGGCAGATCGGATAGTACCGATCGAGGCGTGAGCTGGACGTCTGAGGAGTCTGGTTCTTCCAATGCCCTCGGGACAGTGGTCACCGGTACAGCCTGGTGTTGCCAATTGACGGCAGTCGTCGATCGGCTGCTAAGTTCTTTCCGGTTGCTAAGCGAGTTTGCGCTGTATAGAGTTTCGACTCCCTCCGGAATTATAACGATCAAAGATGTCCCAACCAAAACTCCCATACCAAGGGAGGATATTAATCTCAGCTGAGAAGGGGAAAGTGTGAAAGCGAGCGGTAGTGATCCCACGACAAATGATCTATGTGACGTAGCGGGGGAAAGAAAATTAGCATTGGCAATTCGCACCAAGCAGGCGACAAGTTCCAAAGGGCAGTCGACTCACGTAATGGCCATCACAATGCTCAATGCGAGCAAAGTGAAGAGTCCCTCCATGGTCGGCCTCTTGTTCCAGAGCTTTGTCCGTGCTCTAGAGGGTTTCAATCATGTTGCCAATTCCAAGACCAAGATGCTCGATATGCCCCTAATCCCGCTGCAGCGGCGATGGCGTCTATGTAAAAGGGCGGACAAGCAAGCTGGAAGACGAAGATAGGCCCGGAGACGCAGGTGAGACAGGGGAGACGATGAAGAGCGGGCGGAAAGCAGGTGTTCCAAGGCGGTAGGAGGCAGAAGAACTGAAAACGTGGCGGAGGTGGACGGCCCTGATTATGGATTGATTGCGATTTGCCGCAGTGGGAAAGGCACGCCCCAGTCTGAGGCACGGGAGACCCACTGCCGCCCCAGGGATGGTTTATTATTATCTTTTTCGGCTTCATGTTCTGCTACTTTCATAAAAATTAAGTGAGACTACTCATTTCACGAATGATTACATGTTGTGGACTCCCAAGAATCAGTGAAACATCGCTTTGGCCAACCACCCGGGCTTTTAAAGGCCGCCATCATCCAAGCTCCCGCGGGCATCAGTTTCCCGAAGTTATCATCATGCCTGTTCCCCTCATCATTATGGTCCATCGCGGCTGTAATCCTTCGTCTGGATCCCTATGATATCCTTCAATCGTGCCTCCTTTATCTGGATTTGCTCCGCAGACAGTGTTCCATAGGCTTCGTTCACTTGCGCAACGACCTTTTCCTTCCACTCCGTTCTTTCGTCGCCCTCCACGTTTACTCTCCCCTGCCCATCCCAGACGGTTTGCATGGTGCCACCAAGCTTGTCCAGGAAGGAGCCTATGCCACCTTCTCCACCACCATGCTGGTAACTCTCAAACACACCATTCCCAGCCCATCTGGGTCCCAGACTAGCCATCAATATCGTGTCCAGGTCCTTTGCGTTTACCACGTCTTCTTGAACCAGATAGCAAGCTTCCCGTAGTAGCGCGAACGCCAACCGATTGCCCACAAATCCTGGAATCTCTTTTTGGATGACCACGGGCCTATGTCTTGACCCAGGTAGAGAGAAGTATTCACGAGCAAACTCCACCCGTTCCGCAGAGGTTCCTGGAGCCGGCACAATCTCCAGAAGAGGCATGATATTCGGTGGGTTGAACGGATGCACAACAAGCAGACGAGTCTTGTCCTGCATCTTAGCTTGCTGAATGGAAGCGGCAATTCCAGATGTGCTTGTCCAGAGATGGGCAGAAGGCGGGGCTACTGCTTCAATCCGGGCCCAGGCAGACTGCTTCCAGTCAACGTTCTCTGGTCCCTGCTCCTGGACAATGGTGGCCGACGCGCACGCGCTTTCTAGAGTCGAGTGAATCCGCAGACGGCCGGAAGAGATAAGGGACGCTACCAATGACATTGTTGGTGGATGAGAATCAGGACTTAGTTTAGAGTCAGTAGTCGTTGATGGAAGCTCGCTCATGTAGATCGGCAGTGTCATGTGGATATAGTCTTCGAAATCCGGTCGGGTGTCGAATACATCAACCACGTTGCTCTCACGAGAGAGATGAAGCGCTGCCATGGATATGCCGATGGTTCCCAACCCGATCAAGGCTATTCGCTGTGAACTGTTGACTGACATGTTGATGGTACTACCAAGGACTTGTACGACTTGTTGAAGCTGAGAGCTTGTCCTTGAAAGATTGCATATAGTACCAACTGCATGAACTGTGCGAGTTTTACGACAGTCTGGGGTATATGTTGATCGAAGTAGCAGTGACCCTCAATTGCGGGGTGCCAGAACTACTACTAATTGATGAGTCCGTTAGTTCGGGCTCGATAACCTAAAGCCGAGGCAACCAGCTTGAATTTCAAACCGTGATGTTCTACATCCTAGAGCGCAAATGCTCGACCTTCTTGAATGAAACCGCTCCCTAAAAGTTAACGATTAATGTATGTGTGGATAGTAGGTCACTTAGTTCCTACATCGACGTCATACTATGAGGTTGCCAGTCTGAAGCTAGTCTGTCGCAGCCATTCACAGAAGGCCGGCACAACTACGTGAAAAGCATGCCAATGGCAGAGCAAGAGGTTATCTACATAACTTTTTGAATTGATACTCAGAAGACAAGGTTACATTCACAGCTTTCCTAATAGTGTTTCCTCCCAGCTAACTACTCTATTTCTTGACGGTGACAACTGCGGAGGACTCCTACCGGCACTAAACCGGAAACGGTTATAGCTAGCTTGCTCCGCGCAACGCGAGATTCGAAAGAGCAACACGCGCCATCTTCCAGGCAATCAATTAAAGGTCTTGCGCTCTCTCACTCAGCCATCCCTAACCCAAGTCTCCGCTCTAGTAGCTGGCTCATCATCCGGCAAGTGGCACAATGAATGAAGGCGACTGTAATCCACCCCCTTTCTCACTCCATTGTCCTTGTGTTCTATGTTGCAAGTCGGCTGACTGAAATGGCCTCAATTAGGGACTTGCGACGCCAACGACGCCGTCCATCTGACGATCGTTCAACCCGGCGAGACGAAAGCCAAGACGATTTCCAGTTTCCACCCTCAGTTCACATATCCCATTTTCGGCGACGAGGAGCAAATATTCGGCTATAAGGGGTTGATCATCCGCTTGCGGTTTGCAGCCCATGACCTCCGCCCGAATATCAATATCTCTTACGATGAGAAGTTCAAGCCCGTCGGCGATATTGCCGCCGTCGACCTGCTGAAAACACTGAAGCCATGGGTTCCTGAAGGTTAGCCGCTATTATTTCCAGTTGAGAGTAATCTGGGTTCCATCATGGCTAACCCAGGCGCATAATTGCAGAGGCCTTCGGCTTACTTCCCGACTATGAAAAAGCCGTCCAGGAGGACGAAGATGCAAAGGACTTTGTACCACCTGGCAAGCTTGTTCATAGCTATGTCACTCGAGACAGAAATTACGAAATCTGGGCCGGCTCCCTTGCTGATCCTCAAGTCCGACGACTACTGGACCGCGCGCAAATTTTTGTATCGCTGTTCATCGAAGCCGGTACACCCTTGGTCACGGATGATCCTGAATGGACACTTGAGAGATGGACAGTCTACTTTGTGTATGTTATGGCCTTGTCTTATGTTTCACTGTGGCTAACGAAGTTGAAGCTATGAGAAAGTGAAACCGCCCACGCCAACGGCCTCACAATATTCCATCGTCGGGTATGCGACCACTTATCGCTGGTGGTTCTACCAGAGAGACACTACACAGAGTCGCTCCGTCGTAAACGACCCATTCCCGGCACCCGAAATCAGACCTGCTCAGCTGCCGGCTCGGCTACGAATCGCTCAATTTTTGATTCTCCCTCCTCATCAAGGCTCGGGACATGGGACTCATCTCTACACCACCATTCACGCCGCATGCTTCAAGGACCCGACAATTACCGAACTGACTGTCGAAGATCCGAATGAGGCTTTCGATGCCCTCCGCGACACAGCCGACTACCATATCTTGTTGCCGGAGTTCCTCAAGCACAAGGTATACATCAACCCCAACCCTTATGGAGAGCTCCCCAAGAAGCAGCGCCCTCGGCGTGTCCCTACGTCGGCACTGATCCCTACGAAGCTGTTGCACGACATCCGCTCGTCATTCAAGATTGCCTCCACTCAGTTCGCTCACATCATGGAGATGTATCTTCTGGGTCAAATACCTGCCAAGAATCGCCTAGCTGGTGGAACGAATATGTCCCGACTACTGATCAAGAAGCATAATGCCGAAGATCCTAACGACCGCCGATACTACTGGTGGCGTATGCTCACCAAGCAGCGTCTTTACAAGCGCCACCGGGATCTACTCATTCAACTTGACTCGAGCGAACGCATCGAGAAGCTGGAGGAGACCGTGACGAACGTCGAGGAGGGCTACGATGCTCTTCTCAAGGCCTTCAACGCCCGCGAGGCAGCGCTGAAGGCCAAGGAAGAGGAGGCCGGTGTGCTTGCAACCCCAGAATCGACCGCTGTTCTGGGTGAGGCAAGCAGCAGAGATCAGCGGGTAAAGCGGAAGCTCACAGTCGAGGATGAGGAAGATGAAGAAGAGAACGAAGAGGCAGCTAAGCGGACAAAGGTGTGAGCGACGGCGTTTTAACGTTTCTTTATGCTTGCCGTTCACCCACCATTTCATTGTAATATTAAACATTATGAAATACCAAAACCATCCTTTTGCCATGAGCCATAATTATATCCTGAACTCCCATACATACCTCCACAAATAGTATTACACTTGAAGCCATTGTCCCTCACGAATGATAGCTGGGCGGCGGCGACCCCATACTATCCAGGGTATCTATTGTCCCCGACAGGGACTTACAATCCACACTCTTCAAGCTACTCGTCTCCGTCGACAAGGTAACCGTCGCCAACCCGACCGTCGACGACGCCTCCGTATCCGATCCCTCCCCACTTCCACCCTTTACATCCACATCCACATTATAACCACCTACTTCCTGATCCACTACCACCTTAGCCCGCGACGGGGCACTCTCCCTCACCAACTCCCCCACATACTCCAACGCCTGTCTGAAGCCCTGAATCTCTGCATGCATAGTAGCAGAAGCAGTAGCATTCGCAATCCCACCCGATCCACCAAACACCCTCAACTCTGCACCACCCTCCTCCTCATCATCAGACAGCCTCCCCATCTCCACATCCCTCTCTGGCACACCAATAGACGCCATTACAACCGCCCCATCATCAACACCAACAACCTCCTGATCCTGACAATAGTAAGCAGAATACGAAGTCTTCCCCTCCCACCACTGCCTCCATCGGTGTCTCCTCGCAGCGGCCTTATACGCCCGCCGAGCTTTCCTCTCCTCGCGCTGAGCGGCCCGGTCTACTCGGCATCGCTGGCAGCGCATCGTGTTGCTGCCGATTCGGTATGCCAGGGCGAAGAGGCCAATAATGCAGATGAGGACGCTTAGGTTGATAAAGTAGTCGCGGAGGGTGAGGGTCGAGAGCTTTCTCAGGAGGGAGGCGAGCCACTGGAATTTGAGGAGGGAGTGGATGTGGTCATTGTTATTGGGGTTGTCGTTGTTGGTGTTCTTCATGATGTGGGTGTCTATAAGGGTCGATTAGAATGTGGAAAATGTATATAGTGCGTGGAGGACTGACTGGCTGCTGTTGCTGTTGAGATAGTAGTAGATGATGATGGTAGAGGAATGGGTGCTCCGGCTGCCAGACGGGTGAAGTTGGTGGTGGTGGTGAGACATATTAGTGTTAACTTTGCTAGCCATTGCATGGTGGTGGTTGTGTGGGAGGTACTACATGGACGTGGGTTGGAAGACATGAAATGGTGGAGGGAGTAGTATATGAGTTGGTGTAGTTGGGGGTTAGTTGTGGATAGTTAATGTAGTAATAGATTGGCAAGTAGGTATACACGGTGTTGTATTCATGAACAAACTACTTGGGACAGAGAGTGAGAGTCATACGGGCATTAGGACAGAGTTAAAGGAATCAATCCTTGGCCCTCGGGCCTCTTCCAAGACCGGAGACAGACGGGGTTTACTAAAGTACCCTGTCTCATTAATTAGTGAGTATTATAGCTAGACTAAAACACAGTCACAACTCTAAGTAGGGCACGTTATTTTGATCTTACTGGTGCCAATCCAGATAAGCAGCAGCGCCGGGCGGATCTCGGCACCATGTTTATCCGGCACTCTCCGTCGTTGCGACCACCGCTGTTGGGAAGCTCGCGGGGAGCTTCTTGGATTCATATTCACTTTGACGTCGTTAAGAAGGCTTTTATCTACCTTTGAACTATCTCATTTCGCTTGGAAGGATACGGCGACTCCAATAGAGTGCTTTTATCCTTTGCTTTCCACCTCTTACGGAGTTGATCCCATCTCTGTTTCGATCCGCCCACAACACTGACCCATCCATATTGATCACACGATCGCAAGATGGTAATTACCTCTGAAGCCTACCATGATCCAATATATCTACTGCGTCTACTGACTCTCACATGAACAGTTACCTCTCGGTCTCCTGACGGCCGCGCAAGGCCACCCCATGCTCGTGGAACTCAAGAACGGCGAAACCCTCAACGGACACCTCGCCAATTGCGACAACTGGATGAACCTGATACTCAAGGAAGTTGTTCAGACGAGTCCCGAAGGTGACCGCTTCTTCCGGCTACCAGAGGTCTACGTCAGAGGAAACAATGTGAGTATCTTGCCTGCGCCCACCCTAGATCCAATTTCAGGGAATCTCCCCGGCCCTCCCTACTAACCGCTTATAGATCAAATACCTACGGATCCCCGAAGAAATCATAGAGATGGTCAAGGAGCAACAGGCGAACCAGTCGCAAAATCGCAACCGCGGGCCGCGTGAGGGTGGTAGGGGTGACCGAGGTCGTGGTGGAGGCCGGGGTCGTGGACGCGGCCGCGGCCGTGGTGGCAGGGACGCTTGAAGTTTTGTTGGTTTTTTTTATCTACGAAAGAATGAGAGAGATTATGAGCGATACCCCGGGGGGCAAGGTTTAGTAGGGATTGAGTTCGCTAGGAAATGTCCGTTTGACGGGTTAGTCGAGCATGGCCTTGGCGTATCTGGTTGTATTTGTCAATGGGAAAACATGCCACCTAGGCTTCCTTCTGTTCTCTGATACCATTGTAGTGTACGGTTTATTCGGAAAGTCAGGCTAGGGGAGGATTCGTTGAGCCTTGTCTGTGGACTTCGTCTCTGTAACTTTGCATGCATAGCGTTACGGTCACGTGCAGATATAGAGCTTCTTTCGGAGACCGACCAAGTTGTAGAGAAACTTCCGTCACCACAAGGGCTCGAGATGCCGCGAACGACCCTGGTACTTGATGGACTGTGGTATTGTCTTTGTCCGTCGTTTAATGCTGCAACCTTCAATCGAGTCACACCTTCCTTCACAGCAGGGAGACGCATCCCTAAACATAATCGCATAACCGCTCTACGAAGCTCAATTTCGGATCCTCCGCGAAGATGCCTCACCAACCTCACCCCACGACCGACCGACGCAGCCATTGAAATTGTCGAAGATGATACCCGCAGAAATACAGATTCCGAATCAACCTCCGATCAACAACCCTTCGATCCTGACGATGCAGGCGCGCAGGATGATGTACGTCCAGGGGACCTTTTATCGCCAATGGAGCGCTTGACCAAGCCGCCACCGGGCGTACCCAAGTATTTCAAACACTTGCCTTCGCAACGTTTAGAAAATAGACTACAGGAGCGAGTAGCTCGATATCCAAGGGTTCTGAGCGCAACCCAAATCCTGCGCGTTCTAATCCGAGACCGCCATGTTCGCCCGGAGATGCGACATTACCGGGGGTTAATTCTCGCCAATTCGGACCCTGAACGTGGGTCGCCACAGGCTGTTCGCGCGTTGCTCAAGGAGATGGAGGAGAATGGGATTCCGGCTGATTCGGGGACACTTCATGCAGCATTGCAGGTATGATCTTCGATTCCGGGAACGGGGCACTTGCTGACCCACTCGCTTCTATTTGCAGGTCCTTGCTGTTCATCCGGATTACCTCCTACGTCAGGAGATTGTGCGCACGCTTCGAGACCGATGGCTTCCGCTGAGCCCGGCCGGATGGCACTTTGTAGTCGCTGGGTTGATTCGAGAGCATCAGTTCGAGCTGGCGTTGGATCATGTCGAGCAGATGGAGAGAAAGGGCATGGTGGTCGAGAGTTGGCTGCATAGCCTACTTATCTATTACCTTTCCGATTTTGGAGAGTTCGACGAGGTGGTCCGGTTGATGCGTTCACGGACAAGCCAGGGTCTGGATATGAGCTCGGAGTTGTGGTTGCACGTGCTGGAGGTGGCGAGCGCTGCTCTTCACTACGATACTACACGGTACATCTGGAGACAGATGGTGGAGCTGAGATATCTTCACCCTGGTTATCCACTGTGCAGCAATGTCCTCAGTGTGGCGGCGCGCGCTGGAGATACTGAGCTTGCGGCATCGGTGATCCGCTTCCTCGTTGAGGTCAACATGCAGCCCCAACTGGATGACTACGAGAGAATGGTGGAAGCCCATGCTGTGTCGGGGTCCTTGTATTCTGCGTTTGAGGTGCTGTGTAAGATGCATATGGCGGACATTGCGGTAGAAGACCGCTCTACGCGTGCCATTCTTACACATCTGCTGCAGAGTAGAACAACCCCACGGGGCGCATGGACAATGCTCAAACAACTGAAGGCCACCAAACTGACAGTCCCGCTTGGCTGCGCCAAAGTGGTGCTGGAGATGTGCGAGCAGGAAGCCCTCGATAACCCGTCGGTGGTGGACGAGGGAATCGCGTTCTACAAGGAACTATATGCGCTCTGTCCAGATAAGGCTGACGTTTCTGTCTACAACATTCTCCTCGGTATGTGTCAACGGGCGCGCAATACCGAGGCGGGCATGTTCATCGCAAAAGAGATGGCATCCCTTGGCGTGATTCCAGACCAAGGGACGTTTGAACATCTCATCGTCATGTGCCTGGAAGCAGGCAATTTTGAGTCCGGGTACATGTACCTGCAAGATCTGCTGGGACGAGGGATCCGCCCCGGCGAGAAGGCACGAGCCGCCATCCGTGAGCTCTGTTCTCCATCAGAAGACCCATTTGCGTCCCGCCTCAGGCATCATCCGCAGATCCAGGATGGGTCGGTCGGATGCCTGGTGGACGAGATCAGTAATACTCACGAGCCGCCCGATTCGACGGAGCAGCAGCAGCAGGAGGAGGAGGAGGAAGACGGGAAGGGGGAGTCGTTTCATCGCTCGGGACAGACACCGACCCAGACAGAGGTGGAACGGCAGGCGTTGCACAAACTCCGACGGGCCGCGGCCAAGGAGAGACGCAAGCGAAAGCGACGATTAGCAGCCATCGCAAAGGGGCAAGAAGAGGAGGGGTGGTTGGACTACGAGCCAGGAGGGCTTATCCCTGAGGACCAAATCAATGCGAAGAGTAACAATTGAGCTGGGGATAGGGATGGGCAGCTGGAAAGGAGGAGGGAGAGAGTATCCTCGCTTCGTGTATACCATTTCCGTATCTAGTGAGAATTCTTGGCCCCTATGCCAACAACCTAAGCGATGTATTTAATTTCACAGAACACACGCTGACAGGCGTCAATTGAGCTGTCAGGAGAATTACCTGTCCGTGATTACTTGCTAGACTGATGCTCGTGCCACTATGTAATTAGATCACAGCAAACGTGCACTGTCTCTGTCCGGGAAATTCGGAGAAAAAGGAACGAGGGGGGAGAAGCAGCCGAGGCCAGGAAGGATTAAGCCACAGGAACCCATCATGCAGTAGTCGGGGGATAAGAGTCAACCCGCAAACCTACTCCTGCTCTATGTATACTTTAGTTCTTTAGTCTTGCTTAGTGTGGACTAGGAACCCCATCTGCGACACGCGGGCGCAACACAATGGAACCATGCGAGGAACCTCAAACCGCCGTTAAGAATCCATGCCCGGATTTTCAGCCCAGACCAGCGGTTTGAACTGGAGAGAAACCGGCATGGCTTTGTCCCACTCGTCGGAGAAATTGGGGTTCAATTTGTTTCGTGCGGGTTATTGCCGGAGGGTTCCGGTGCCTCCTGAACTAATTTGTTGCCAAAGTAGATTAAATGTTGGTTCACCTGGTGTGCGCTGTTGTGTGAGCCGGGTTTCTATTCTTATCCGGGCTGCATGAGATTGGGATCGACTTGCATGGACCCTAGGGACTAACAGTACAGTAGTTGGATGTAAGGGGATCTATGCATGAGTTGTCAATTTGATTCTATCGGAGCTGGTGTAGAATTAAGTCAGTCTTCTTGAATCGGCCAGCACAGACTGCCTCTTTTGTTGTTACCTCGTGTAACCATGCAAATCCACGACAAACCTAGTTCTTCATAACTTTTGGCCAAGGGATGATACTATGGAGACAGAAACACACCAACACACACCGATCCTTTTTTAGTTCAAGGGATCGTCGCAGTTGGGCCAATGCTGGTTCGTTTCACCCGCAGCTCCACTTCTCTCTCACTCTCTGTTGGGGTCGAAATTAGAAGCAGTTCAGACAAGACGGTTTGGTTTGTTCAGTGGTGCTTGTTTCTTGTTCCCCTCGCCACCTGCACATCATCCCCGGCTTATAACTATTCGCCTCTGTCCTTCTTCTTCTTTCTTACTACTATCTACTATCAATCTACTACTTTCCTCCCGTTTATACTAAAAGTATCATATACTTCATATCACCTATTGATAATACTTAATTCTTCCCTATCTCGATATCAACTACCGTTTAACCCTCCAACGGTAGACAGACATACATACATACATACACATCCTCCATCCGCCACTCGGGTATACATCCAAAACCTGCCACCACCACACAAACAAAAGGAAACCTATACCTCCAGTCAACATGCAACTCCTCAATTACCTCCCCGTCGCTCTCACCACCCTCGGCCTCACAGCCTCCGCCTCACCTCTCCGCCGTGCCGACAGCCCAGCCCTAACCTGGCACGTCTCCAACTTCACCACCGGCTGCTCCCCGGCCGCCTGTACCTACACTTTCAACATCTACGGCGTCGCCACCGCCAACACCCCCGGGTTTAACGCCACCTGCACTGGTAACTCCAACAACACCGCCCTGACTGCATGTGGTGGCAACCCCCAGGTCCAGTCGCGCATCCAGCCCGCTACTTACCCGGAATGGAACATTCGGGTCGAGCATGCTTGGACCCTGCCCGGAGACATGGAATTCTATGCTTATGGAGAGACCAATGTCACCTCTCCGACACCGAGGTTCACCATCCCTGTTACGGAGGAGTATGGTGTTGCTTAAATGCTCCTAGTGGGCTCGGTGGAAAAGGGGGGTGGGAAGTAAATGACTTGAGGTCATGAATGGGTACTACAGTATAGATGATGATGGATGGAAAGAGGGCAAAAATAGTACATGCCTTATTGTTTATGTATCATATTGATTGGATTTGATGGGCTGGCTCTTAATGGCTGTTTACAAAGTTGGTTTCATTGGGTTTATGAATAGGGTTGAGGATCTAATGTCTGGTTACAGGATGGTCTCTGGTCATGATGATTGATAGATAGATTGATTGATCTGGAAAGATATCAATTAGTATAGTTGAATATACCGATATACCAATACCAACATATGAATTATGGATTACTTCTTGTTCCCTGATAGTAACGAATTCCCCGTAGACTGGGAGATGAATTGACGGGGTTGGAATGTGTCCGGTGACATCATCCCGACCCTGCCAAACAATGATGTTCTTCCCTTGTCAATGTTTCCCCGACAAGCTTGTCCAGCTGCACTGCCTCTCTCTCTCCCCTGTCAATCATTCCATGAGGAATGACGATTATATGGAATATATAATCTTGTCTAAACCTGTCCACTCTGTCTGGGCCATCCATTTTCCAAGAGAATCGCCAGGTTGACCCGTGCGTCATTCGCCTGGCCACCCTGTCCCCGCCACGATTCCCTCACGATTCAGGTCAGTCTCCTCCTCACCCCTTACATGTTCCTGAACATCCCCTTATCAGCCTAAGTATCTAGAAGATCCACGTCGCTTGACCTTATGGTAAGCACTACTATTCTACAGCCACTCTTCATCTCGATTTGCTGACCATGACGTGACTGGAGCTACGTAGGCGTCAATCCTCCGGCAGATTGTTGCCGGTCCCCGGTTACAACATCCTGAAGCTGGTCTAGACTTGTGCTATGTGACCGATAACAGTAAGCCACCCAATCCTATTATAATGCTTTCCCTTTCGCAATACTTCCTCATATTAACTCATTCCCTGCTCCTGCGCACCTACAGTTATCGCAACCTCCGGTCCCTCCTCCAACTACCCGCAACGCGCCTACAGAAACCCCCTGGACGAGCTCGTCAAATTCCTCGACTCCAAACATGATTCGGACTGGTGCATCTGGGAGTTCCGCGCCGAAGGCACCGGTTATCCCGACTCAGAGGTCTACAATCGCATTCATCACTACCCATGGCCCGATCACCATCCGCCCCCGTTTGCGCTCATCCCCGCCATGACGGGCAGTATGCGCAATTGGATTCATCGACTCGATGAGCCTGACAGCAAAGATGAGAAGGATAGGAAGAAAGATAGGGTTGCGGTCGTTCATTGCAAGGCCGGAAAAGGCCGTAGTGGCACCGTGGCCTGCAGCTACCTGATCAGCCAGGAAGGGTGGAAGGCGGACGACGCGCTGCAGCGATTCACCGAGCGGCGAATGAGAGTCGGGTTCGGTGCTGGGGTGAGCATCCCCAGTCAGCTGCGGTGGGTGGGATACGTGGATCAATGGACCAACCAGATGGGGAAGAACTATATCGAGCGGCCGGTGGAGATCCTCGAGGTGCATGTATGGGGACTGAGAGACGGTGTCAAGGTCGCGGTGGAGGGATTCGAGGACCACGGGAAGAAAATCAAGAAGTACCATCTCTTCCACCGGAGTGAGCGTACGGTAGTCGACGATGGGAAGTCCAAGACGATGCCCCCAGATACAGTCACGAACGGCCATACAAACGATAACGACATCAAGAATCAGCCCAAATCCGCTGTGACTTTTCCACCGAGAACAGAAGACAGTCCTCACTCATCCACTGACGCTCCCGCGAGAACCGACACTCCTCCGAAACACGTCTCCGCCATAGTCTTCCGTCCCAAGTCCCCCATCACCATCCCCACGTCCGATGTAAACATTGACTTCGAACGACGCAGCAAGGCCGCTTACACAGGCTGGGCCATGGTGACTTCCATCGCGCACGTCTGGTTCAACGCCTACTTCGAAGGCGGCGACCAGCACGACTCCGGCGTCTTCGAAGCCGAATGGGACGCCCTCGACGGCATCAAAGGCACAACACGCAAGGGCGTGAAAGCCTTGGACCGTGTGAAAGTCGTCTGGCGATACGCCAACCAACCAGGCACTTCCCACCCCGACACAGGGCGACCCATTTCCGAGCCGAAGCCCGGCGAACCGATTCCAGAAACTCAGCCACCAGATTGGCACATTCATGGCACTGGCACTGGCACTGGCTCCAACTCTGGTACTGATAGCCCACGAGACCAAGAAGACGAGAACACACCTCCTCTACCACCATCTAAAGAACTAGAAGCCGACAAGATTTCCGACTCTGAACCAGACAGCAGCTCAACCAAACATAAACATAAAGCCAAACATACTACTCATGACCACGAACACGATCATCCCCTCCTCTCAGACCTCAGCACCGCAGCCGCAACCGCCGTGTCTTCAATACCGGGACTAGGCAAGCAGCTCGGACTCCGCAAACAAACCGACGAAAGCAAAGACGTGAGTCTTGCGGGAAGTAGCGAAGATGAGTCAGGGAGAAGTTCTGCTGCTCCTTCGCAGGCGAAGAAAAATACGAAGAAGGAGTGGTCGTCTGTTGATGAGGGTAAATAATACAGTTGATCTTCTTTCTCGGAGGACTGTTACATACATAGCAGTGCTCTGGTCTGTCTATATTCTCATATGTATATGAAGGAATTGCCATTGGATTAAGGCTGGACAAGGGAGCTATTTGTATATAATCCACGATACAGATACACGAATACGAATGTATTGACAGCGAATGATTACCTTCCGACTAATATAGTAATTTCCCAGAATGCGCGCGTGTGTCTGCGTGCTTAATCTGTATTCAGCATAACAACAGCAAGTAACTGGCAGCTACTTGTTCATCCTAGTAGTATTATGCTATGAAGGAATACTAAATACAGGGTAATTACGACATCCTTGCTACCAGTAATGACCTAATCTACTTGGGGTATAACGCATCTGCTTTTTCCCATACGAAGCAGTCTAAGTACGGAAAGAAAGGTAGCATGTTGCAGGGCAGATATTACCATACGCATCAAAGTAATCATATCATATCATACTGTGATAGTAGCATATCTAAAGTAGATTATCTACACATAACGCTTTGCTTGATTTGCTTGCTTGCTTGCTTGCTATTTTGAAAAAAAGGAAAATGAAAAGGAATACACCCAAACTTATTTCAACTCCAAATATCCCCTTATCACAACAAACTCCACAGAATATGCCATATGTCATATTATGTCAATCACCACCTCAGAGACCTATCATCCTACAGCGGCACGAACCCCTCCATACGCTGCCTCGCCTCCCGCTCCTCGCGCCGTAACCGATCATTCTTCTTACGCTCGTACACGGCCCGCACCACGCGCTTGACCTGGTCCTCGCCCTGGGCGAAATTCGCCTTCGCAAGACCGACCACCGAGTCAATCTGTTCCGGGGTGTAGACGAAGTTCCAGGTGGAGAGGAAGTCATCGACGTCTGGGTTGATGGAGCCTGGGTACGGGGTCAGAGGCTTAGCTGGGTCGGAGACGCGGGCTTTGGAAGTATTTTCGGATTGGCGGGCGGGAGTTCGGGATTTGGAGAGGGAAGAGCTGGTGGGGAGCTCGGGCGCGGATGGGTTGGGGAGTAAGGGGAAGTAGACGACGGCGATGCCTGCGTCTGGCCGCATGAGGTGAAAGTCGGATTCGGAGTGGTCGGTGTCTTGCGGGTGGAAGAGGCGCTTGGATGGTGGGGGTTCTTGGCCAGAGACCATTTCTTGAGTGGTGCCTACCCAGATGTTGCAGTAGTCGAGGTCCGTGGAGGTGGAGGGGTGGTTTTGGTTCTTGTTCTGTGTCTGATTCTTTGTGGGTGGGATGGTGGTGGTTGTGCTATCTGGGGTGGAGTTGCGGTTGGTGGTAGGGCTGCTGGGCTTGCTCTTGTCCTGGGCTTCGGCCATCTTGTTGGCTAGCTCTTTCTGGGTGATGTTCTGGGCCTGACGGAGCGCCTCTTCGGTTTGTTTGAGTTGCTCGTCTTCTCGGGGCCAGCCGGCGCCAATTGGCCAGCCCTTGACACCTCGTTGGCGAGCATACCCGTCTACGACGGAGAGCCAATTCTCTTGTTTGATATCGGCTGAGGCGTCGAAGGCGATGATGACGTCTACGTCTCTGCCGGGTCTGAGGAGCGGGTAGATGGGGAGGTTGTTGCTCATGCCTGCGTCCATGAGACGAAGATGACGGCTTTGGAAGATAGACTCTGGACAGGACGGTGGCAGCTGATCTTTCATGCCGAGCACGTAGTTTGGTATGGTGGCTGGGTCAATCGGGTGAACTCGGACTAGATCCTTCGTCTTGCCTTGGATGAGGGAGTCTATGCCGCTAAGGCCTGTGATGCCTTTGATGACGGGCCGTATCTCCTTGTAGTAGTGAGATAGCGTAGCACAGAAAGCACTACCCCAGACACCCATCAACGCGGGAACGCGCAGCTCAGGGATAGGAGAGATTTCCTCAGGTTTAACATTGACTCCACCGTGGAAGTGTCTTCCCAGCGCCCACGTCGGTATTCCCGCGCTGAGCTCCTCGCAGAAGAATTCGTAGGGAGTAAACTCGAACCATTGAAACCATGCCTCGCTCTTTGACTCTTTGATTAACTCTTCTGGCTTTTCTCGTTTCTCGGCGTTCTCTTGATTCTCGAGCACAGGAATTTCATGGCGGACGGCCGTGTAGATGGGAAGTGGATGAGCACCAGAGGCGAGATTGTACCTCTGGTTCGAGAGCTTCAGATCCTTGTCACAGACACCTAATTCTCCCTTGGGCACCAGGAGCCGTGCAGCTAAGAGCATGCCGTATATATCCACCAAGCCAAAATCGGCACCAGGGTCACCTTTCAGCTTTTCGACCAACCCGCTGAGAAGGTACTTGTTCGTGGGAGCATTAGTGAGTAGCTTGAGGGCTGCTGGCGGAAATGCCAAATGAACTCCCAGTCTGTTCTTCAGATGGTCGACCATTTTGTTGAAATTACGCCCCGTGATGGACGAATGATACAGAGTCTGCAGCCAGCAACTGCCACTAACGCCAGCAGTATAGGTAACACAATCCCATAGGCCAGCTTCTTGAGTCGCTAAATACGAACCGGTGCCAGCCACAAGGGCACGCAGACCACCACCGGAGCCGCACATGGCGATGATAGGAACATCGTCCGGATGTATGTCATCTTCAGGGATGTCCAGATAAGAGGCCAGCGCCGCGGTTGCGTATTTTTGCCGCTTCTGTCTGTACGCCAATTCTTCATTGCAGAGTGTATCCCCAACACGAACCTTGGCCTTGAGCAGAATTTCGGGGTTGATGTCCGGGTCGTGAGCTTCGTGCCAGATATCGTCGGCAAGGGAGCCAGGCGCCATGGAGAGCTCACGCTGGAGCTTCTGCACTGACAGTGGAAGCAATCGGGTCCAGTCTGGGATGATGTAATTTTTTATGTTATCGAGCTCAATCCAGTCGGGAGTGCCCACAGCCTGCTTTACCCCCTCGAACTTTTGCAGTACATTCGTCCATATCGAGCCTGCATCATGGTGCGGGTCTTCCTTGGAGCCATGGCCCAACGGGCTCCAGTCTGAGCTTCCGGATGAATTATCCGACCGTTTATCAGAGCCCGGGGTTGAGCTTGTTGAGAAGAAGCCTTTTGGGCCGGTCTGCAGCAGTAATTGCTTATTTGACTGGGTTCGAGGCCCCGTGCTATAGAGGAGACCGCCGCCTAAGGCAATCAAGAGGGTGGGAGGAACAGTCCAGCGTAAACGCAGTGCCTTGGCAGCCCCCATGTTGCAATGGGTACCGCGGAGGATTGGGGGGGTGGCGGGAAGCAACATGCAAGTGATAAAGCCATGGCGGCCAGACCACGACGATCGTGGCCGGACTCCATTCTTAAAGCGAAGCTGGAGCTGGAAGACGCGCCGGGAATCTGCCGGAAACATGACGACATGTCACGTGGGAAGCATCAAGGAAATCCTCGGCGCCGCAGACGGGCCGAACTTGCTGGATGGGGATTAGCGCCCCTCTTGCGTCCGGGGGAGATTGAAGGGCCACAAGCTTGCTTCTCGAGCTCCTCTCTCTCGCCTACTAGTATGCTTGCTTCATGAGGCCAGGTGCCTCATCGGCCAGCTGTTCTTCTTGCTGTCCTCTATCTCTTCCCTTCTCCTGTCTGACCGTCCGGGTCAAAGACATGACATCATCTCCTTCCGTCGCGATTGTCTGATTCCGGTTACGAATCCCTGATTGCCTGACACACTAGTGGGACCTGCGCCGATCGAGGGTCGAATCCTCACAGCCATGGTTGCTCCCAGGAACGCCGCCTACGCGGAGGAGAGCGCAGAGGTGGAGGTGTTGTACGCCAACCTCGAGAAGCTCAAGCTCCTTACGAAGAAGATTCAAGGCTCTTTGAATCGTCTGGAAACCGGGGGCAATGTGGTGAAGCATGCGATCGGGCCCATCTACAGCAATACCCAATCGCTACAGATCACCAACAGCAACATAGATAAAGTCAATGAAGCCATTGAGCGCCTCCGCCAGCCTCTGGATGCCAAGGGCAAGGAAGAAGGAATTATACGATCAAGGTAGGCAGCATCTTCATAGGATCGGGCTAATTTAGGGAATGTTTGGCTGACATCCGTCCAGCCCCCAGACCGTCGGTTTGTCGCAATACCTCTCTGCTGTGAAGCGCGTGGAAAAGGCCTTGGTCGACCTCAACTCAACCAATCTGCGATCGAACCAGAAAGCTATTTCCGAATTTACTTCTTTGCTGGTGCTTGGAAACTCTCAGCTCCAAGACATGCTCCGCGGCACTTTGAGCGGTTACGTTAATCCGATCGAACCATTACACTACCTAACAAAAGGTTGGTGTCCACTACACAACTCTCACTCGGATATAGATACTAATGACTTGCGCCTCGCTCTAGAACTCTCATTCCCCTCGCTACCTGATGAGACCATCGCGGAGTTGGGTCCAGTATGTTCGGCTATCGGCTCTGCAGCGAGCTATGGGCCGCAGCGGGGTGATGGCGGAAACCCCGCCCTCAAAATCTACGCGGATATTCGTGGACCATATATCACATCGAGCTTGCAGAACCTGGCCATAGCATCTCTCAATACTGTCAAACGACGGGCTGCCGACGGCCCCTACAAGCAAGGCACCAACGGTATTGGGATCTATTCCAACGCTTTAGAAAGCTTTATCTATGCAGAACATGATATCCTCGTACGCGTCTTTACCGGGGATCAACGGGGGCTGGCTCTGCAAGCAACTTGTCGCTCCGCTTTGACCGAATACGCGCAAACCTTGCGCGAGCTCAACCAGTATATCAGAGCAAACTTCATGACGGATTGCTTTTTAGCATTCGAGATCATCGAGATTGTTACGGCCATGTCGTACCGTGTGGAGTCGAAAACAGGCGAGTTGAAAAGCCTTTTCATCGAGGCTCTTAGGCCGGTTCGGGAGACGGCAAAATCGTCGCTTTCGGAGCTACTGGAGGAGACAAAACGCAAGGCTGCAGGGATTGCCATGCTCCCGCCAGATGGCGGGTCTGTTCCCCTTGTCAATGAAGTCATGAGTTCCCTTACTACCCTGACAGGCTATTCGGGGCCGCTCGCATCGATCTTGACATCCCTGGGAGATGGAAATTGGCGGTCCACGACCAATGCAGCGCCCACGGCGCCCTTGGATGTCAGCCCGGACAGCATGACGCTCTTATCGCACTTCATCCTCGATATGATTGAAGCTCTCATGATTGCTCTGGAAGCTCGAGGCCGAGCGCTTCACCGCTCAAAGGCAGTCCAGGGTGTTTTCTTGTCCAACGTATTCTGTACGGTTGACCGCTCCATACGGCAGAGTTCTGAGTTAGCCCGATACCTTGGCTCTCCCGACAGCATTGCACGAATCGATACTTTTCGGAAACGGGCCACTTCGACTTATCTCGATGCGTGGAAAGAAACTTCCCACTATCTTCTCGACGTGCAGTATACCTCTCGGGGCTCTGGTGGGTCAGCACGACCGGCGTCTGGAGGCGTTGTCGACTCCGCTGCCATTGTTAAATCACTCTCCTCTAAAGACAAGGACGCCATCAAAGACAAGTTCAAGGCGTTCAATGCTAGCTTCGACGAATTGGTGGCCCGTCACAAGGCACTGTATATGGAGCGGGAGGTCCGCGGGGTGCTCGCCCGGGAGGTCCAGGCTGTTCTCGAGCCACTCTATGCCCGATTCTGGGACCGCTATCATGAGATCGACAAGGGACGAGGCAAATATGTCAAATACGACAAAGGCAGCCTGTCGGCTCAATTGGCAGCGCTTACATGAGGATCGACATCTTAGATATATACCTACCTACCTTACCTTCTTATATTCATAATGTGATAATAGTGAGATTTGATGTGTGTGTAAATCTTTCCCCCACGTTTGGGGCCATCATGTGATGATAAGCCATTCCGGCGATAACGTGACCGATAAGCGGAGACCCCGCCGTGTTCATCCACTCCACTAGAAATTTGCTGCCATCCCGCACAACTTTCGCCTCGCCCCTCCTCCGCCTTTTCTCCTTTTTCTCTTCCCTCAATTCCTTCTGCAGTCCTCTCAATTCCTCACGGCCAAGATGTCTGCCAGTAACGATGTCTACCAGACCCCTCTCAACTCGCGCTACTCCAGTAAGTCTCTCGGATTTACCGCTGGCGATCTCCTGCCCTCATAGTGCGATATCGGACTAATATGACTCCAATCTTCAGGCGACGAGATGAAGTATCTCTTCTCTCCCAGAAACCGTTTCTCTACCTGGAGACAGCTGTGGCTCTGGCTTGCCGAGGCTGAGAAAGGTGATTTATACTGTCCTCTGTGACGCTTTTGTCACCCTGCTCCCGCTTGCCCGACTAACCCGTACAGAGCTCGGTTTGCCGATCTCCGACGAGGCCATTGAGCAGATGAAGGCTCACCTCACCATTCAGGACGACGAATTCAAGGTTGCCGCAGAGGAGGAGAAGCGCCGTAGACACGATGTCATGGCTCACGTCCATGCCTATGGTCAGGTCGCTCCTGCTGCTGCCGGAATCATCCACTGGGGCGCCACCTCCTGCTACTGCACCGACAACGCAGACCTGATCTTCCTCCGTGACGGACTCGATATCCTTATCCCCAAGCTTGCTGTTGTCATTGACAAGCTGTCTGCCTTCGCTAAGCAGTACAAGGACTTGCCCTGCCTGGGCTTCACCCACGGACAGCCCGCTCAGCTTGTTACCGTCGGAAAGCGTGCCTCCCTGTGGATCCAGGACTTGCTCATGGACCTGAAGAACCTCGAGCGGGCTCGCGATGATCTGCGCTTCCGTGGTGTCAAGGGTACCACCGGTACTCAGGCCTCTTTCCTCCAGATCTTCGAGGGCAACCATGAGAAGGTTGAGCAGCTGGATGAGCTGGTCACCGAGAAGGCTGGTTTCAAGTCTGCGTACATCATTTCCGCCCAGACCTACTCCCGTAAGATTGATGTCGATGTTGGCAATGCCCTTGGCTCTTTCGGCTCGACCTGCGAGCGCATTGGCATTGACATTCGTCACTTGGCCATGCTGAAGGAGGTCGAGGAACCTTTCGAGAAGGACCAGATTGGTAGCAGTGCTATGGTGAGAGAAAAATTCAAGGAACCAATGAGAGCGACAGGAAATACTAACGTGGTTGGTCTGTGCAGGCTTACAAGCGTAACCCCATGCGGTCCGAGCGTCTGTGCTCCCTCGGAAGACACCTTCAGAACCTCCCCAAGGATGCTCTGGACACCTACTCCGCCCAGTGGTTCGAACGCTCTCTCGTAAGTTTGCGAGACGCTCCCCATTATTAGACAGACTTCAACTAACGACATGAACAGGATGATAGTGCTATCCGCCGTATCAGCATCCCCGAACTCTTCCTTTCCGCCGATGCCTGTCTCATCCTTCTGAGTGAGTTTCCAACCTCTTTTCCAATCATCTCTCCCGATGCTGACAACGATTAGACAACGTCACCTCCGGCTTTGTTGTCTACCCCGAAGTTATCAGACGCCATGTCAACGATGAGCTGCCCTTCATGGCCACGTAAGTACCCAATGCCTTCATCTCTGCATCGTAACATTTGCTAACTCAAAGACCACCTACAGTGAGAACGTAAGCCTTCCGCGAGCAGAACCGTCCCTGTCAATAATACTAACCATAACATAATAGATCATCATGGCCTGTGTGAAGAAGGGTCTGTCCCGTCAGGACGCCCACGAGGAAATCCGTACGTCGCGCGGCCCCCAAATCAAGTCCCACATCAGCTAGCCCTAACCTAATAACTTCTTGCGCTACAACAGGTGTCCTCTCCCACCAAGCCGCCGACAACGTCAAGAAGCTCGGCTTGAACAACGACCTGCTCGACCGTGTCCGTCGCACTGCTTTCTTCGCCCCCATCCTGGATGAGCTTGACGCTCTCCTCGACCCCAGCACCTTCGTCGGCCGTGCTCCCCAGCAGGTTGAGAAATTCCTCTCCACCGAAGTGAAGGAGGCTCTCAAGCCCTACGAGGCCCAGGTCGCCAAGGCCGAGACCTCTGCTCTCTACGTATAGTTTCTTCCGCACGCGCGCACATATAAACACGTCATGGAGTTATACCGAGCGGGCAGGCCGGACAGGAGCGAATTGGCATTTCCCCCCCTACAATCTCTCCATACACAAAAGTGAAACTAGTCATGCGACATGCCAGCGAAGTCTGTTCCAAGTACCTTGATTTGTCCAAAACGGAAGAAAGCCGAAAAGCTGTTCCAGCAGATTCCAGCAGTCTAAAAGACCATGTGTATAGATAATAATTGATGAAATGATACGAGATGTTAATAATGCACGTTGAATAAATATTCTGCTAGTCGGTCTGTCCGTATTTTACCATCTTAAGTGGCGTTACACGAAGTACCTGTAGCGGAGAGATACACACTATATACCCATTGTACTATCCATCCTTATCGGAAGCCTAGTAGACGCAGTGACAGGGAAGTTGCTGCTGCAGCCCTGACGGCCCAACCAGTCGGCTGTGGTAAAACAAAGTTTGGCAGAACTCAAAACTGTGGGGAGAAATCTAATGCAACATTTCACTCACGCCTCAGGCTGTATTGAGAGACACCGTATGCAAACCTATTTAATAGTGGACTACGGCATTGTAGATCTTTCCGGTTGCGGGCACCACTATGTATGACCAGTCAGCTGTTTGTCGCTCAACTATCTAGGGTTCTATAACTTCAGTGCGAATGTATTGTGGCTGGTTCAATCGAGAAAACATAAGACACAGGAAATAGTGTTAAAAAAAAATTCAAGAACGCCATGGCCATTTAATACCAAACAAACAGACGTGGTGTGGATGAAGCTGCGGGTTACATGGAACAAGATAGATGAATAGATGGGTAGAAGAAAAGGCAGTGAATAGATATGCGATGCACGATATAGTAATGAAGAACGAAGAAAAGGGAAAGAAAATGAAAAGGAAAATGAAGAAGATAGGAAAAGAAATGACAAAACGCCCATCCCATCCATCAGAAGCAATCTTTCTCTCAGAGAGTACTTCAAATGGGTCGTCAATGTTCGACAGATAAGACACTATAGGACAAGAAAAGCAGCGAAGAACAGAAACACTGTCGATCACTGTTTAGATGAGAATACCTAGGGGTGATTTGGGTTAAATGGAGCGCACGCTTTAGGGAAATCCAATACCGTAATTACTTGCGAAAGGAACCTTTAAACGGCTGGCATAGTGCCGCTCAGTCATCAATTCAAAGCGCAGCCAGCCAGTTGACAACCTAAGGAGCTTGTTATTGAGAGCGCTTAGCGGCAAAATCAGCAGAGGGTTACTCACCATCATCGCCTGTATCAAAGCCACCTTCTCTCCGTAGTGCTTACCATCCCAGCTATCTGCTTGAAGGGTCGCATTGTACATACCCAGGGCATCCAAGCCTCTGTTGCGGGCTTCTTGGGCGGTGTCTTGGGAGTACTGCCAGCTGGAAGCGTGGATGTTGTCCCTCGAGTCCTTTTGAAGCCCAGGAGCTGTCGGACCTACCCAGAGAAAAGGAGTGTTCCGTCCACTGGCCTGGGCCAGCGTGAGCCATTCATCCATGCTGCTTTTAGCTGTAGACAAGGAATAGGATGTGGAAAGGGAAAGACTCAGGATCACGGGAACGGGTCTGTTTCGGCCGACTCCTCGGGCGACCATTCGACGAAATTTTTCAATCACACCCCTTGGGGCAGGTGAGCTGGATGTAGCGAGGAAGGCATGAGGAATACCTGAGAGCACAGAAGGGGTCAGCAACCCAGCCCAATTGTGAGCATTGATGGTGGCTAGGACGCTGGGGGTGCTTACGAGATGAACAAGTGTAAGGCCTGCGAGTGGCACTGCTGCCTTCTTGCGCGTATACCTCGTCACTTGAAGTGATCCGCAGGGGTAGGCACAAGCTACTGGTGAACTGGGATTCACATCGGCAATCGTGACCATGTCCTTTGCTTATCTCCCACTCTCGCAGGGATCCAGTGGCCAGGTCCTCCCGCAGGAGAATGTTGAACCCTGCATAAGTATCGGCCAAGGTATCATCACCCACGAAGACGATTCCATCGAATTTCCGAAGAATGTCGCACACTTCGGCGCTAGTGAACCAACGATAAGAGCATCCTGGAGGGGGCGGTCAGTTTGACTGTCAGGAAAGCAGCTGTTGTCCCTCTGGGGCCCCTCCGAGAAGCCGAAGTGTCCGATACGAGGAGCGAAACAATCGATGTGGCACTTGCCTTGAGAGGTATACGCAGCGTCAAAGCCGTGACGCCCACCATTGCTCATGGCGTTGAGCAGGGCATCACGAGATTGGCAGTATGGATTGCCTGGAGCACGTTCGCCATCACCGGGTTGAGGGGGGGTGAAGAGGGACAGGGAAGAAATGTCGCACTCTTGACGACCCACATAGGGAGCCAGCAAACTATGTACAAGACGGGGCCAGATGAGTAATTTGGGTCATGGACCAGGAAACGATGAGGTCAACCAAGGAGGACAAAAAAACAAGGAAATTGGCAGGGAGAAGGCATCCAGGGACTTACTCATTCGCGTCTTTGGAGGTAACAGGCTGTCTGGAGGAGGCGTAGAAGGGATAGTAGAAGACATCCCGGATCAGCCAAACGATATAAAAGACACCCAACACCCACAGACAAGCCATCAACTTGTACGTGGAGGATCGCCAGGTGACCCTACGAATCAAGCGTCGACCGTTGGGCCCTTCGATCGGGCCGCGTCGCTGTGGAGCATTGCTTTGCTGCATCCCGGAGAAAGGATAGGCAAGAGCTTCGTTCATAGTAGATGAGAGACCCAATGATTCGCTGTGAGAAGCACGACGGCGAGACATATTGGGTTTGTTTACATGAACATGCAGCTGGAGGGGTAGTACAAGGGGGGGGAGAAGGAAAGAGAGTCAGGACAGATGCATCTGCTGAAGTACCAGAAGCCCTTGTTTGCTTAGGTGACTGACTGCTCAGGACCAGTCCAGTCACAGTCCAAGCTGAGGTTTCGGATTAGGCAGGATTCCCAGCCAACGTAATGGGGCCAGCCAGGGGAAGCACCTCGAAGGGGGACAAATAGAATAGTAGAGAGTATCGGAGCAGGAAGGGAGGGGGGTTGACTTGTGTAGTTTGAGGCCGGAGACAGGCCGTCTTGTCTGGCACGACTCGCCCGAATCGGTGATCAAAGAGGCACGTAGATGTGATGGTGATGGTGATGGTGATGGTGATGATGATGATGGAGTTAGAAGCAATAGTAAGGTATCGGGGTTGGAGACTCTGAGCTGCTAATTTCCTGAAGCAGGAAACAAACAATCACCACCCAAGAAGAGAAGGAGGGGGTCAGATGGAGGGGGGAGTAGCTGAAGAGTGGAGGGAGGCCTTTAGATGTCTCCTTCCGATTGGGATGATATTATTCCCAAGAATTGGTGCCTCTCTCACTCTCTCCTCTTCTCTTTCCTTGCTCTCTTCTCTCTTTGTTTCGATTCTCTTCTTCTTTTCTCTCCTAAAGTCCTAGCTGGACGTGTGTCGTCCTCACCCTGCCACCTGAGATTTCTTCAGTCAAAGTCGACGGTTGCCCCAAATCCGTTCCACCAAGTGGCCTCTCGTTCTTTCCTTTTTGAGCAGGTTTCTACTTCCCACCCAGTCTTGTTCTGTTGGTTTGACTGGTTTGTTTCACGCTTTATTATTTCTTTTTTTTTCCCCTCTTCTGATTTTTTTTTTTTTTCTTTCCTCTTTTCCTTGTCGGTTTGGTCTCCTCTGTCTTGGCTCCAAAGTGATCCTCTTTTTTCCCCCTGAATATTAACCAATACGAAGGCTCCAATGACAGGACCACACACGCACACACAATGGGATCAACAGAGTGACAGAAATATAGCCTAGAAGGCAATGGAGGGGCAAGTAGTTATTATGAAGGAGGGGCTAATTGACTGGTTCCGGGCCAGTGAAGGGCAGAGATTCGGCTTCACCAGCATGAGCGCAAAAAAGGCAATGCTGGGAAGGTTTGCGGATCCTCTCTATCGGGTTCCTGCCAATGAGTGAGTGCACAGCAACAACCCAGCCAGATAGTCTGGTAAACGCCTTCTCCAGTGCAATCGGGAAGATTAACAATAAGAATTGCCAAAGGGAAAAAGAAATATGAGATCCAAAAAGGAAAAAGCCAACTAATCATCAAAATCTATGAAGTTAAAGAAAATGGAAACTGAAAAGAAAATCAGAAATCATAGACCCCAGGAGACGAGGAAGTGAAGAAGAACCCCGGAATACACACAAAAAAAAAAAAAAAACAAAGGCCATAAATAAATACTAATAATGAAATATCATTAATAAAAAAGGCATGACGAGGGTTTTTGATGTTCGTGCAATGCCGGTTTGCATCATTTTTCTTTCGCACCCCAATTTTTTTTTTTGTTCCTTTTGGGTTAGAACAATAAACCCACAGGGTAACGGAAATAAAAAACGAACAACTAGAAACCGACAAGTGCCCTCAATCAAAGCCGCTGGAATAAAATCCTGGGACAGTCATCCTTCCACTGCATGTAAACAAACTGGTCGATGGATCCATTTTCCCCCCTCCTTCTCGTCCCGATCCATCAGTCCACAACCGGTATGAGCTATAGCCATCATCATAACACATAAGAATGGCAACAAACCCACTCCCGCACACAAATAATAATAAGCCTCGGGGGAAGAAATTGGTCCGTGACATCAAATCGGACACTTTTCACTCACCTATTATGGAAAAGTTTGCCCCTCTAATCGTAATCACTGCGTTTCCCGACCACTTCGGGATCTTGGACAGATCACACAATCGGTAAAAATGAATAAAAGAAATAAAAAAACAAAATAAATAAATATATAAGAAGCAGTATAGTAATATATATATCAGAAAAAGTTGAGCCCAAGATAAGGTGGTGAGACCAACAACAAATTCTGAAACCAAAACACAAATAACAAAAAATCGGTATCCCCAGAAGAAGTCCCGTGGAAAGAGAAACTCAGGGTCAACCCAAGAGCTGCCGGTGCTTCCTCGGCGATTTTAAAACGGTCAACTCACACCGCACGGTGAGATGAGGGCCAGTCAGATAACCTGACGGGCAGATACTCGAGGTGACAACTAGTTCTCCGGTTGGTGGGCCAGACAGGTGTCAAAAAAGTTAACGAGACTCCACTGTTCAAGAAGGTTTCGGGCGGAAAGGACATGCGAAGAATTGAATGTGAGACCAGAGGGACGCCAGCTGGAGTTAACTGAACTATGGCCCCGGGATTGCAGCTAAGGGGTGAGAGAGCCCCCTTTAGGGGACGAACAAGGGCCTTACTTCCAGCCAGTCCATGGTCACCTTTCATGACAGGGGGGGGTTGTGGGTGGAAGGGTGGAAGGGTGTGGGTTGTAGACGGGGGGTTGTGGAAAATCGGGCTCCATCTCTCGCAGACTCAACTCACTTTTCTTCTTCTTTGAAAGTGATAGAGCAGAAATGACAGAAGATCATGACGACGCAATGATGAGGAAGGAGTCACCACCTGCCTGAAGACCTTGGGTTGGGCATCCGTTCCATGCCTTTTCTTTCAACTTTCCTTTTTATTACTTTTTTTTCCTCCCAAATTTTTACTGTTTTGTATTCTCTCTTTTCTTGTCTGCTCCGCCTCTTTCCAGCCCTATGCAGCGGTTTGGGGTTGATAGGTGTTCTCTCACCGCGTCGCGTCGTATCTCATCCTCCCTCATCTTTATCAGAACGCGGCCCAGCCTGATTGGCTCTCACCGTCAGTAGACTACCCATCGGAGATGCACCACGAGGATCTTCGCTGCTGCGGCCGTCGTTTAAATATTCCACCTGGGTCTTTTTGCTTTTTCCGCTGTTGTGTCCAGTGACTCAATTCCTAGTGGTGATGAACCAACCCAAGTACAAAAGCCACGATGTGGCTGTCCAGGGACATTGTTGCCCAGAACTTTCTTCGCTTTTCGTATGCAGGGACAATACGGAATACTAGACCACGAGCATACGCCCACAACAATACATTTGATAGTCTTTTCGTGTCGTGTCATAAGAGGGGTGTTTCTCTTCTCCCACATCTGCCCTTCTTGTTTCCCCTCTTTGGATTCATTGTTTCTAGTTCAGCTTCCCGTTAGTGCTGTTGGCCATCAACATGGCAGGTGACTAGAGTTCTTTTCATCCTGACCGTTTGGGGAGTGGTCACGAGGCCGATCAAAAAAAAACAAGCGATAAACTCCAAAAGAATCACCCATTGTCCGAAACAGACTACTAATCGGGAGCCGGTGTACACCGTATACATAAGCTTGTTGAGAACCTCTGAAGAACCACGGGTCACTGGGGACACCCGCGGGAAGGGGTGAACCTAATCAGGTGTACCTTGACAAAAGCAGCGAGCTGCGTTTTTTTAAGAGGGAGGGAAAGACAAAGAAGCAAAGCTGAGACTGACTAGGAACCAGGGACTCTGGACTATTACTCCGTACATCTTGCTGGATAGGTTCTGGCCAGTCGGAGTGTGCGCGTGCCCCGGATTCGAACCAGCCTCGGACGAAGGGGAGATCCGGAGAAAGGTTCAGCTTGACACCGGCAATCCCGTGCGCGTCGACCTATTGCTATGGACTACAGCTATCTACTAACTATTTCCTGACTAGTCAATAGTTAACCTAACACTACAGTACCGGAAGATATCAGCTTAAGTAAGATGGAGGTGCATACAATGCCACCCACAGACACAGTCGGCTGAAAGGGTCTACGCGATGAGGCAAGAGGGGAGGTAACTGACAATGGCCAGCCACGACCAATTTCCTCCGTAGATGGGGCAATACAGATCTGCGAGGGTAGCAGCAGCAGCGCAGGCGATTCACGGAGTATTTGAGCCCGGACGGTTCCTGCTTTTCCCTATGACCGGGTGGTGCGATGGGCAAGATCCAAAGAGTGGCTCCGAATCGGCAGAGGAAATAGCAACATCCTCGGCCAAGCACGGGATCGCAGACGGCAACTGCCCCCCACCAGCGCACGTGACCAGTGACTCCCCGGGAATCGCGAGTCTCCGCAGCAGCCCATCCAAAAAGAGTCATCCTCCACCGGTCGCTCCTGCCCACTTCCCTCCGCCCGTGCTCTCTTTCCTTTTTCTCTCTTTTCCCCAAACTAAAGATCTGGACCTTCTTGGCTGTTGTTGTGATTGTTGTTTGCTATCCATATTACCCCGTGGAGGCTCACCCCCCCGGTGTTTGATCCCCTTATATATCTCTCTGTCTCTTGCCCGCCGAGTTCCTAGTTTCTCTGCGAGGCACCATTCCGGGGATCTTCATACCGCCCGCCGTTCCGAGCTCGTCTGCGAGCGGAGGTGTCCCTCAACCTCGGTAGTCCTTCTCCCACTTCCCACTCTCCTCGACTGTCACAATTGACTGACCAAGTATTCTACCAGCTGCTCTCGATCATTTGGAGCACTTGTGGAATTCATATTGGTTGTATCGAGTGCTATTCCAGGCCGTCTGGCCTGATCCTCGCGTTGACATCATGTGGAAGCCGTCGGAGAGCCTGATGAACACCATCAGACATTATGCCAGCTTCCCTGCAACTGGTGTCTCTCTCCGGCAGATGGTGCAGTTTGGAGATAGACCCTCCACAGGTAAGTCTTCTTCTTCTCAATCGGAAGCCCTCTCGCTCTTCCAACTCCTCGAGTCGAGTGACCACCGCCCGCTAACCTCGTGATCTTCTCCCGCACCAGGCACCCTCTTTCGCGCCTCACAATTCCTTTCCGAAGAACTCCCAATACGCCTCGCTCATCGTGTTCAGGATCTTGGAGAACTTCCAGATGGACTCAGTGAAATGCCATCTATCAAGAAGGTCCAGGACTGGTACGCACAGTCGTTCGAGGTATGACTCATACTCGCGGGAGTTGGTTCTCGGGTGGATGACTGACATGTGATAATGTAGGAAATCATTAACCTCCCCCGACCTACTCTGACCCAGGAAGTCAAGACTCGTCTGCTTCGTCCGGGGAGGCTCAACGGAGGCACTTCGAGGATCCTCTCCGAAACAACCCAGAACCCTAGCATCCGTGAAGGACAATATCGGTCGTCTCCCTCGTCCCTGTTGAATGGCAACGGCAACGGTAAAGGCGCCGCCGTGGGCCGAAGATACTATGCTCCATCTGACGACCACGGAGATTGGCCGCCAGAACTGAATGATTACAATGAACGCTTCGCCAAGACTTTGCAGCACATCAAGCGGAGACACGACAGTGTTGTAACTACCGTGGCTCAAGGTATTCTTGAATGGAAACGAAAGCGTCAACGTCTGCAGATTGATTCCACCGTCCAGTCCTTCCTCGATCGGTTCTACATGTCTCGGATTGGTATACGAATGTTGATTGGTCAACACATCGCCTTAACAGAACAAACGCATGTGCGACAACCAAACTATGTCGGTATCATTTGTACGAAAACCAATGTGCGCGAGGTGGCCCTCGAGGCTATCGACAACGCTCGCTTCGTTTGTGAGGATTACTATGGCCTGTTTGATGCTCCCAAAGTGCAACTTGTCTGCAAGGACGATCTGAACTTCATGTATGTTCCGGGTCACTTGTCCCATATGCTCTTTGAAACCTTGAAGAACTCCCTGCGTGCTGTCGTGGAAGCCCACGGCGCAGACAAGGAAGCCTTCCCGGTCACCAAGGTCATCATCGCAGAGGGCAAAGAAGACATTACCATCAAGATTTCCGATGAAGGTGGTGGCATCCCCCGTTCCGCCATCCCCTTGGTCTGGACGTATATGTACACTACCGTAGAGCAAACTCCTAGCCTGGATCCCGATTTTGACAAGAGTGACTTCAAGGCTCCCATGGCTGGCTTTGGGTACGGTCTGCCAATTAGCCGACTGTATGCTCGCTACTTTGGTGGCGATCTGAAGCTGATCAGTATGGAAGGGTGAGTGCCAAGTTCCCGCGCCGGCATTATTGTGAACGAATCAAGGCCACTAACCAGACACTAGGTATGGCACGGACGTCTATCTCCATCTTAACCGACTCTCTTCGAGCTCGGAGCCCCTGCAATGACAATTACCAGTCATGAGGGATGGTCGCGTCCGGTTCTCCACTTCCCACCGACTGCATCCTTTCTACACGGAACCGGATCCGCCACCATCCCAAGGATTGACGCCGATGAATATTCAAAGCGCGCTTATGCGCAATCGGGAAGTTTCCGAACGCAAGCAAGTTGGAGATGCAGCAATCCTGCTCAACGCTGAGACGCGTGGATAAGGTAGCTGCAATTTGCTTGGCGCTTACCCTCGCCCAGTCGACATGCTCAAGCCGACGCACTAGACTGGGGTCATAGTGGGGACAGAACTTCTAGAGAACTATACGCCACGAAACCTTGTCATACCATGGCTCAGCATGTGACGTGGTCGGCCCCCTTGCAGGCCTTGTGGGTGGAAAGGTGCTACTACCATTTTGAAATTTGTTGAAAAGTGAAGTGCTGGCATCCCCCATGTGTTTTGGGAGGATATATTGAGATTCAGGCCGAATAATGGTCTACTAGATACCCTTTTGGTACGATGGATCCGCATTGGAAGACACAGACGCTCATGCATTGATTGAGTCGTATTTTGGAGATCTATCTATACACCACTATAGATGATTGGGCGCCTGTGTCTGTATTCTTCCTTGGACCGCCATCTTTTGTTGCTTGTTTGCTTGCCCTTATTTATTGTTACTGATTATCTTGCACGTTATGCATGAGTTGCAACCCTCCTTGTATAGTATGTTTTATCACGGATTGACGGAATATGGTATGGTATGGTTTGGATAGGATTTGTATGTACACAAACGCAGCGCTGCTGAATCATTGAATTATTGTTGAATATACAGACAGACCCAATATCTGTAAGAAAAGAAAAGCTTAGCATCTAGTCAGTACGTACTACTACTATAACCCCTCAAAACCCCCTCCTTCTCTCCCTCTCCCAATATGACGCCGACTGCTGCAAACCCCTGCCCCCTCTACCCCCCCTCCCCACCCGATCCGGCGTCCCCATCCTCCCCTTCATCTTCGATGCCGACGCAGACCCAGACCCAGAAATAGACCCCGACCCCACCGACGCCGGCGACGACTGCATCCCACCAGCACCAGCACTTACCGATCCCCCTCGTCCCGCCCGCTCCATCGGCCTCCTCCACCCCGCATCATCCGTCTCATGCACATCCACCACCTGACGCGGCACAATCATCGCAACCGTCGACGAAGAAGCAATACTGCTCGTACTGGGATGCTGCACCGTGAACCGGTCTGCGCGGATCGAGGCCGCGGATTCGGGGTCCTCCGGGGCAAGAAGACGGGATAGGAATCGGCGGCGGGTTTGCGGGAGGGTCTGTACATTAGACATTGTCCATGTTAGTAGTCTTGGTGTTGTTGGAGGGAGGTACCGGGGGAGGGTGGGATAGTCTCACCTCCTGATGCGCCAACGCCTGAATAGTCAGTAATTCCCTATCTAAGAGGACGCATAACGCGGCGTGTCGGTCTTCGCGCAGTCGAGTGCGTATTTGGCGTTCTTGGTCTAGGGTTGTTTGGTAGAGAGTTGGGCCGAGGTGGGGGGTGGGGGTTGTTGGGTATGCTGTTCCCAGGGTTGAGTTGTTAGTGGTTGTCGTTTTTTCCTTGTTTTTCATTGCGTGGTTTGGATGGTGGTAGGATTAAGGTGATTGCGGGGTGCTGTGCTGCATATTAGGGGGAGGGGGGGAACTTACTATACCCCATTATACCCGAGTGAGGCCGTGATGATTGTAATGAGTACTCTACTTGCATGTCGTCGTCGTCGTCATCGTCATCGTCGAGATCGCGATCTAATGAGTCTTGGTCGTCTTCGACTCCTTCGATGTAGATCTGTTCCGGGTAGTCGCTTTCGACTTCTTCGTCCTCCTCGTCGTCGGCAATCACGATGGGATCTTGTTGGCGACGGCCGCGGTTGGGAGGGGGGATGTTGGGATTGAACATTGTTTTTTATTTCTTTTTCTCTTCTTTGGTGAGTTGAGGGACTGGTGGTGGTAATTGAGGTGTGCGGAGTATGTATGTGTGTGGTATATGCGCAGAGTGGGTATTGTTCAAGTCGCTTTCTTTAGCATGTGATTATGCTTTGATGCGTGCTGATAGGAATCACGGGGGGATGATTGATTTCGGTTGAACATGTAAGCAAAGTCGCATAGATGTAGAAAGTGCAGAAAGTATGCTGGTATGCTGATAGACAGAATGGATTGTGCTGTGTGCTGTGTGTGATTCGTGCTCAAAGTATTCGGTAGAGCGACACGAGCTCCGCAGCGTGCATACACTGTACAGGTCGAGCTTCCGAGCAGATCAGACGATATGAGCGAACCGAAGGTGACAGAAGCTGCATAAATGGCAATTTGTAGTAGAAGTAGTGTTCAACCCCGTCCGGCAGGATCAGACAAGTCAGAACTCCCGTCACGCTGGGGTTGCAAAAAGAACTGGCGCGAAGCTGTTGAAGAGAGAGAGGAAAGAGTGGAGAGGATGACGATGGCGGAGAAGGAATGGGAGTAGCGCGCGGCTTAGTCACGGGGCTGCCCTACATGGCGGGTTGACAGGTCACTTTTACGAACCGCTTCACTGCGAGGGATACTATCAGTCATGATCAGATGGTTCATTGGTATTCACTTCTATCAAGTATCTCTATCTGCTCGACCATTACTCGCTCAATGCTCGAACAATCCACTTCCATCCCACGTTGCCTGCCTCCCAATCACTCAAAATAATTCTCCAATCCTCACAAAGCCACTACAATTTCAAGCTAAAAGCACAAACCATCCCAGCACCACATGGCAACCGGGTAAATGCGAAGAAATCTGCATAGATTACAAGTGAAGATAAAGATGCGATATGTCAGACCCCAAACCACCAGCTCGAAGGACGAAAAGACGCCGTCAACGCCAAAGGATAATGCCGCTAAAATGACTCGCAAGCGCCTATGACCGGCACCATGGGCATGCCAGTAAGCCGTGCGGTGTTTGTATCATGAAGACCGGCTGAAACTGATCTGGTATTTCCAGCAACGCTAGGTAATGCTCGAAGATCGAATCCCGCGTTCCGTCGAAAGAATTAGCACCCGTGCATTAATGAGTTCGTGGGCCAGTCGTAGCCGGCTTCATCCCTGCTATGCATTAGAAAACCCTGTGCTGCAAAGTCCAGAGGACGGATACACATACCATGTTGTTACGTTGTTGTTATTGTACGCTTCTGCGTGGCTGGCAATATACTCGGTCGTCTCATAGCCTGGTGGGTCGCAGGTGACACTGATGTTGTCCGGATCCTGGTATATGCGGATATAATCAAATCTCATAATCCCAGGCATTAAGTCGCGGATTGTGGCATTTATAGGAGCGAAACTCCATGCCATACCCAGGTTCATAACTATCGACATCGGCTCCATGGGAATCATTCGCTGTCCAACGTTGCCGTTAGGACCAATAGCTCGCCCGTCTAGGGTCCAGGTCTTATCCTGGCCCACGAACCAGGTCACGTTGCCTACCGCACCCGGGGTATACTCGAACGCATATACCTGGTACTCGGTCCCATTGTACCAGCGATTGTTGAGGTTAGTCAGGCCAGACATAGCCTGCTGATACGGCCCGCCTCGATAGGAGTTGATCTCGGTGATACGAGGGTCGTACACGGCAGTGTATTCTGCAGATTGTCAGATCAGGGATTGCCAGGCGCATGCTTGTCAGCAACGTCAGTCACCTACCGTAGTCAGGCATGTACCAGATGTCAAATGGTGCCATCTGTAAACTCTGGGACGCGGTTCCGATGTATGCGTTTGGGTTGTTGTTCAGAGGCCCTACACTGGCCTCGATCACGTCGATTTCTGGGGCGCCGCGGGACTTGCCCGGGGTGGGATGATCGGCACCTTCGCAAGTGCACGCCGGTAGACGCATGCCGGGAAGGAAATTGATACCATCTGGAGAACTTTGGTTAGGCGTAATGCCTGCGTCGCATCCGTCCCAGTAGCTGTATGGCCACGTGCCATCCGTGGTCGCAGCATAGCCCGGGCGGCCTAGGTTGCCCATCGCCCAGAACCCAGGCCAAAATCCAGATACATCCCCAGCTCCGGGTAGGGAGATACTGGCTTCCAAGCGTCCACCGGAGAAGCACAGCTTATTCCAGCTTTGCACCATTCCCGAACGGTATCCAAGCTCATGGTTTGTAAACGCATCGAAGCGAATCTCCAACGATCCGTCTTTCGTCGTGACCGCATCCGGGTCATACCACTGTCAATCGGTTAGTCGTGATATATCGATGAAATACGATATCAGTACTAGCCTGTAGGTCCTGCGTCACACCATACCAGAAATTCATGGCCTGATAATAGGCGTCATCCCCCTCATAAAATGTTCGGCCAGGGGTCTCAAATTCGTCGGAAAACTGCTCCCGGGTTAATGACCATTCACTGTTGTAGCACACAGTATCTTCTCCCAGTACTCACTACTAACTGCCATTCCTTGCCATCCGCTGTCTTCTTTGTCATTGCCGATTCAGGCGTGTCCGGGTCTATCAATCCGGTCCTTAGGTTGGTAAGGCCTGATCGATCCCCAACGTCAAGGCACAGAGTATCGGCCGGGTCACATGTCGGCACGTATTTTCTATCTATCCCACCCAGAGCAGTTCTAATGGCCCATCAGTATATTTGCAATTGGAGCATGGCACCGAAATCAAATAGCCAGGACAGGAAGGACTCACATCACTGGGTACGCAACAAAGAGCACTACAAAGCCCACTGTCATGAGGAGCAGCCCACCCAGATTAATCAGACCCCGTTTGTTCCATACATCGCACACTATGTCCTTGTCATTTGGATCGGGATTGTGCATATAGTCATCCTTCTCAACATCCTCCGGGAACAATAATAATCCTTCTGTTGGCATTATGTTGTACTTTTCCGTCACTGTTTGGGTGTTCACGTCATCCCCTTCACTTTCTGCACGCGACGGTGCCCGCGAATCTTCAAATCGACTGTACAGGTAAGCTCCGGCATCATAGCTGACCGCCTCTGAGCTCCAGCTCGTCCGTCGCGAGGACCGAATCGACAATTCGGGAGACCGCAGTTCCTCTCTGAAGCGGTAGGGCCGCGGGGGTATTAAGAGCTCAGTTGATTCCTGGGGAGTGGGCGAGCCCCATGTCGTCGGGAACGTGGCTTCAGAGGTCGACTGCACCATGGCGGGGGTCAACGTCCGCCCCATCTGCTGGGGCGGTACTGAGACGTAGGGATCATCGGAGTCGGCGAATGGGTCATGTTGGCCCGAATTGACACGGATGTGAGGTGTCTCGCGCAAGATCGGGTCTTCGGACATCCTGCGAAAAGAAAGTCCGCCTCGAAGAGACTGGACTGGACGGCTTTTTATCCTAAGTCTGAAGCTCAATGGTGCTTATGCAGATTGGGTGTCAATGAGCGATTACCCGATATACCAAGATCCCTCCTAGCTTGCTAGATCACACTTCCTCCACTTCGCGTCCTTTATGTTCCACCTGGTCAGGCAGGTGCCCACCCTCTGCAGACCAGATACTTCAATGCAAGCTCAAGTGTGGTTAACGAAGGTTGTCAAATCCTGCTTAGTAGTAATGAATGAAAACACGGACGCGCGACAGATACTGGGTGTCACAATGCGATAATGAGAGTGAAAGTGGTTTTCTGATGTCCAATTATATCCTAGAGCCAGTGCATAGAAGCTGGACACGAGGATTGATTGACTCAACGCAGGAACTGAACTGAGGCCGAGATGAGATCTCCAGATCCTAAAGGATTGTGGGATGAGCGACAGCAAAGTAATTGTGCAGATAAGGAAGGAGTGGTGAACCGCTGAATCGCTCACAAGCCGACGAATATCACGGAGGCAAAATGCAAGAGAGTGAAAGAAAAGATAAAAGCACGCGAACTGGAGTCCAAGGAAAGCTGGGTGACAGAGGCAGCCGTTACGCAGGGTTCAAGGAAGGGATGGGCAGCGCACGAAGTGAAGAGAAGAGAAAATGAAGGTGAAAAAGAGCGAGAATGGGAGAATGGGAGAATGAGAGAGATGAAGGTGTGCGCAAGCCAGCGTGTGAACAAACAATGTCAATCCCCTCGAGTGGTCAGTTGGTCCTACATGCATGGATGAACCCAAGCTTTTTCTTCCTTATTTTTCCTTGAATTTCCCCTTTTTACACCCGAATGGAATCACCTTAATTTTTCTGCTGGGTGACGGCGGCATTACAGCTGCAGGAGGGGTTAATTACAGGAGGTGGTCTGGGTGCAACGACACGGTGGAATGCATTAATCAATTTTAAGAGTCTAAAATCCCTGGTGGGATTGCCAGGCCCCGGAAGGGCGGCACCTGCATGGATGCTGCCTCGAATTGAAGTTATACTGCATCCCCGATCCCCGTCCGTGGCTGCGGTCTTCCTTCCAATAATGTGATGAGCTGCTGCTGCACATGGGGGCACATCACCGCGTATACACCTGAATATGCAGTCATTACGGAGTTTACACCTGATGAAAGGGCCAACTTTCCCCAGCAACCCTTTCATGACAGGTGAGATTCCTGAATGCTGGGAAGGAATCCGGTTGCCCTTGACTGGCGAGAATGACGGGCCCTGAACCATGGAATTCCAGATTGGGCCGAAAATAATATCCATCTCGGGCGCATTAGTCCTGTTGGGGACTAGTTCGTACCAGGATGGAACGGCCACTAGTTCCCAAACAGATAACTTACAGTAACTTGCAGTTGCGCGAACTTCATTTAGCGCCGATCATCTGGTATTGTAACTTGGTAACAAACACGCCTGAACTCTCTCCTTCCCGCATTCTTGCCGCCGTTGGCCATTGACGACTGCATTCCATCTCTCCTGGCTGCCTGGATTATAGTCTTTGAGGATATAAGACAGGCAGCAAAGAATCGCCAGGTTGTCCCCTGTTCAATTGACTCCTGCCCTGGATAATCCAACCTTATGATATCCCGTTGCCAGAGCACTTACCAATCTCTGCTAGTTATCGGCCCGGACGGGAGTGCTCAGCCATTGCCGATGGGTGGACTTGGAAGCCGCACTATTTCCGTCACAGGGATATATTATCCAACCTAAATTCGCTACCCTCGCTGGCGATAAGGTTGATTCTAGAACTATCAGCCCGACTGTCCAATACGTGTTGACCAGGCAGAAAGTCAATCCAGCCGCTGACCACATAACATCGGTCCATCTTGGTCCAATAGATCCTGTGAAACATACTATAATAGAGACTGGGGCTAATCCATCCAGAAAGCAGCTGGCTCATTGGCGATGTACCTGCTTTGGTCAGCTAGGCGCTGAGGATGGACATTTAGATCTAGGTTTATCATCTATCAGTCCTTTGTAAGTAGAGGGGGGAAGATCCCCCGTATAGCACTAGGAACCCCTGGCCTGTGCTTTGGCGGCTATGTGATTCGCATGGACCACATTCCTTTAATAGTCAGCCAACTCATGTGAACTAAAATCCAGAGCTTTCAGGGTGTTTGATCAGTAGCTGCGTTTGCATCCTGAAATTGGAATTATATTGGTGTGTAACCCAGACCAGCCACCAACACGTCAGCTCTGGTCAGGTCTGGCACAGCCAGATCAGGACTAAAGTTAATCCAGCAAGTAATGGCTACAACGCCTTAATGAGCCATTGGGGCAGTTATCGAATATGCTCATGATTATCTCTCTAATCTCTAGTCATGGTGGGAGCAGAGAATATTAATCTACTACTGAGGATGCGAGTAGTGTAGTGTAATTGCATCAGTCTAACTCTCGAGTTGATTTGACACAGATATATATATATGTGTGTGTATACTAAACCATTATCAAATCCACTCAACCTCATCGACCACAGAACATTTGAACCATACTAAATACATCAATCTGTCTATTACGCAACAATGCTATCACATACTTTATTGTGTCGACCAGTGTGGCAGATGCCAGCACACTTAACTACTAGTAGTACTGACAAGACGTAGAAACTTGATATTTCCACCAATTGAAGCCGGCAAGATATATTACCGGAGTATATCATATTGATAGCATGATCCCAACCAATACACCAGTCCCTGACTAGTACTTCAATCCCACACTGCATGAACCTAGTTGGTTACTTACTAATACCTCTACTAACCCTCCCCTAAGTCGAACTAAGCTCAACCTACTACTACCCATTATTACTGAAAAATGACCGGACCTGAAAGACTGCTTTCACTGAACACCTCCATGGTAGATAATATATACATAGTAATACATACAGCAACTGTCCATGTCCTTCAGAATCTGAACCCCAAGTCCACCGAAACTATCAACAACAGTTTGCATAGAACCTCAACCACAATCACCAATTGTAGTCCTTCAACCTGGACCGACAACCGAATCCTCTCGAATCTCAATAGATACACCTCCGTCAAATAATTCAAAACCACATATTTCCCATTGCACCATTGCATCCACCATAACCACCTTCATCCTTGAGTCCCAACATCGGATCGTCAGTATCAACCCCCAGAAACATATCGATCAATCAATCACCACACATTCAGCAGCAACGGCACCACCACCACCACCATCAACAGTCCCCTCACCACCACCCCCATCACCCCACCCCTCAACCCTAACCTCATCATCATCCCCGACAACCGACCACCCCATAACCGCCAAATTAGCGACCAAAAACTCATCAAACCTCTCCACCACACCCCTGGAACACCCCTCCACCACACACCGAAACCTCCCCTTCACCCTCTCCTTCAAACAAACCGCCGTGCTCAGCATCTGCAACGACCTCCTCACCCCCTGCGGCACCCTCGCCCCCCTCGACGCAAGATTAAAAACCAAATACCAGATATCATGGCCCAAAGGAATCGCCCTACACGCATACCGCCAATTGTTCATGAGTGCATCAAAACCCGGCCACGAGATGGTGCAGACCCTGTTATTGTCCATTCTTTGGGGCTGTCTGACGAGGGGCATACAGAGAATTCTGGGCGGGGTGATGTACTCCGTGTTGGGGTCGGCGGCACTGTCGTAGAAGAAGAGATTGTCGATGTTGAGGGGTGACAAGGGCATGGGGGTGGGAGAGCTTGGCCGGTAGCCGATTTGCAGGTCGTGAAGGAGGTACAGCCGGATGTAGTGCGCGTGGCAGGTGATGAGGGAGTAGGTGGCTTGGTTGGAGAAGGCGTAGTGCAGGGCGATGGGGTCGCGGAAGGCGAAAATGTAGGAGGTGGGATTGGCGATGATGGTTTCGATGGGGATTGCGGTGCTTGTTGGTTGGGCGTTGTTGGATTGGATGCAGATTAGGGTGCCGTGGGCGTTGATGCAGATGAGGATCTCGATGAGAGGGGCGGGTTCGGGTTGAGGTTGAGGTGGAGGGGGCATGGGGATTTGGGGTTGGGGTTGGGATTGGTTGTTCATGTTGTTGTTCATGTTGTTGTTCATGTTGTTGTTCATGTTGTTGTTCATGTTGTTGTTCATAATTTGGTCTAATGTAGTTGTAGTGTGAGGTTCCATTGTATGTCCCATTGTATGATTGTGAGGCTCCATATTGTGTATGGTTGTTGTAGTGAGAATTGGATGGTTGCTGTTAAGGTTGACGTAGGGTTTGTGTGTATGCTTGTATGCATAAAATTAGAAAAAGACGAGAAGAGGACGAAGATGAAGACGAACTGGAGAACGAGAGAGGAAATGTAAAGAAGAATATAAAGTCCTCATCCAACCATAGAGGGCGCATCTTATATAGCACTTGACTATACTTGATCTAACACATCTCACTGCCATATAGGGCATTGTGTTTATAGCCGTGAATACGCCGCTATGCTCGAATTACCCGGGTGTCAATCAATCCGGTGCATCATGACGCAGTTTCTTTGGCATAATGAAAAGATTCACTTCGGCGTTGTCCTTCGTAACACCAGTCTGCGCATTGGTGGCGGGTTGAGCAGAGTTTGATGCTGTTATCTGCATATAGATGGCTGGCCCAGTTATACTAGCTACGCTAGCGTGCAAATGGCGCTAAAGGTCAGAGTGGTGAAGTGAATGAGCGTTAGGGCTGTGACACTACTGCACGTACGCGCTTCTAGAATGCATAGACCGTTCCCAGATAGTCATATTAGTATTGCTTATATCAACTTGAGTAACGTCATTTCTAAGCATAAAACTGGCCTGATATCACAGCGCTCTCACATAAGTCATCTTCTCATTATCCTACTTCCAACATCACCCATGAACAACCAACCTAGGTCTCAATAGCCTTAGCCCTCAATCCAACAACCAAGCCCTCTGTCCCATCCAGCGCCAAAACAAAGTACTCCACCCTCGACCTCGCCACCTCAACCCGGTAGACCTTGACAGCCGCGCCCTCCTCATCCCCAACGGCAGCCCTGACGGCTCTCACCACCCCGGCATACTGATTTCTCGGGTCGAACGTCGAAAATGTCAAGGTCTCGATGGAGTTGGAGAGGTCCGCATCTGGAGAAACTAGGTTGGAGAGAGCAGCTGTTATCCCATTCCACATTAGCTTTCTGTCCCAGTAGACAACATCCAATAGATATGTATATAGTCTAACAGGCAGACTCACCAGCATCAGGCCAAATTCCACGCTCTGCATCAGGCCATTTCAAAGCAACTGGTTCAAATGGCTCATCTGTTTCGGAGACGTAGAAGGCGTCGACGGAGGTGAGGGGCGCGGGGACGCGGACGTTGGTGTGGATGGTTTGAGTGCGTGGGGTGGAAGAAGTGTTGCCTCGTTGGGGCTGAAATTGGCTGGCATTGAGGTCGGCGTTGGCCTTGTTCAGGAAGGACATGTAGTCGTTGTCGGAAGACATGGTGCGGTTGGGAGGAGGGGTGATGAATGTGGTGTTGGGTGCTGGTCTTGCGGTTGTGAAGATAATGTAGGGACTGCGTTGGAGACAAGATTGAAATGAATACTGGTGGCAGCGGTGCTGGTGATATGACCGAGTAAGTTGAAGCGGTTGTTGGAGCTGGAATGAAGAGGGGCGAGCAGAAGATGTTGTGGAGGAAATTGAAGCCCAAGGCACGATGGGATCAATGACGCAATGGCCAGTGCGGCTGAGCGGCCAGCGGCGCAGACTTGCGGCGGTCATCTGATTGGTGCTTAAATGGACAACAGAGGGATTAATTGGATGGCTTCTAGAAGGATGGAGTGGAACAGGGACAGACAAGCAGCCAGTGAAGAGGTCGAGGGGCGATAGCTGTTGGACGACTCCTTGGTCTTGGTGGTCTTGAACGGGATAGGTCGACCCGATCGTGGAAAATTTGCATCGGAGTCTACGCACACACCATGCCTTGCCTACTAGGCGGAACCCCTTATGAAGATTCTTCTGAGGTCTCCTCGATGCCGTGCAGAGATTCAAGGCAGATAAGATAAAATCCAACACATTATTATTGCTACGTAAACTACCGTGACACCATAGGAAAAAGTGAAAGGTATTCTTCGCTTTTATTGAAACGTAATATAATTTGCACTACACCGAACCATTTCCATAAACACCTTAAGCGGAAGTCTCCAGGTCCTTCTTGAGGGTACCCATGAAGGCACGCTTCTCCTCGGGGGTCTGGAAAGCACCGTGACCGAACTTGGAGGAGGTATCGATCCACTTGAGCTCGATCTTCTCGGTGGCCCTGCGGCTGGTCTGGGGGTACAGGGTCTTGCGGAGGGTCATGACACGCTTCTTAACACCGGGGACGGAACCCTTAAGGAGAACGAAGTCGTTCTTGACCTCACCGTAGTGAACGAAGCCACCCATGCTGCAGAAGATTGTTAGCGTCCAAGGTCTTTCAGTTTATTTTAGAGAGGCTACTTACGGGGTGATCTGCTTCTTGGAGATATCGAAGTCAGTGGAGGCGTTACCCTCGTCGGAGCCCTTGCCAACACGGAAGACCTTGTGGTTGCAAGAGGTACGGTGGTGGTAACCCATCTGACCAGCACGGGCAACAGTCCACTGGACGTGGTTAGGGTGCCAGGCACCGATACAAGCGACCTTACGCAGACCCTTGTGAGTCTTACGGGGAAGCTTCTTGGTGCCCCAACGGCTGGTGACACCCTGGAAACCGTGACCCTTGGTGACGGCGATGACATCGATCATCTCGTCCTTCTCGAAGATGGAGTCGATCTCGATGGGCTTCTCGAACAGGTTGCGGGCGAAGTCAACCTTGTCGGCAACGGAGCCACCGTTGACCTGGATCTCCATCAAGTGGGCCTTCTTCTGCTTGAGGGGAGTCTTGCGGACTTGGGTGTGGGCGAGGACACGGACGACAGTGCAGTACTTCTTGATGCGCTCGAGCTCGCGGGTGATGGAAGCACCGTTCTCCTCGGCGTGCTTCTTGGCGTACTTGGTGAAAGCCTTCTTCTTGCTCTTGTACCAGTTCTTGTAGAAGCGGCGCTTGACCTCGTCGCTCAGGTGCTCAGCCCAGACGGTGGTGAGAGAGCGGAGACCACGGGGAGTCTCAATGTAACCGACAACACCGACAGCGACAAGCTATAAATCAAGATATGTCAGTCATTGAACAGATCCACAATCGCCAGGCCAGAAAAAAATTTTCTTTCTGCCTTCTTCCTACCAAGGGGTCCACGTACGGGAGGAGTCTCGATGACGGTAGCAGCCTCGACAACTTCCTTCTTGTGCATCTTGGCACCGGGACGGTCAAGGTCACGGACGACGGTGGTCATACCGGCCTTGTAGCCCATGGTGGCCGTCAGGTGGACGGGCTTCTTGGGGTCATCCTTGGGGAAGCTGCCGAACAGTTCAGTATATGTCCATCAAACTCCGATTTTTGCGTCTCGTCTTCGCGGGCCAAAAACTAACCTCTTGACCTTTCCACGGTGGCGGGCGGCGCGCTTGCGGGGGAGGTAGGCAAGAGAGCCTGTCGAAATCCAAGTCAGTATACCATCCACACACAAGACCTCGAGATTCCAATATCGTTTGAGAGGTCGCAAAGTAGGTTGACGAACCGTGCCGAGGCGCTTCGTACTTCCGGTGACTCCTGTAAAATAAATTGACTTAGCGACATTATTCCTTGAGCTCAACAAATTATCATATATCGCAGCAGGACGACTTACATCTTGACCCTGTTGTCGTTAGTCGTCGAAGTGGTGAGTGAGAGTGTCTATCTCTGAGTTTGCCGAAAGTCGTATTTTGCACGCTTAACGAATGTGGGCTGATCTAAGCGAAGTCTTGGCGCCTATTTCCCATTCGGGTTAAGCGACCCTGGGACCGAGACCTGAGTTCCTTTCTGCCTCAGGCAGCACAGCCCACGGTCACGAGGTTCCTTTGCGGTCGGGCGAATCACCCGGTCGGCAATATTACCAGATCCAGTGCTCTCCTCCCAGCGTCTGCGCCATTGCCCTACTTAGGGTAATCTATTGCGCGCCCATCCACAATGCTGGAAAGGCCATCCATGCGCCCTATAATTACAATGCTTTGGCGGGAACCTGCTGCTGAACTTCGTTGGCCAACGAAACACGGCAGGCTGCAAGGCTGTACGATTCCTGACGGAAAACCGTTCGACCTGGATTTGACCCGACATCCACCGGAGTCCCAGACCCAGAATTAAACGCCCCCGTAAGGAGCGTCCCCACGATTGAAACGCACGGTGAGACTTGGCGCTAGTAGCCTCCGTTGACGCTCGCCGCGTTCATCGGCAACGTTTTGGCTGATCTCCCAGTCTCAGTTCATTCTACTTGTCTTGACTACCTTCATCGTTGCCATACATGCGAGAAAAATCATCATCCTTGAAAGTGGAGTAGAATGTAGATCAGTGTTTTGGATTTCCGAACTGCCCAGGGCATGTATATCACCCAGCAGAAAGTACTCATTCACAGACACGCACACACACACAATTGAATAGAACTTTGGAAACAAATGACCATCAAGACCGCCCCTTAAAATGCCAATCCTACAATACAAACAAGCCTGGGTGGTAAAACAGTACATGAACGGAACTGCCACCGAAAGTCGGAAAAGAAATATATAGACGAATTCAAGGAAACAAGAGGGGTAGCAAACGAGGGCAGTGTGACTTCTCATGACCAAAACTTTCATTCGGACTCTTCTTTCCTTGAGCCGCGTTAGACCCATCAATCCACCTCACATAATACATCAAGTGGTGCCGCACCACAAGCTTCTAAACCGCAGATTCCGGCTTCGCTGGCGTAGGGGGGTTGCCAGCACTCAGAACACCATTGCTACCGTTGTTGCTCGATCCAGCAGCATGAGGGCTTCCCTTCACCACAGCACTGGCTCGTTTCTCATCATCGTCGTCATCGTAGTTTTCGTCCACGTCCATCTTCCGCGCCGCGGGCTCATGTGCGGGAGCCTGTTCGCCGCGCGCAGGCTCCTCCTTCACCTGGACCGGGGCAGAAGAGGGACCCGACGGCGGTCCGGTGGAAGGCGCTGCAGAGCTTTCGGCCATAGGTGGGAGACTAGGGCCAGACGGGTGAGGGGGCATGTGCTGGATAGAAGGCAACGTAGGAGGGTGGTGAGCCGCCTCAGAAGGATGGTAGTTCTCGTTGACGCGACGCTGGTCCTCACGGCGGATTTCCGAAGAACTGCGTCGCTGCATCTCCCCGGGGGACGGCATACGGTTTGGAGGAGTGACACGACGAGAAAGCTGATCGTCGAGGCGAGCACGACTCTCTTCATTGGCGATCTTCTTGGCAGGTCCAGCCTCCGCCTCCCACTCTCGGCCGCGCTTCATGGCCGAACCAGGACGTTCTTCACGCTCGCGAGCGGCAGCCTCAGCAGCACTAATAGCAGAGGCCGGAGGAGGAGCACCGCCAGCAATGCCGGCAGGGAGACTTGGGCCATGGTGATACTGCTGGTGGGGGTACGTAGAGCCGGGCGATGAAGGCCGTTCATCACGCAAGGGTCGAACCTCAGTGGGTGGGGTGAACGGGCGATGGTAGGGAGGCAGAGCGTTTGCTGACGCAGGGCCATTTGGAGCACCCGGAGCAGCGGGGGGGCCGGGAGGAGCGGGCGGCAAGGGGCCACGAGTAGCCGGCGAGAAAGCAGTCGCGGCAGCAGCACGATCGAGGGCGTTAGGTGGGGGGTTGGCAAGCTGAAGGCCATGGGGCTGTCCGTAAACACCCGGGCCGGTAAGGGTAGTCTTCGGGGAGCGGGTGGGCTGCGCACGCATAGCATCGGGGAAGCCTCTTCCGGGTTCTTGTCGCGGGCTTGGTTGCTGTAGAGAGGCGGGAGCACGGACGGTGTCACGGTGGTCAAAACCATTGGCGGCTTGTGCCTGTGCCTGGGACTGGAGTTCATTGATGCCACGGTTCCAGTCAGCTATCTGTCTTGGTGGAGCGGGAGCCTGCGGGGGTGGACCACCGGTTGGCGCTGGTGCACCCCATTGAGGCGCCGGAGGCGCTCCTACGCCCGGAGCTTGATAAGCTTGGGGATGGACATCTTGCGGTTGAGGAGCGGGAGCGTTGCCCTGACTGGAACCGGACAATTGGCTTTGAAGGAGCTGCAGGCGCGCTTTGATATGGACATTGGTCGGGTCGAGGTCAGCAGCCCGACCGTACGCATCAAGCGCGTCCGCAATCTGGTTGTTGCAAGACTCGTACTGCTCATATATTAGCCTTTCCACCAGCCGACTCACATTGGATATGAACACTCACCAGAGTTCCCAGATCGTACCACACTTCGGAAATGTAGGGGTTCAAACGAATAGCACGAGAGTAGGCATCCAAAGCATCGCGGTACTGATTGATCTGGTAATAGAGCACACCAATCGAGCACCAGAAAGTCGGGTTCCGACCGTCTCGGTAAACGGCTTGCTGATAAGCTTCATAGGCCTTGGGGTACTTGGCTTGCGACATGTAGCAGCGACCGAGAAGATACCAGCTTTGGGCATCGCTGTTGTCTGATAGGATATGAGCGGAAGAAATGCGTAGACCGATGCAAGGAACCTACCTGCGCTGACAGACTTCTCAAGGAACTCAATAGCCTTCTCCTGGCTAGTGTAGTTGTTGCTTTGTTGATGGAACAGCCACCCAAGCTGTTGCAGAACCTTCGCATGGTTGGGATCGCGGTCCAGAACCCGCCGGTAAGCTTGCTGCGCAGCTTCGAACTGCAAGTTCGTTAGTCATCATAATCATTATCTTCGGTGATCAGAAATCCCATACATCCTTCTGCTGCTCATGGACATGGCCGATCTGGAACCAGATGTCCTCTTCCGTCAACGGGCGAGGCGGGTCGGCAACGATGTATTTGAAACACTGAACGGAATCAGCACAAGAACGAGACGGTATAGTAACCTTCGGAACATACCTCCAAACTCTGAGTGAACTTCTGCTGCTGCTTGTATATTATTCCCAACCTGAAGTAGATCTCATTGGCCTTTTCGAAATCAGGGGCCATGCGCATGACCTGGGAGAAGGCTTCTTCGGCGTGGTCGAGAGAGCCATAGCGATCGTAAAGGATACCGATGCCATACCACAACTTGGGCTCCTAGGAAAACAATAATGTTAGCCATTACTCTCGCATGCCACGCGTACAACTTCACTAACCTTGGGATCGCGCAAGTGGTACAGAGCCTGTTGGTAGGAGGTATACGCCTCTTGCAGATTATCCATCATCAAATGACAATGACCTAAGAAGCGACTGTTGTTAGCACACTTAAGAACATGTAGACGATACCAGCGTCAAGTACCTAAACTGCCCCAAGTTTCTCCACTGGTCGGATCCAACTTGAGAATATTCTGAAGATACTCAATCGCCTTGGGAAACTGTTCCTTTGTCCGCAGAATACACGAGATCGCATTCATCGCGGGAATTGACCACTGGTTGTGCCGTAAAGCTTGCTCGTAGGCGTTCATGGCACCATCCAAGTCGCCGATCATTTCGGTGAGGTTTCCTGTGCGGACACTGTCAGTAGCCGTCGCTTTGCTGAACGGTCGGCGCGCTCTTCTAGCGAGACGCAGATCCGCCATTTACTTACCAATCTGAAGCCAAACCTGCTCATTGAGCGCGGCGATCTTCTGGGCAGTACTCAAAGGAGGGCCTTTCTGGCTTTGAGACTGCAGCGGCATGTGACCATTGACCTGGGGGTGAGCTGCGAGATGGCCATGGTGAGGGGTGACGCCTCCCGTGGGAGACGGTTGGGTATGAGCCATCGTGGCCGGTCGGCGTTGACACAGAACGCGATATATCCAGGTGTTGACAGAATGAAGCTTTTAGCTCGTCTTTGCGACACAGGTGATGCAATGAGCGCCCGTGTCACTGAGAGGTCGCACAGTCCCGATGGACGTAGTCGCGCAAACCAGTCACCCAATGATGTTCAAATGAAGCGCGACCGCGTCCAGGAAAACGGTTCCCAAGATACCTGCCGCGCTAGCGTGTCTAGAACCAAACGTCGTCACGACGACAGGGTGTAATTGAAGGAATGCGAAACGGGACGATTCCTGGTCGCTCGTGGTGAGGTAGATGCTGCGAAACTCGAGCGGCAACGAACGTGCAGGATCAATCAAGTCCAAAATGCAGGTATATGGCTGGGGACGGAACGGAACAAGCGTGTGGAGCGACAATCAACAACTACGGGGAAGGGGGCAAAGGATTGAAATGGAAGAGGCACGAGTCAGAAACAAGCAAGATGAGGCAAAAGCGGGCGGGAAGGCTGAGAGAGTGGGAAGATAAAAGTGAGGGATGGGGGGAGTGGAATTGGAAGACCAAGGGCCAAGCAAAGGTCAAGTTACGGGGTAGGGGAAGCCAAAGCAGAAAGAAAAGGGAAGAAGAGAGAGAGGGAAAGGGAAGAAAAGAGAGGGAGAGGAAATGGGAAGAGAGGAGGGAAAGGTCGAGGGGCTGGTGGTAGAGGGCGAAATTTGCCAAGCGGCGCTAGTGGTTGTGCAGCTCTCCAGCAGTCAGCGAAACCAAAGGAAAGCACGGAAAAGCTGAGATGGCGGTCGTCCGGCGCCAAGCCGAAGACAGGCAGCTTTACGTCCAGGAACGGCCTAGCGGGTGGGGACAACCTGGAGTCGTGTCCGCGGGTATTTACAGTTAATATTTTCCGGGCGCCCGGAAACTCAGGTGAGCGCCGGAGGATGCATTCACCCAAGCTAGATACTCTTATAAGCATCATGCAGACCACGGCACCAGTGAGATAATAATAATAATGATAATAACAATAAACAAAACTGACTTATATAAAAAGGACTATGGACTCGCAAAATGTTTTTATCCACATCATTGCCTATTATTCCATATATAGCTCTCCACTTTGAACGAATCTATGTATGGCCCTTTGATATGAAGCGATCGCCTGCTCAAGGGCGGATTAGAATGAGACGGCGAGGAAGACGCCGAGAAAGAAAGGTAGAAAAAAAAATGACTGATGACGCAAATATATTTTGATACACGCGACATCTATATGTATCCCATACTAACACCCACCTGTACTTCACGCGTGCTAGGTCATGGGAAGTTCCTAACTGTCTACATCACACTGTGTCCCTACTTTTAGTTTTGTCTCTTCTTCTTCTTCTCTCTCTCTCTCTCCCCCTACAATGAGGGTGTGAATATTGCAGTGTGATTGTGCTATGGACAAGGGTTTAGCGTCATGTTGGCAGGTGGGGCGGATGTGATAGTTACGAGTTAAGTTAAGAGCAAATTTAAGAAAAGGGAAAAAAAAAAAAAATTTTAGGAAAATGAAACGAATTAAATTAGAAAAAGTGGGAAAAAATAAAAATGAGCGACTATGAGCAGTAGCCTCAAATTGACTAGAGTGGAGAGAGAAGAAAAGAGGGGGGCCACACACTACGGGTTCAGCGAAAGGTTTAGTGGGTATGGAGTCGAACCGCCCCGAAACAGGGCAGTGTTTGACGAGGATGCAAGCGCCGGAGCCAGGAAGGCACCTCCAGGGATGGATGGAGAGGGAGGGGGGTGTGGTAAGTCTAGCACGAACCCCCGGTTGTGACTCGCCGATGGGGGCCGCAGGTGGGCCATGGAACCTAGACCCACCCGGACTGACCTCTCTTCCCCGTGCCCATTTTTATTTCTTTTATTTATTATTTAATAAATTAGTGCCATATGTACGGAGGGCCGCCAATAATTCCTGACTGCGGCTGTGGGGCCCTCAACCGACATGCTGCGCTACCTGACTGGTGTATGGCCATAAGCTCAACCACCTAAGCTCCCGGCAGCCTAGTCAGGCATGAGGCGTACTCCACACTCGGACCACCTGCAAAGTCCAAATGTTGCAGTCCGCCCCCCCTCTCAGTCTGTCTGTCTCTCTCTCCCCAATGGCTCACCCAGAAACGGCTTGCTTACTGTGCCCTCCCTCGGTGCTGGACAATACATGCACTTGCGTACAGATGGAGTAGGAGACCCCCCTCTACTGTAATGATGAGTCCACGCTCCCAATGCTCGGCCCCATGGTCTTGCCGGCGGCACCGCGCAACGACAGCTGGGTTCGTCAACCAATAAATAACCCAGGCCAAATTATCCCCCCCCCCTTCCCCTTCCTTCTATCACAGTAATCCCTTTCTGCGCTAAATCAAAGTGACCAGGTGCCAGTGCACCCAGCCAATCCTGCAGCTTCCCGGCTATGCTCAGCGGTCTGCAGGCGCCTCGATTGCCCACATTTTGGGGAGGGCAAGGTACCGAATAGATCAAACAAAGAGAGAATTTAGGTTTCCCTGGAACTTCATTGTTAATCTACTTTTGTGGGAGAGGTGACGCTTAAACCTAGTATTTGCTAGAGCAGGGTAGCGAATCGGGAGGGCAAGTTGCTTTTTCCTCAGTTTTCGCCCCTTCCGTCATGGCTCGTTCAGAGGCTTCAGCCGCGGGACTGCCGCAGCGGCAGGCTTATCTAAGCACGCTAGGCCAGATCCCACGCATGGGAAATGCCACCTACCGGCACCAGCCACCAGCCACAGATTCTTAACGGATTCCTTTGAGTGGGCCGTTCCCGATGCTGATCCGTCGGCTCTTCTGTTGGTGTCGATGATCCTTTGTCCTTTTTCTCTTTTCTCCCATTTCATTTTCTTTCCTATTTTTTTTTTTTTTTTTTTTTTTTTTTTTTTTTTTTTTTTTTTTTTTTTAACAGAACTTCCCTTTTCGCTCTTTTCCCTTTCTCCCCTACCACTACTACCCTTCCTCGCCTCTAAAATCACCTCTCCCCTCCCCCCTTCTTCCGCACTAACTAGTAGCAACCGCACGGAACCACGAAAATACAAGAAGCCACCTAACGGGCTAATACATTCTCTTCTTCCCAACACTCGTATCATTTCTTCGGAAAGCCACACTTCCCCCTTTGGGACTTTTTCGCAGCTTTGCCATATCAGGGTCCCAGTGCCGGCAGACTAACTAAAAATGGGCACAGTGGGAGCTTCCAGCGACGGGTGGATAATAAGGTATGACTTTCTTTCACCATTCAGGAAAGGAGTGATTCATGATGAGCGGCTTCGGGCCCCTATTCTCGTGTCGGATCCGAGTGCGTTTTTCCAAATCAAGTCGCTCCTAAGGGACTCGACCAGCACCCGACAACAATTCACTAGGTCTACACAGTATATTTATACCCCCCAACAAGCTTTAAGTTGCATGGAGTAAGAATGTAAGAGCAAAAAAGTAAATTAAAAGAAATAAGAAAAGAAAAGAAATGTCAACCAGCAAGTAATATAGCTAGGGGCATTTCTACCCCATACTACAACCCCCTAGTAGTACTACTATCCACCCCCCCTGCCTGGCAAAGAGTGAGTGACAGTCACCCTCAGCCCAGTGGAGAGGCAAGGCAAGGCACGGATTCCCTCCATCTTACATACCAGATCGCAAACCCGGCCGACCGGAGCTGCCACCCACCCAGTTATCCACCCATTCTTCGCAACCGGCATACGGTGATGAATGCCGCCCAGCAATGTACCTGAAACACGATAGCAGGAGGACAAACAATGCATTGACAATGTGGTCGGTATGTGGGTTACTCGGGCAGATTTGTGTAGCAAGGGGGTGAGTAACAACCCTTTCGACGGAGTACATCAGGTGTTCTATTCTTGTCCAACGCAGTGCTTGCTTGCTTGCTTGTCTGCCTGCTTAGGTACAGCAAAGGAGTCCAAATATGCATGCACATAATTCAGGCTAATCGCTTACGCTAGTAGATAGATAGATAGATAGATAGGGAGCTTCATTTCTCTCTTCCTCCCACCTTCTCTATATCATGAACGACAAACTAGATAGACAATTGTACAGCCCAGCACATAGCACCAATACCACCTTCTGGGCAGCAGGGATTCGTTGACTTAATTAATTGTCACCGTTAATTAAATCAATCCCTGTTTTGATTAGCTAGTTAGTTTCTTGCAGCTTATCATCATCACCCATGCGCGCACGGCGCTTACTTTACGAAGCAACTTCCAGCCGGGGGTGGAGAGGGGGCCCATATGCAACATACAGCCCGACAAGCGGACAGGTAGGCAGACACGACAAGACCAAGTTAGTAGACACCGACGCCCGCATGAACATCGCTGTAGGTAGGAAATCTAGAAAGTGCAATCTAGGCAATAGATGCATAAAAAAGAAGAAGAAAAAAAAATAAATATTTAAACTAACTTTCCAGATTCCACGACACACACAGACACGCCCACCCCCGACATACTCCGTACATATTCTGTTCCACCTGTACGACGCCTTTTGACAGGCTGATCTGATGACTGCCGATGGTTTATGCAGGTATGCCTGCTGCTGCGCCAGTTTGCGCACAGGGACCCAGCCAGCGCTAGGGACCAAAAAAAAAAAAAAAGCAGGAAAAGGGAAAAGAAAATATAAAACTATGGAATAAGAGTAAAAAGTAAAGAATTTCTGAATCCGTGCAAGTGAAATATAAAATTCGAAAATGGAAAAATCAGAACAAAATAAAATAATTCAGAACTAAAAACGGACGTGACAGGGCAACCAACCTACCTTCCTTACTGACTGCTAACCGCCAGCAGGAACTGGGCTGTCATGGATTCCATGAGTCTCGTCTCCTCTTTTCTTTACCCCCCGAGGCCGCGCGCGCGCCGCGGCGCCCCTCTCCTCTCCGTCTCTTTCTTCCCCCTTCCCTTCTCTTTCTTCCCTGCTATTTTCCCCGTTCTGCCAACGTTACACAACATCATGCGGATCCACTCTTTAGTAGCTGCTTCTGCCGCCGCTTTCACACTATCCTTCTTTGTATGTATGTACTTATGTACCTAAGTATGTAGGTAGGTAGATAGCTAGGGTAGGGATCACGATTCTTGGTAGTTTCCCTCCCTGCCAGGTCTGCCTGTCTACCTATCTGTCAGGGTGTCTCACAGTCCCAGCCCGCTGGCCGGCTTATGTACCAAGCAAGTAGACCACATGTGTTGTATATATCCACATCGAGAAAAGAAAAAGGAAAAAATAAATCGACAGGTCATCATCATCGGTCAATATATTTCTCCCACTATTCATTTGTCATCTCTTCTCTTCACATCTCATCGAGATGCTTCCAGGAAGATAAACCTAATCACTGTACGACTTGAGCGAAACCTTTTTTTTATTTTCCCTTTCCCCAAACCAATCATAAGAACAGCAATAGCAATAGTAATAACCTCAAGCAGGCTGAGTAGTTTCAGCCCCCAAAAAGTAGCTAAGGTAGTCTAACTAACATAGCCCTTCTAAGCCCTCCACTGTCGATTATGATCGAGTTACTAAGGGGCATGGTAGTATCTAACATTTAGTCTACCCCTCAGGCACAGACCACACGTTTTGGGTCTAGCCGACCAACCGAAAATGTCACCTTCGGCATGGCCCGGCTTCCGGTGACGGCGACGGTCGCGGTCAGTCACCATGCCTTGTGTGGTATTGGCGCCTTGGTGCCTTGACCCGCTTAGCTAATCACGCAACTGTACTCACTAGTCCTAAAGAGGTATGTAGGGTAGGGTAAAGTGGCTGTTCTGCAAGCGCAGTGCACCACAAATGCAACTCCACCCCCCTACTTTTCTCCTCCCATTATCACATTTTTTGGAACGAGCTCGGGACCCAGTGAAATGCAAAATCTAATATAGACAGATATATAGATATTTGTATGGTTCCAACCTAACCTACTACGAAGTTAGTAGATAGAGTAGTAGCTGACCTAATAATGACCCTATTCATCATCATCATCATCATCGTCTTCGTCGTCGTCGGCTAGACCACGCATTTCATACACCACACCATAGAGGCTAAAATAATAAAGTTTTTCTCTCATCCCTAGTCTAGCGGGTCATTTCTCGGACAGATTGTGGGCTAGTCTATCCATCTATTTATTGATTTTTTTTTTCTTCCCATGGAACGCTACTGCCATGTGTAGTCTAGAAAGAAGTCAAATTTGAATGTATGACTCGGTTTTAGGGGGGCTAGAATGAGTTCTCGCTATAGGTAGGTAGTTATGTAGGTGGATACATACTACTTAGTCATGGTAATTTGAGTTGAATTTAGTGAGCGAGCATGCTTTATGTATATTGTGATTTCTTTTGATTATATTGGAGAATATATATGCAACAGAACATTCACAACCACTGCATACTTACATGATATAACCTGAAAGGTGATCACTTCTCTTCCTCCCCTTCCCCCCCTCCTTATATGCTGTGTGTAGAAAAGGGGCGGGAAGACAAACCGGAAACACGAACCCATCGACGATCAGCGATCACATCAGCTGAGATGGGATGCGATCAGATCTGATCAGATCTGATCATACCAGAGATCAGCTGCGCTTACTTACTTAGTCACCTGGTTAGGTAAGGTAGGTAGTAAGGTAGGTAGCCAACTGTTGTAACTGAGACTGATGAAGTAGGTATAGGTGTGGTATGTACAGCAAGTAGGTAAGTAGATGCAGGAGAGTAACCTTATCCGTGACGATGGGTTACCACGTAGATGGTCCTGATGTTGCTACTTACATCTGCTCGTGTGTGTGTGTGTGTGGACTGAGTCTGGATTTGAAACGGAGGAAGCATGATGTGGCTGTAAGGGACGGGGAGGGATGAGGTCATTTCTTATGTAGTTTCTGTGGATGTATGTGAGAAGTAGGGATGGATATATAGATAAAGGGCTGTAACCAAATATATATGTTAGTCACGATGGATGGTGTAATGAATATTACTACTATATAGTGATATATTTATGTAGTAGTGGATGGACTCAGATTCACTAGATTGCTTCAAATATTGTTTAGTTGTCAGTTGTTAGAAGTCGCTAGTTCACGATCGTTACTGAGAAAATATCGTACCTTGAAGTCTAACGCTACTACAGACCTAGTAGTCTTTGGAATGTTACTGTACTGTGTTTCTCCATGAACAGTAGCATCGTGGAAAGTAGAGCTTTTCATGTGAGATGTCCACCCACTATGCTACAGTTATAAGTATAAAGTAGCACGGCCGACTAGCCAATCGACGGTCAAATAGTGTATATTCATTCAATCAGAGCCAAGAAAAAATCAATAACAACAAAGGCATCCTTCAGACAGATGTAAATGTGACATTCTTCGCTTCTAGAAGAAACCCAAAGATCCTTGGCTTCACTAGTAACACTCCATCTACGGTGTACAAGGCAGGCATCAATTCCAAGCCTGAACCGGGGATCTCACCTGATTGTCCCCGGTGAAACAACCAGATTCCGGAGGAATAACTGGTGAGTTATAACAAGTTACATGAGATCATGCCGATGACTTAATATGCAGCTGATGGGGCGAAAGAAAAAGCAAACAGACACCCGGGAAATGGCCAGCCACAGCAACTTATTCTGCCGACGATGGGGCCTATGTTACTTGCTGATTCCACTAGTGTCTGCTGTGACACCCTCCAATGGGACGCAGGGGGGAAGATGAAAGTTGATGTGTTATCTAGGCACTTTTTCATCAACTCCTTGCAGGTGGGTCATTTGAATGTGGCGACTGCGTCGAGTCAGGACTGACAAAGATGTGACGGGCACTTCAAGCATTCTGAGTAGTCAGTGTAAATGTCTGAAGGCTTGAAGTTTGCTTATTGAAGAACTGCTCTGTGGTATTCTGCTGGATTTCCCAAGAACTCCGCACCAGACTGGGCATCCTAACAAATAGCGCCGAACGCGGTCGCTCCGATGTGTGAAATGCGTGCACTTCGACAACGACTGAAAAGAAAACAGGTGTTGGTCTTTCTCAAAAGGGACATGCGGCAGACACTGAGCGCAACTAATCTTTCAGACAGATCAAAGTGATTAGATCGACGAAAGTGACCCATCGCGTCAGATACCCCTGACAGCGAGGAGTCTTGCATCGATATATGCGTCAACCTAATCTGGGGTCAGCGACAGCGTTCAGAAACGAAATCATGACAACCGCGAGACTTATGGTCTGCATTCTTCTGTTGGGGCCATATACAATATCTCAAGCCGCCACCATCAGCGGCTTGTACGCCACTTAGATCCTGCAACCAACGTTGGCAAGCCACAACGGCAAGGCGTCCACGTATTGAGAACTCCGTACATGCTAGCGTGGGACAAGCAGAGTGTGATTGGGCATTTGTGCACCCGAGGAGAAGAGGGTCAAGGACCAGCAGTTCACATGGCATTCAGACGTCAGGAGTGTTGGTTGGGGGGAGTTCCCGAGGAAAATAGAGGGTGGGTGGGATAGAGGTATATGCACAGTGCTACCCTGTACCTTGTAGCATCCCGGACATCGTTCCACAGGGGAGCAGCCAATATGGTTCTGTGATACTTGCATGGAAGCCATGTCTACAATGCGGGATCGGCCCTATGTCCCTGGCCAAGAGTTACAGGCGCAGGAGAGTTTCCACATCCGAAGTCTGGGCGTGGCAGCCAAGAACAGTCTGGATCTGGCGGGCGAGGGGATGGAACCAACGGGAGAAAACGGTCTGAAGAGTCGGCCAGAACGGAGGCTGATCACGAGCAAATCAAATGAACATGGGCCCTCAAGCCATGACACGCAACAATACGCACAGAGTCCAAATCTGATGCGGAGGGAAAAGTTGGGAAAAGTCTGTCGTCATGTCGGCTAAGTCAGAAGGGCACATGGCCGGCATATGGCAGTCGTAATCTATCTCTCGGCAAGAGAGGGGGCGTGATTAGGCATACAGAAGGGTCGCTAAGCCGGGTCGATTGATTCGAAACAAGTGGTTTGGCAGTGAGACTGGCCGAGTCGGTATGTTTAGGATCAACGATGGGTTACCCATTTGTTGATAAAGTAGCACAGCATACTGAAGGACAAGACTTTGGAGACCGCCACCGGACATCTGGTTACCTAATTTATTGATAGGATCGACCAGCTGGACACGAAGCAGAAACACCACCCAAGCCGGGTATACGGCTTTTCCAAGCAGGAGCATGCCAGATGGATAGATACCCGGCGGGGCTGGGCTGGGCTGGGCGCCACTCGTCGGGGAAGATATGAAGAGGGAGAAAAGAAGGGCCAAGCTGCGTTTCCGAGGTTCAGAGGCAGCCCTGGTCATCGAGATAATTCATTGTATGTTTGGTCATGATCGTCATGATACTCGAGTCGAGGAAGAAAAGCATATCTAGATTTGTTTCACCCCAACATACAAAGTCATAGTATTTGACTGCTCTCCTAGTGGATGGACTCGGTTGAAGGTGCAAAAAGAGGGTATGGCGTTGCGATGCCCGGGAGAGGATAGATCGGGAACTTGTAACGACGGCCACAAAGAAATACCTCGATTAATGCAGATGTATTATTAGTTAGTTGGGGGGGTATTTGGCTGCGGTCAGCGCTATGCTAGATGTGATCTGGTCGTAATACCGCCAAGCCGACCAGCCAACCTCCGAATGCGGATCACGGACACGCTCGCAATGCCACCATCCAATCAAGGACCGTTGCTCGTCCACCAAAATCCCCGCAGGGGCTTGGCATCTTGGCACGCGGTACAGATACGGTAACATTGCTCCTGCAACACACCCCAAACACTGCACACGGTGGTGACGGGGCTTGAAATTCCAGACGAAGACGAGGCAGGGAAATACTCTCTTCCTCCTTCCCACCGAGGGGGAGGGAGATGAGATGGAAAGATGGAGAGATAACCTGGAAGTAGAAGAGAGGGTGGAGCTGAGGAGAGGAACAATAATCTCTCTTTTAACTCGTCAGCAAGTGGTGTGTCTGTCCTCTTTCCTCCCTTCATTTCTTTGACTCGTTCACTTTAATGAGTGTTATCTTCCTTCCTTACACTTTACCCCCGACTCCCGATTCCTCTCTCCCCGCTACTCCCATCCTGTCCCTTCCGGTAGCTCCTTTTCCCTTCTTCAAGCTCCCTCAGCCTACTAGCACCCCATTCCTTCCCTCCGCTCTCCGAACCCGAGGGGGGAGAAAATCTCCCCCTTTCAACCTTCGAGAAATCCTTGGGACCTCGCACGCCATGGTGTTGGCCGTGACACTCTCTTGACGTTGCCCATGCCAAGGGCTCGGCAGCTGGGCGTCTTGGCGGCGAAAAAGCAGACCAGAACCAGAACTACTCTATCCCCCCCCCCTCCCCCCTTCCCTTCCGCTGCAGTCGTTCTGGGACGACGACAAGACAAGACCAACCGGTCTCTTGGTCCTGTTCTTGGACGTTCCGCTCTGTCTCCTTCTGTCTTGGGAAAGGGAAGTGAATGAAAAAAAAAAAAGTCGTCCATGGCATTCTTCTTATAAGTCACCCTGCCTGCCCTTCCGCTCCTGTCCTCCATTCCTCTCCTCCCCCTCCTCTTCCTCTCCTCCCTCCTCCTCTCCCTCCTGCGTTTCAAATCCTCCCTCCCTCCCTCCCCTTCTCCCTTCTCCGCCTTGCTCTGGAAACTCTCCCTCCAAACCCTCCACCCAGTCCCGTCAGGGCGATAAGCTCCGGTACATGCCTTGAGATCGTTATGCCCCTTGCACCCAAAGCCATGCGGTGAACCTCATCCCTGCAGCTGCTCTCTTCACACAGTATCTCTGTGTGCGTGTGTACTCTCCGTACCACCTTGTGTTGCTCCTGCGGCATTTCTCAAGGGGGTAGCATTTCCTGTTGCGCCCTTGTTTGCTCCACCGACTCCCCTCTCTACTTTCCCTCTCGGTGCCTACCTATTACCCCCCTCCTTCCTCTACTCCGCCCGTAATGGAGCAGCCGGCAATGTCCCAGCCTGCTACCCACCGTCAAGATGATAGTCACCTCGTGACAGCTTATTTTCCGAACCCAACACCCACTGTGCCTGCTGCTGCCGCACATCCTCCCCCACACTTTCTGCCGGCGTCCTCCTCGTCGCCATCACCTCACCACTTTCATTCGGAGGTTGACTCCTCTCCATCGGAACTTAACTATCTCGACGACTCCCTGCACATCTCACATCCTGAATACCAGCAGCCTCAGCGGCATTCTCGACGACAGCATAGCCTATCACATCAAACCCCGCAGACTGGGGAACATCTATATCCGGAATTGGGGCAGGCTTCGGTGCCTCCAGAGGCGTCGGTTGCCTCGCCTTATCACGAGAACGGCTCCGTATTATCGAGGGCTTCAGGTGCAAGCGAAGTCGGGCGCAAAGAAGGGCGCGTTCGTGGGAGTTGGACCGATCATTCGTCATATATGTCGGGCGATAATCACCCCAATGGCGCATCTCGCGTACATAAACGAGCGATTCATGACGACGACATAGCGCCGGAGGAAGAGCCGGATGCGCTGTTGATGCTGGTGAGCTTCGTCTATTTCCTCCGAATGTCTAGCTATTCGGGCCGTAGCTAACCGCACTGGATTTTAGTTTCGACTCTCCCTTCCCGTTCCTGTATTCTCCTTCTGCGCATCGTTGTACACCATCTTCGGCGTGCTCTTCGTCCTGCTTGTCTCACCGCTTCGCATTTGTTCCTGCATACCATACTTTCGGGCGACGTCCTTCCGGGCACAGCTGTGTGGTCTGCTGATACCCCAGTTGCATATCCATGAACGACTGGTCTGCTTGCGACAATCTTCTTCAAGATCCTCATCCACCCAGCCGATATATGATCCGGAGGGATCCTATGTGGCAGAATCCATTGACTCGTATTCAATTGGAGGGCTGCTCACAGTCCTCCTTCTCTCGCCGTTCCTATCCATCGCCATAACTCTCCTGGCTTGGATTGCAGCATTTTTCTGGATCTTCGCCATGGTTCTAGGCAATCCAGATGGCACAGAGCGCAAAGACGATGGCCGAGCAGCCGTTCTCGGAGTCTGCCGATGGTGGCAGATATGGCTTGGCAAAGCCCGTAAGCCACTCGCTTAGCGTCTCCGTGTGAACCCCCCTTGTGGATATGAAATTTGCTTTGATCAAGTCAATCCCGTTGTTTGATGCCGGCATGATACCAACGTTTGGGATATGTGGAATGATCTTCTTGAGGCGCTATCTTTCGGGTTTTTTTTCGATTTCACCCCCATTTTCTTTTATTATTCTTTCTTTTTTGTCTTCAGTCACATGACTGATTTTGAGGATTCCCTCCGGAGTTGGGATATTGGTCGCCGGCGCGGGGAGTTTATCATCCTTATCGCCCATGAATCACGGGCCATCGTAGAGAGGGAACGCTACTATTATGAGTTTCAGAAAGCGAAGGAAGGGAATCTAGGAGTTGAGTTGGGTCAAAGCTGTCTTCCGGTGAAGAGAGCTTACCTTTGTTTATGTGTTCTTCTCTGTTTTCCCTTTTCATGTACTCATACAATACCGAGTGAGAATTGATACCCACATTTTGTTGTTTTCTTCTTTTCCCTTCATCCTTCTTCCCCACATAGCATGGACTAGTCAGCTAAGTTAGTTAGTATCCGATCACTTATGGAGTAGAAGCAGATCGATCACCTATCTCACCGCACATCCATACCAAACACAGAGTAGGTAAATAAGACGAGTGCAGAATTGCAACAAGGGAAAAGAAGGGAAACCTGAGAGAAGGCGAAAGATACTCCGCCCCGCTTGGAAGGGGACAAAAAATATTAAACAAATCTGATAGATCAGATCGACGTTTGTTTTATTGTATCACCTTACGTTGCGCTCGGGAAGGATTAATCCCGGAAGAAAAGGCAGGCAGGCAACCTGCATAGTAGTAGTAAATTCTATGCCGGTACCGAGAGATAAGGTTAATTAAGCGCGAAGATGGGTAACTTGAAGTTAGTTGGTATGTGTTCGGAAATACGGAAGGAAGGAAAGAAAGATTGAATAGGGAGAGAAAGCACTAAGTACTAAGGCTATATGTTTATATAACCCAGATGATATAGCGGTCATGGTTAGTAGTTATGTACCGGGATTCTGTGACGAAATGATCTTCAACTTCCTTTTGTCCGGATGGTATGTATGTATGTATGTATGTATGGTGTTACCTTATTACTTGAAAGTATGAACGGATGGAAGATATACTATACTATACTATACTGACTGCGTTATTTTCAACTAGGAAGGAAGACACACAACAATTGGACTGAACTGAACTGAACTGAACTAAAAAACTATGAAAATGGGAGCAGTAATAGCAGCCAAAGGATAATGAATAAAAAAAAAGGGTATATGAAGATACACCTAAGGGAAGGAATGATTGAAGCACGCAGCACGAACCACCTCACACTGAAAAGAAACTAATGACCAAATCAACTCACTGACTGGAATTAGCAAGACTTAACTACCATTTTCTGATCCGCAGTGAAAGAAGAAATAGGGACATGGTCAGATCAATCGTATCGTAAGTATGTATGTATTCACAACAAATATGGGAAGAAAACATAACAAGATAAAAGGTAAAGAGGTAAAAAACGGTCTCGTCATACTCCATACATGACATGATGAACTTTGAAAAATGACTTTCATTGACTATTCGGTATCCAGTGCCGTTAAAATAATGCTTTTTGAGTTGGTATGTGTAAAAGGTATGACTGAACATGAACTTATTGATGATATATCAACTTAGTTCAGTTGTGGGGGGTATGTGGTTGGAGGGTAGGTGCTGTTAGTCGATAGGTTTATCTCCGGTTGCCACCACGGAAACCGCCGCCACGGCTGCCACCACGACCGGGGCGACCACGGACGGGCTTGCGCTTTTGAATGCGTCCGGCGCCGCTGGGACCGTGAGACTTGGGCATGCCTAGGCCACGACGGCCAGGACCGGGCCGGGAGGCGGGGCCAGAGGCGTTGTTGTCGTTGTCGTCGTCCACGTCCATATCATCACCGCCCTTCTTCTTCTGAGACTGGGCCATCTTGAGCTTGCCACGTTGGCCACGACGAACAGCGTCGGGTCCGCTGACGGCTTGCACGTAGGCGTTGATACCGCTCTCTCCAGCGTTGTTGTCCAGGCCAGCGGACATGTCGACATCCTCGTCATCACCGCCAAGGATGAGACGGCCGTCGGAATCGACCTTCGCGTTGCGCTTCTTCCGAGAACCGGGGCCAGTGTTGAGGAAGCGGACACTGGGCTTGGTGGTGGAGATGTTGGCCAGAGCATCGGGGGCGAGAAGGTCGAGAGGGTTGTCTTCGGGGGACATTTCACGAATGTACTGCTCGCTCTGCTTGTTGGAGCGCTTGCCCTTGCGGCCCTTGAGCGCATGAGTGACGCCCTCCTCATCGACGTCAATCTCACTGGCATCGTCGTCAGAGTCGAGATCGGAGTCGTAGACAGCCTTGTCGAAGGCGTTGCTGAAGGACCGGCCGCTCTTCTCTTCTTGTCCGGCGGGCTCATCATTCTCCTCATCGTCCTCGCCGTCCTGTTCGGAGTTCTTCTTCTTCTTGCGTCTCTCGCGCAGCTTCCGGATGTTGACCACCAGCTTCCGGTCGGCCTCACCAACCAGCTCCTCCACAGGAGCGGCACCGAAGCGTCGGATAAGGCGATCGAGGATACCCTTCACCTTGCTGCGGAGACGACCCTTGTGCTCCTTGCTCCAGACCATCAGGTTGGGAACCAGGGAGTTGAGGCGCGCACGGAGTTCTTCATCGGGAAGAACCACCACGGCGACCTTGACGAAGCCGAGCACAGACCGGACAATCTCGCGGTTGTTGCTGGTAAGGAACAACTCCACGGTCTGGACCAAGTCGGAGCGGACGGTAGGTTGGAGTTGGGTGTGGAAATCGAAGAACAAACGAGACAAAGCTGTGACGGAGGCAGCAACCATGTGCGGCGAGCTACCAGCCAGACCGGCAGACACCATGGTGAAGAACTCTTCAATCGTGGCGGGAGCATCAGGGGCATCGTTGGGCATGTGTGGCACCAGGGAGTTGCGGATCTTGGTGCCGGCGGGGTTCTTCTCTTCGTCCGTAGTCCTCTTCGCCAAGTGGATGAGCAGGTCGAACGAGGCTGTCCGAGCCTTCTCATTGCTCTCCTTGCAGCCCAAGACAACTTCCGAGAGAACGGATGGGATAAAGTGCAGGTCGGAAGTCGGCAAGTAAGTGACGAGTTCGTAGATCGCCAACATACGGTCCCGACGAGCAGATGCGGGAGTCTTATCCGCCGTGCCCAGGACAAGCGCCTGAAGCTCCGAGCTGCGCTCGCGAAGCGCGGCGCTTCCAGTCTCCGTCTGGGCCAAACGGGGGATCAGCTTGTATGCCTTCTTGATCAGCTGCTGATCACCAGTCTGTCCGTTGAGAATAGCCGCGGCCATGGCAAACAGGTTTGCGAAGCTGGTGCGGGGCAAGTAAATGGACATAGCGATGACCAGGTCGATCAAAGTGTGCGACGTAGGCGGCATTTTGTCACCAGAACCAGTCTGCTGATTGCCCTGCTTGGCTGCTTCAGTCTCTGAAGCAACCGATGACTCCAACATCGAAGTGACACGTTCAAACGTCTCGTTCAGCTCCTGTAGAAATATTAGCAAGACTGAAAAGCGGAAACTGAGGATAAGAACCAACCTGCTCAGGGGCAATGCTCAGATAAGCATTGATACACTGGAGAATATAACCTCTGTAGTGCGGCAGAGTTTGGCTGTACACGTTGAACAGAACCGCCAACAAGTTGCTGGCGAAACCAGCAAGATGAGCAATGTTCTTTTGCGCAGCCTTCTTGGTGATTCTGCGCTGGAGGATCAGATCATCCTCGTCCGTCTCAACAGACAAGATGGCCTGGTTCGACTCCACCAGATTCTGCAAAGCTCTGCAAATATCAACGCGCAGGTCGGTCTGCTTGTAGAGGACGTTGGAGAGGAGCTCCGCAAAGCCCTGGTCGAAAGACTCGGTCAGATCTAAAGGAAGCTCACAGTAGCCTGGAAGGATAGCCCACGTCTGCTGAACGAGGGTTTCGAAGATCTTGACTTCAACGGCCTTCTCTCTGGCGCTGAATTCCATGACCTTCTGGTACAAGGCTTCACTGAGAGGGACGAACTCGGAACGGAAATGGGCAAGGTCGGTGTTGGTGACATTGTCGCGGAGAACCGGGAGGAGCCACACGCGACCGGGCTGGCCATTCTTCTGCTCAATGATATTCAAAGGCAGGATCTCCAGGACTGCAGCGGGGCCCATGGCCTCGATTGCGCTACCAAGAACGTTGTCCGCCTCTTTCTTTCCTTGGAAAGACTCGTTGCTGCGGAGCTCTCCAACCGTCTTGACAATATCATCCAAGAAAGGGCTAGAGCGCCACTTGAAGCTGTCGAACAAAGCCGCACACACGTTGAACACTTCCCGCCATGCTGCCTGGTACTTGACAGAAAGCAGATCCATAGCAGCCTTGGCAATCTTCTCGAGTGTCTTCTCATCGTAGACGGAGGGCTCAATGATAACGCTGTTGGGAATGCAGTTGGCCAAGAACGAGACCAAGCATTCAGATGCCGACACACGGATGTTGCTGGAGGGCGAGGCCAAGTAGCCGGAAACCATGTTGAACAGAGCGGGCAGCTTCTCAAACGTATCCTCGGGGCTGGTCTGAGCAGAGACGTCGTAACCACGGGACAGCACGGCAATCCACGGCGGCAGGAGCTGCGAATCGTTCTGGGCGGGCTTCAAGTCCGTGATCGCCTCCAAGAGCCGGGGCAGCTTCGAGGACGAAAACTCATTGGCCATGCTAGAAAAGATCACCTCGAAGACCTCGAAAGCACCCATTGTGATGAATTCGTTCGTGGACCGAGAAGCGTTCATCAAGAGCTCGCACAGCGGCTCGATCTTCTTGCTGGGCCAACCACCGGATGCGACCGCGAGCGTCTTCACCAGTTGCAGGGAGTGGATGACCAGGGGGTCGTGGGTGTCCCGGCCGTTGGGATCATGACGACCGCGCTTGGACTTGGCTGCAGCCGTGATGCTATCACTCAAGGTGCGCATAGCAGTCTCCGCACACATATCGGCAGCCGGGTGGTCGAGGGAAGGACTCGGAGGAGGCGACTTGAGCACCTTGACCAACGCGTCCTGGGCACGCTTCCGCACCTTCGGACGGTGATCAACGGCCAGACTCAGCAGACCAGCGATCGCACGGCGCGGGCCGATCTGTGTGTGAGGAAGGTTCCAGGCTGCAACATCCTGGGCGACCAGGAGGGACTCGAGACAGCCGATGGAGGGACGAAGAAGCGGGGCATCAACTTCTGGCAAGGAAAGGGCAGGGGCGAGACCGGTGAGAATCTGAGAGAACTTGGCGCGGAGAATTGAGGCAGGGACATAAGCGGTAGTGAGATCGAGGAGATAAACGACGGAGGTTGCCAAATCCTTGTTGACGATGCCTTGAGTAGCGGAGATCGACTGGGACAAAAGCGCAAGCAGCGCAGCAAAATAGGCGGTGGGAGAAAAGTCGGCCTTTTGATCGCGAAGAGTGTCTTCCACTGCAGACAGCACCACAGCCGTCTAATAAGGAGAGGAAAATCGTCAGTAAAACCAAGGTGATATAAGAAGGGATCTAGTGAGGCCTCGAATTGGTGTGGGCTGGGAGACTCCGCGGGATGAGGATTCAACGGGACTTACATGGTGCTGGTTCTGCAGCTTGGGAGACTTGATCTTCTCAAGCTTCTCCGCCAGGGTCGCCATGATGGGACGATCAACCGACGGGCAGTTGAGAAGTAGATCCAGAAACCTGGGACGGAGTTAGGGAGGAGGAAGAGGAGGGAAGAAGTGGTGGATGCGGAGATTTTTTTTGTGGTCCGGCTGGATCTTTTTGGGCGGATGAAAAAAAGGTACGGCGCTTTCTTGGCGGCGCTCTATCGATAAACCCCGATAACACCAAGCCAACAGTATACCCAAGTCTTCGTCTACATCAACTAGCTCAATACACTACAATTAACTGAATAGCTGTGAATGTAGTCAATGTCTCACTCAAGTGGTCCAGTTCGGAGAAGATGTAGCCTAGGAAAGTAAGGGAAATAATACTATGAAAATGCGTAATCAGACATGACAATCGTCAAGCGTAGCCTCCACCCGTACAATCACACACGCCTTGATCAGACTCTCTTTCTGCTGGAGACAAGCTGGGATCTACTCCAAAGCCGTCCACGAACCCGTTGTGTCGACCATCCAACCAGTCTTTGTTGTGCGCTCCCACTGGCCTTCCGGTGGAGCTTGTCGTCTTCCTCTCTCTTACTCACATACAGTCTTCTTCCTATCGCACACCTTCTCACAGCAGATCCTTCAACTCCGCCGCCACTATATTGAGTCACGACATCGCCTGACTCTGGCGAACGGTCCCGGAGGGCATTTCAGACGGACCAAGTGCCAACTGATACCTTGAGGCCGCATAGCCCAGCACACATCCACCAAGTGTCTTGTGTCGCGTCGCTTTAGAATTCCCTAGTTGGGACGCGACAGATCTAGCACGGATGTAGAAAAGGGAGAAAGACTGAAGCAGACATCGTGTCTAAAACAGTATCTCTCCGCTATGCTCCGGCTCAAAGCCCAGCGTCTGTAGCTTTCCATGGCGCTTCTTGTCGCCAACTTTTCGAGCCCCGTCTTCCTTCTTCTTCAGCTCAAACACTTCCTGGAACGACGCGCGCTGGATATGAGGGGGAATGTCATCTTCTTTGTCGAGATCCTGTAACCCGGAGAAGCAAGACACACCAATTAGCCAACTCCCCGCCCTAAACATGAATAGCGAAGAAGATGCATGGAAGGTTTGCGTACGATTTCACCCAGAAGCAAGACATTCTCACCCCGGACGAGAAATATACCTCGCGGGATATCGGCGTAGAGGTTGCCGGCATATAGACGTTCAATGGTATCCTGAAGGACAAGGTTTGCTGCAGCAGTCACATAGCAAGAGTCGCACAGTCAGATATATATCATCAACCGGTATTCATCTATCATGCGGCGCATACCGAACTGATCCCAGCTTCTCAAAACTCCGATCAACTTCCGCCCGTCTCGAAGGACTAGAACTAGCTTTTCTGGAAACCACTGTCAGGTTGCGCCCGTCTCCATTTGTGAGATAAGCCCATGGGGGCCAAGTGAACAGGTATAACGCACTATCTGTCAAATCCAACAGCTGAGCAGCGGTGGTGAACATCTGCGGCGGTAATTGCGGGGGACCTTGCGACATGGGTCCGAGCGTGTTGTTCTGCGGGGGAAAGCCCTGCGGCGCATTGCCATGGTGGGCACCGGCGGGGTTCTCATTCATTGGAAGGCGTTCCATATTTATGTCAGAGGCGGGCATAAAGCAGAAGGTCGGTGTATGTGGAAAGGCAGGTAGCCATTGCATTGCTGCTGCGGCCGGTTGAAGGAAGTCAGTGACGGGTTGGTGGGTGTTTGTTCTGTTTGTTTGCTGCTCGTCCAATCCGTCGATGGACAGACTAGACAAGTTGTTTCAATTGTGCGAATTATATTTTCCCTGTATTCGCTGAAAGATGTGGTATTAGGCGATTACTTAACTGGTAATTGATCTATAAGCTAGGGCAATGTGCATCACAGTTCTTCTTGTTGTACGCAATATCTATGGTGGAAAACCGGTGATGATGGCAGTATAGTGTCTCGGCTCGCGATAAGCCATTGATTCCGACTGACGATATTCGATGATTCTGCTCCGTTGAAATGAATATAGCCTCTGGGCAGGTCAGCGGAACGTTTATACCAGATCCCTATCTTCACCTGGTCCCGATCAGGCAAGATCGATCTAGTAGTCACAGCATCTTCCTGCCACTTCTGAGCAACATAGTACTACTAAGTATATAACCTCGCCTACTGTTTAACTTAGAGTACTACAGAGATCATGACACAGAATCTAGCTCATGGATATGTCTTGAAAATATAACTGTCAACTGCTATTGAAGACATTCGAACCCAACATTCCATCATAGTCCATATCATCCCTCATAATACCAGATTGTTTGCTTTTGATGTGATCGCTGATAATACACGACTCGATAAAACATATAAACGACATGCCAGAAGAGAACATGGCAATGAGCCTAGATGAGACAAAATGGACGATTGCATGTGCATGCAGGTGTAGAAGAAAACAAACTTATCGCAGCTAATTAAGCGACGCTAACCCCTCGACGCTGGTTACGCATCCTCTCCTCGCGTCGCCGACTATACGGGGCACAGTAGGGCTCATCGGAGGACCCGATGCTCGCACGAACTGGTTCCTGCGATTGATGGTACGCAGGGCTCGAAGGTGGCGGTGGGAGCTGCATCACTTTGAACTGATCTACGCTGATGATCCTCAGACCATACAGGTACTGCATCAATTCAAAGTCAGGCCGACTGCCGGCTAGAGTGTGCCCCTGCTGATAGTGGGCCACATCGACGTGGTCGAGCATTGCATCCCATGCTCTCGTTTCAGGGGTATCGGTAAACCGTTCCCCAGGACATAAGGGACAGCGCGCTGTCTTGGGAGGTTCGTGTGTGCGAAAGTGGCTGAAGACATGGAGTCTCCAGTCCTCGGCATTGTCGAACGTGATGTGACAGTCTAGGATATGGAACAAACAGATGTATGTATAGGGGGTGGTGCGATGGTCAGTGTGAGCCGGGACAATGAGGGCCCCGGTCCCATCATCCTCGAGAATCTCATGACCTGCGAGCCCGGACGCCCATCTTGTATCCAAGGATGCGCTTGACGAGGATGCAGGCGTCGAGGCAGTGTCGTTCGATAAAGAGGGGACAGCTGTTGACGGTGGCATTTTCGTTTCCCACAAGACGACACTTTCAGTCTGGCTCTATAAGACTAGAGCTTACTTTCCTCCTTCTTTCCTGTGGAGGGTCAAGAATCCAAATGCGCGCGCAGCTGAGACTGAACCAAGTTCCTGATCACCGCCGAGGCACGCCAGAAGCGCCCCGAGATGGGCAACAACGAAAAAGCGATCCCGTTCGAGAAAAGTGGTCGAGAAGAGCCTGTTTCCCACATGCTTAGTCTGTGTGCAGCTGAGGGAAGACACAGAGCCGGTCATGGCCGTGAAGCTTGTCACCATTCCCCTGCTTGAGAAGCGGGGGGGAGAAGATGAGGAACGGGAGCAAAGCAAGATTCCCCATGAGAAGAGAGGCCATTTCATTACCTTCTTTTATTATTTTTTTCTCCGATTTGATCAAAATAACCCATACATAGTCATTCAACGACGAAGCACCGGTGGATGAACCAGAGCATCACACAGCGACCAACCTTGCCAGGGAAGAGAAGGTGGAGGGCGGTTCAGCGACGGCCATGGTGGGTTTGAGGCTCCAGAGGGCACATGGCGGGGGAGGAAAATAAAAAGGGAAAAGTAGCGATGATGGACGAAGGATGGAGGAGAAAGCAGAGAGAGAACAAGGAGGGGAAAATCCCGGAAATGTCCGTCAACGATGATTAGTTGCTTGGGTCAGTAGTCAAATTCAACAAACCATAATCCACTACTAGTAGACTGCTAACTATGTATCAGCCAGCAAAGCCCATCCATCCAGCCCTGTCCGGGTTGTGGAGAGAAGAGGTGTGTCGAATACCATTCCGTGGATAAGACCAGCGACATGCCTCCACGACATCCACCACCCGCTTGCTTGGCTTGTTTGCTTTTTATTCTTTCCCTTCCCTCTGCTCTTCTCTTCTTCTCTGAAACTACCTACATTCCACTGACATATTTAGTAACATCTGCAACTGGGCAAACCGGACTGACTGACCACTCGAAACAGCTCACCACTTCCCCCAATCAGCACTGTCTGTCTATCTATCTATCAGTCTATGATCGGGGACCAGGGATGTGTCGATGGCATCATGTATATCTATCTCATTCTGACTGACGCAATCCCAGCAAGTTGTTAGTCCAGGCAGCCCCCCGCAAAACATCCCTGCATCGGACCACGCCGATAGCCAAAAGAAAGAAGAAATATCCTATCTATCATATTACTGGTATATACAGTAAAACCCCATACTATCATGCAAAAAAGGAAGGGAAAAAAATAAATTTATCAACCTCGACGTTTGAGGTAAACAAAGCCAAAAACACTAAGAACCAATTAACCGGAAGTTCGGCATGAGAAGTCAATCAAGTAAGTCCCCATGACTTGCGGATATCTATCTATCTATCTACCTAGGTACTCCCTGATCAGCCAAAAGTCTAAGTAGCTAAGGGATGAGAGATAACGTGAACCCGGCATTGCGAAAGAAAGAGGCTGGCTGCTGACCCTGCAGGTGAGGGATCATGCGCGACGACTCTTAAGTACTGACTGACGATCGGCGTCTATCTCGAGACACACACACACACGCACACACAGTGGGAGAGGAAGTGGGAGAGGGTCGGTGGGATCCAGTTTTTGATTCACATTACTCAGTACGTAAGTAAAGTACCCCGACTGCGTGCCGACTCCGACCCCGGGGGGGGAATGGTCTGGTCTCCGTCATTTTTAATTTATTTATCTACAGTAGTGCATCGGGGGGTGGACTCGTTCCATAGTAGGAGTACCATGTGATTTGAATCTGATTGGTTTCTGAATGGAATTTATTACATAGTAGTTCGTCCAAGATGGTAGTAGTTATGTTCCAATTTAAGGCTTTATTTGATTTATAGATGGTGATTCCTCTCATCCTGCTCGAGGTCTATGATCACATGTTTGAATGGAATGTCTTCTTAAGTGTGGAGGAAAGAAAAGAGTATATATGGAACCAGTGTGGTGTTTCTACACATGAATTTGATATAAAGGTCTGATGCCTCAGAAGAGAAGAGAGAGAAATAAGAAACAAGAGAGCTGATGAGCAATTTCGCTTGGTATAGGTTTAGGGAAGAGAAGGAGATGTTCCAGAGGAAGTCTGTGGGGAGAGTAAAAAAAAAAAGTATTTGGAGAGAAGAGCAAGGAGGATCAGAAGAGGGGACAAAAATAACAAATTCACAGGATATCCCGTCCATCTATCAGTAGAGACGCCTTGCAATAAAAAAAGAGTAAAAGGGAAAATAAATGTGAAAGATAAATCCAACAGAAGAGCTGAGGAAGAAAAACCACCCAATCACCCGACACCAATGATGCCCATGAACCATTGTAAATGCACAAGTCTATTCGGTCGTAGCGCGCATAAAAGAACTGCTGATTTTTTGAACCCAATTTTTACACAAACCAACGTGTGGCTGAAGAATGTTCGAACTAGAAGCGTTCTGCCAAGTCGCCACCGGCAACGGAATTCGCGGTGGACGAAGTGACCGACGAAAATCCACTACCGGGATTTAACATATCCTGAACGGCGACTTTTGGCACCTGAGGGACTGGCAGCTTGCGCTGTGTTCCGTCCGGTTTAGACATGATGTCCGAGATGCTGGGACCATGGTGACCCTGGGAAGGACTGTAGTAGTTGGGCCCTTCCGGTTGGGGTTCCATCGGAGCAAGAGCTGGTGTGTGGTGGAGCGACAAATGACGGATAGACGGCAAATGCAGATCGCTGGAGCCCAGGGGTCTCAACCGCGGTGAGTGAGCGGGAGTCGCCAAGGGAGTGTGATCGGGAGTGGGTGAGAGGGAGTCGTGGGAGAAGGTGGGAGAGGAAGGAGCAGTCGAGTTGGGAGAGTTGGGTCTTGAACGTTTCACACGGTGCGAATAACCGTCGTCGTCTTCATGTGAATGCGACCGGCTCATGTTGTGTGTGATCGCGTAAGCAGACAAGGAGGGCAGACGGCCACTTCCATGGTGGCGCGAGCTGAACAAATGGTGATTGCGTGGCCCTGCATGGAAGCTGAAGTGTTCGTCGCGTTCCACCTGCGACGCAGCAGTCGCCAGGAGGTTAATGTCCATGCCCGACGATGCCCGCTCGCCTTTGCGAGCATACGGGCCCAAGTTCGATCGCATGTGACTGGCGTAGTTGGAGAAGGAGTGAGGGGGAGAGATGTCGGGGGAGCCGACCTGCGACACAGGGGCCGACCGGGTCATTGGCTTGCTGGGAGGAGGCATCATAGCGCTGGCGGTGTTGGCCATGGCGTTGTCCTGCCCTGCAGCAGCTGCAGCGGCCGCAGCCAGATGCTGAGCCTTGTTGCTGCGCCTCGAGTTAGGGTTGTTGTGGATTCGCGAGTGGCGCGTAAGCTCGTCAGAACGACTGAAGCGCTTAGTGCAGCCGGGGAATTGACAGGCGTGCGGCTTTTCACCCGTGTGCGTGCGGATGTGTCTTGTCTGGTGCTCCAGACGGTGGAATGCGCGATCGCAGAGGGGGCACTTGTAGGGGCGGGGAAGATCCTGACGAACTTCTTCGGTCGCAGGCCGGGCACCCTTCATAAGCGGCGGAAGTAGGCTCACTGACGACGCCATGTTGGAGTTCGACTGTGTACTGGACGGAGTAGAAGGGGTCTTGGAGCTGTCCACAGGAGTGGAAGGGGTGGAATCAGTGGAATTGTTTTGAGGGTTCAGCAGATTTGAGAAATCTACTGAAGAGGCCGGTGGCGGCATGTGAAGCTTGTCCCAAGACCGACGAGGGTAAAAAGGTAGGACAGAGCCGGGTTTAAAAAGGACACGTTCGGAAGGGATGAGAAGCCGAGGCGATAGTGATGCACGTCGCGACCAGGGGTAGCTATATCGGCCAGTCGATCACCTCCCGCTAGCACCCCAGACCTAACCTTGGCAAGGAGAGATGATAGGAGGAAGACCGCAAGGGTAGTGAGGATCACAGGGCCCTGATGACGAACCAAGGCGAGGCGGTATTCAATTGTGAATTCAACCAAGGGCTGATAACGACGAATTCCCTTTCAATTATTGAAGGGATACGGAATGTGGTAGTTATGATAAGTGTTGGGTGAGCCGGAATCGGAAATGGACCCCGGGGTAATAAGTAGCGAGTCGGGCAAGGGTGATGTTGAGCAAATGGTCTCGAAAAGAGGGAGGGAGGAAGAAAACCTGGAGAAGATGATCTGGGGAGACGAAGATATAAGAAGAGAAGAAATCGGAAAGGGCGAAAAGATGAGGAATGGAGGGGAAGAAGAAGGAAACGGAATTCGGGGGAGGGGAGGGAAAAGAGGGCGAGTCGTAGAGGGGGTGGGTTATCGGAATCGGAGAGCAGAATGGGAACGCGAAGAAAAAAAAAAAAAAAAAAGAAAAAAAAAAGGAAAAAGAAAATTGAAAAAATCGAAAAAAAGATGGATAAAAAAAATTACGAAAAGGGAAATAAGAATAAAAAAAAAGGGATTTAAAAAAAAAATCGAAAAAAGAAAAGACTATGTACTTTGTGTGGGGATAAATATCGGGGGGGCAAAAAAAGCAGGAAAGGGAAAAAGAACGTGCTTGAACCAGATCGGCTGCTTTGCTTCTTGGGGCTTCAAACCGGTCAGTCAGCTTTCCCAGTCAGATGGAACCCAGTGCTTTGTAGTTATTTCATGCTCTTCTTATTCTTTTTATAATTTTCTTGACTTGATAGATGATTTTACAATCTTGGGTATCTACCGCTCTTACACACTCTCTCAGATCTTGTGTTCTCTGATGAATATGATCTCTTCAAAGTCCTTGAATTGCCAAATGGCAAACGGGTGTCTCCATCAGTTGCCTATCTCGGGGCTTCTTCCGTCTGGTTTTCGGGCCACGCACGGTGTGTTAAAAAAATTCCACTATTACTGACCGGGAAGAGAGGGTGTCAAAAAAGGTAAGGCGTGTTAAGAAAAAAAAAAGAATGTGGGGCGGACTAGAGTCGAGAGGGATTACGGAGTAGAAACTGGAACTGCAGAAGTGGCTGTGTGGTCTGGAGAAGTGCGTGCCCCGTATTGTTGGGTGTCGGTAAGGTAAAGCTGTAAGGCCCGGGAAGGGTCTCTGGGGTTGTGGTTATGTGTACGCACAGTATTGGGGTTGGTGGTGGTGGTAAGAATCCCTATCACGAACACGAACATCAGCAGCAGCAACCCGGTCCCAAACTTCGCACCGGCTATCGCGGATGATCTGGACAATCCTTCTCGATAGGCGACCGCGTAGATACCTTAGTTTCCCCATCGGGGTCGGTATGATGTTCACTCCGGTGGTGACCAAGCGCGGTTGATTACGCGATTTGTCTCGCCGGTCGGATAATGCGAGGCGAGAGGTAGACATTTTCCAAGATTCATCATTCCATGTGATAGCTACCCTACTTTAATGTGGTTGTTCATGCTCACTAGCTATCGGTCATTCGCACGGGAGGAATCCGAATCATCATGATCACCAGTGGGGGTGGGTGAAGTTATCTAGGTGGTAGGTAATTATGGTGTATTGATCTCGACCGAAAGCGTGATACGGTCAAGCGGAGGTGGAAGATCGATCCAATTCCTCTTCCTCCCTCTACTGTAGAAGGGGGGTGCGGCAGGCGCACACGAAAGGAATCCCTAGAATGATGCCATTTTGATGATTGTCAATGATGGAGGTATGAGGTGATGATGTGCCCGCGAATGCAAGACTTATTTCTGGTTGTGGTTTATAATTTGCTCGATTTATTCTTTCTACTTTTTTTTTTGATTTTTTATTTGAATTTTCGTAGTTTGTTTTTCTGGCCCTCATACGTGCGTATGTATTTTCCCCAACCTGTCTGGGGCATTACCGGGGAAAGATTTTGTTCGACAAGATCTTCAGGACCGCCCAGTCCAGACCAGCTGATCGACCATCATTCAGCATTGGTTGGGTACTGAGGGAAGTAGATAACCAGCAGGGGGAGACGAACTCACGTCGAATGAGAGCTCCGAAGTGACTTGAGGTGACGGGAGCGGTGATCATATACAGTGCAAAGCGAAGGACCTGGTAGGGCAGACCGTTGCGCTGAACCAAAAGTCATACGATGGGCGAGATCCAATACATCATCATCCCCATGGGACGAGTTATCTACTCCCATACTATTCCAACCTAATTTTGCATACCTCCGACTGTGTACCTAAATGAGGCTGCTGACGGTAACCACTGGATGGACTGGAGCACACGAAAAAGAGCCGGGATGACGTCCAACCTGTTGCGGGTGAGGGCAGACTGACCGTAGTCGGGGGAGTTTTCTCACTTTGTGGGGGAAGGACAGCATTGCATCAGCCTCATGACTCAGACGAATCATTGGCTCCGCCAACAACAACACTTCCCTCCAAAGGGGCGGCGAGGCGCAAGACGAGGCGAAACTCAGCTGGGCTTGTGCCCGGATAACAAACTGTACTTCCCCCAAAACACGACGATGACTGGACCGTGTCATCTCTGGATGGCATCCCTCCGCGGCTAGGCAAGGCTACGTGGGAATGGCCAGCTAAGAAGGTACCTGCCTAAGTATGTAGGTACCAGGTATGTATCAAGGACAACTCGGGAGGGATTACTGTTGGCACCACGATCGCATAATTATACCGGCTGTTAGACCCGTAGTCCCGAATGTATTTTCATTCCTATTTAACCGGCCCTGCTAGGACCCCCTCCGAAGCGCCCCTAAGAGTTATTCAGCATTAGTGTACTCCGTATAGGTAGTGTATACCGAGAAGAACTGATTCCCCTCAAACGCAACCCCTGGACTAGCGCTTAATTAGAATCTTCACCACCTCAGAGGACGCGCCGCCCTGCATCGTGTTTCATCAGTGTCAGGCACCCACGTCTTCGTCATGAGAGACAACATGGGGCCGCCAAATGAAAAAGGGGGTAAAGGTGAGACCGTAACTATGTGGGAGAGAACGAGGGCTCCGGTAAGCTCGGAAATTGAACTCCGCAATATCCCCAGGTCCACAACAATAGCTCTCTGTCTGCGCCCGGAATGTACTATTTCCTCCCCAGACAGATAGTCACCACCTCCGGTACTATCCACGCAGCTACTATCTACGTAGCATGGCTCTTCCAGGTTCAGATGGGGAAATCTCCATGCGGAGATTTTGCCACCGGCTGTGGAGTCTATACATATTAAATTAATCGACCGATGACATTGTGCGCTGAATTGCACGGTGCTATCTACCCGGGCAAAAAAAGGCCCAGGCGTCATGGGGATAAAGAAAGATACGGTCTCGGCAAGTCCAGCCAGCCAAGGGCTTCACGGACAGCCCTTTACGCGCTCACCATCGCTTCTAGGCCCAAAATAGGATTCCATACTCCGTAATTGGATAGTATCATATGCTCTCATATTTTGTTTTATTTCCTGATGAAATTTCATCATTTGGGGCTTTGCGACATCCTTATCTACGGTTACGCAAGGGTCGGGAGGGATAGATTGTATGTCACGGTGGTGAATGACAACATACATATCCGTTGCTAATGAATGAGTGAGCTCGAATTCGAGCAAGCTCACTAAAAGTGCTATGCGGAATATCCGAGTGGGAAATATTGTTTCAATGGAGAATCGAAGGAAGCGGGAAATATGCATCGAGCCGTCAGAACAGGCCGCTTAGTGGCAGATCAGATCACAGGCACTCACCTTCCCACCCCGCGGGGTCCGCGCCGACCGGGGACTAGTAGTAGTAGATTCAGCAAGATAGATAGATAGATAGATATCAGCTCGTTCCATTCTTGGAAATTGAATGTGTTAGTCTGCGGAGTCAAGTATGGGAATCAAGGTTCACAGCTGGGCATTGTCATCGGATAGGATGCAGCAGGGTCATGTATCCGGGCTGTGTGTAACACATGCCAGCTCCATGGGCTCCTCCAGCCCACATTGTTGTCACCCGCAAGAATCGAGGGTGATGCGATGCTGTTATCTCGAACCCTGACCAAGGGGGAGGAACCCGACGGATGAAACCCCCACCAGGGCGATATCGTGGTTTTGCTGCCAGCTCTGATAGGCTAGACTCGGCTGACGGCCCTTTTGCGATCAGCGGATATCGGATCGTGACCTTGAATGGTTCGTTTGTTTGGAGCCTGGAGAGTTTCCCCGGCACAGCGGGATCAGAGAGGAAGGCGTCGCGACCTGGCCGATCACTACTTAGAAATGAAAGGAGGGGAGAGTGACTAATGAGATTCTTCAGATAAGAAGAAAAACAAAAGTACTACCACTAGACTACTACTCCTATACACACAGGAAGATACACAAGTAGGTGCCGCCCGCTGCAGATACCATGGCAGAAGGTGGCATGGGACATGTTCTTCTCCGCCTAGAATTTGAGAGGGGATCCGGCCGTCACCCCCGCAGACACCAGAGTATCGACACCACACACAAACACACACACCATCTTCGAGCTCTTTTGGGTTGGCGTCTTTGATGAAGACAAAAAAGAAAAAGCCCCAGACTCGTTTCCTTATCTCTGCTGAATGATATTTGTGTATTGCACAAATTTTCATGTGGGGTGGGGACCTCCTGTCTGGTCAAACACAGAGACACACACACATACACATTTGGTGCCGGACCGATTGCCGGCACTTTGCCGGTCAGTGAATTAATCCCAAAGAAGGGGCGCCCAGCAATCACCCCACCATCTCCAGACTTGGGATGGTGGGACAAATGGGGAAAGAGAGGAATGAGGTTGGCACGCAGGTACCGCTGCCCTGTACGTAACCACCCCAACTAGCCGGAGCCACGTACGTTTCTCATCGCATTATTATTATTATGTTGATGATGATATTTATTATACTTTTTTCTATTATCATTTCTACTACTAATAATAATATCCCGGATAAGGAGGGGGAGAGGGTAACAACCTTTCATTTGTTCGGATACCACCCACCACACACTCACTGCCTGATCGTGATAGAAATGGAATCCCTCCTTGCCGTTTAATTGGGGGTTCGGATTATTGCCGCAAATCCTGGCCAGCCTGGCATGGCACCACCCTATTCACAACAAAGGGGACCTTTCACTTTCGTCCCGATGTGGCACTGTGGTGGCTGTACTGACCCTCTATCCCCGGTCCCTCCCCCAAGGCAGAATTTATCTGCCTGTCGTAATATATCATTGTCCTTACGAGCTGTCGCGGGCCACTAAGCAATTTGTTCGAGGGTTGGTAATGTTTAACAACCAACAACACCGGCCCTGATTTAACACCCATGTATGGCCGAGCATTGAGCCGTTGTGGTTAGTGATTTGTGCCAGGGAAAAAGGCTTCTTCTATCTCTCGGTCTTTCCAGTCTCCTCGCATCCGCTCTGCATGAAGCCCCAACGCACTATTGAATCAGACTGACGCTGATCATGGTGCGACAACCCTGACCCCAGAGATAGTCTAGAAGGGGGGATCCATTCTAGAGGACCCGGTAGAATCCCCGGGGCTCGGGGTATCAGCAGAACGAGCACATAAACCTGTTATCTCAGTGGCAAGCATTTTTGAGTTCCCTTTACCCCGTTCATCCATCCTTTGCAACTATTGTTCACTGTCTCCTCCGCTTTTTCAACTCCGAAAGACGGAAGATCTTCCCCGCGATCAACGCAGCCGGGGATCGACACTCAGATTTGGCCAGGCCTCTAACCGCAAAGGGACATCCCTGTCTCTAAGTCCGGTCACTGGCTCGGCTTCACGGCGCCATGATATGCTCTGAATTACTCTTTTAGGAGGGAGTACGACACGGATCTACCCTAGCCAAGCCTAACTGACCACTCGGTTGCAGATAACCCTCTCTGACCTCGTCCCGTCTGCAGTTTGTTGTCTTGATGAGAAATCTTGCGAGTCACGGGGTCACTACCACGGTAACTACCGGCGGCAACCGTCTCCGCAAACCCAAGAAATAGGAGTAGAAAAATAAGTCAATGAGTGTGAAAAAGAAGGCAGGGATTATTGAACCGAAAAAAACGACCCCCACTGTCCCGTCAAGTTCAAAGAGGATCATCGTAAGCGCCAATATCCTAGAAGCCGTTTATCCGCAAAGGATTGCGTTTCGCAGGAACTGTTCTCAGTTGCAGTTACTGCTTAATTGCTTAGAGGGGAATTGTGCTCCGTAACGACCCGCCAGTAGTTAACGAACCCCACTGTGAGATAATAATTTGCTTCATCTTTTACCAACCACAACTCACCCACCAACGATATAGCGCCTACCGATCTGGTGGGCGATTGTCTATCCCACTCGCCCAGCAGAAAATGGTCGGTGCATCCATTCTTTGGATTTGGGATCATCCTCTAGTCTGGTGCGGAGTACGGAGTATATCTCTGGCATAGCATGAATATCCGCTGCTACTAGCATCACGATCAACTTCCATCATTTTTTTTTACCGGATTTTACCCGTTTGGTTACATGGTGATCTTCAACATCATTTTTACTACTGTGAGACGAATTGTAGGGGCCTTGCATTGAGCCGAGTCCAGAACTCTGTCCAGGTGAGATCATCTTGTTGTACCTTTCTGAGGAGGCGGGGGTGAGGCCTCTCATTGATCAGGATGTTTTCCCTGCCGTTGCCTGACCTGTTGATTTGTGGGGTTATCATATGGTGTCAGACAACCGACCCACGTATGCACACCGGCTTCCCTTTTGTTGCACGAAAGAAATAAAAAAAAAACCATGAAAAGATTTATTTTTTGATTATCTGAACCCCTCATCACCTAATCTAGTTTGACAGAACATGAGAATTACCTCGACCTGTGATTGAAACATCGGGAGCATACCACGGGATACTAGGATTTCTGCACATTCGCCGAAATGCTACGCTTTGGGATCCCATTCCCTGCCCACTAGTCGCCGAGGGGCCGCCTGAAGAAAGGAAGCGCAGCAGTTACATGTGAGCGCATGGGCCGCAGAAAAAAGACAAATTCGAGACTTAGGCTGCGCAGCCTGTCAGTCTTAGTCTGCCTTGTCGTGCGGATCGTAAGTGTTTCACGAGGAACACTTGTACTACCACCAAACACTGGGGGAGCCAACCAGAATGAAGCTCCAAGCTTAAGAGGCAGATCTTATTATCAATATCAATGATACATTGCATGCGTTGCCGCCTACTGATTACTATTTTTTTCTTCTTTCCTCCTCATGATCACACCCGTCACTCATCAGTTCATCAGTCACCTCAATCCTTTCTGGTTTCTTGACTCTGGTTCCCCGTCAATGGCCGGTTGGGCATCCGGTTGCATGCAATGTGGGAATTACACCGCTTGTATGAAAATTCGATTACGTCTCAATAAAAAGGCTCCATAAGGAGGAAGAGGTAATTCTACCAACCTATCCACTGGTCTCCGCAGGAAGGGGAAAATCCTCTCGGCCATTCATGTTGATGCGATGAACTAATATCCACGGCAACCAACCCCAAGTCATGACGTGTAGAGACAGGAATGTTAGCAATAATACTACTTACCATCCTGGATAGCCTGATTTCGTCAATCCCCCAAGTCGGGTAAGCCGCCAGGTAGATCTTTTGTCACCAAACTGATGTACCCGAGAGAGCCCTAAAGGACCAACCACACAGTGAGTTGCGCCCTGGGCGTTTTCAGGGCTCATGAGAGATAAGGCAACAAGTCACCCGAGCAAGAAGGTAAGGTATGCAGATGGTTGCAACTTCTTTTTTCAGATGACCATAGCTAGCCAAGAAGGATGTCCTAGGATACTGCTTCCTACCACTTACTACTGCTCGCTCACCACCACACACACAACTGAAGGCGACATCAGAATGCTTGGCGGCTATGTGCGGGGGTGGAGGGACTCTGGGGAATCTCCAGATTGACTATCGCTCATGGTCATTCGTTCAACCAGAAACCTAGCAATTTACGACCCCTCAGCCAATGAGAATCTCCCGTCAGCAAAAAAAGAAAACGATAATTAATTACTACTAGTAGCATGAAGGGTGGATGCTAATCAATCTACCAAGTGTGGTGTGCATGAGATGCTTATCAGGAAAACTGAGATGATCTAGTGTAACACGGAGCTGGGAAGGGGGTGGTGGGAGGAGGAGCTGCCTGCCCTAGCTAATAGCTATCCTGCTAGGTCCGGCGTTTCTCTTTCTCCTGGTGTATTGCAATTACCATACGACTGGCACTGATTGCGGTCGAGGTGCAAATCCCACGGCCTAACTGTGCTAACCACACGCACCCAAGGAAGGCGCGCGCCCTCCCCCCTCCCCACAAGGCGCCAAGTTCAGCGATCCGGGGATCCACAAGCTTCTGGAACGGGGGCATCTCAACCAATCATATCATAGGGGCCGTATCACGGTGATATCGCCGATTCACAGGCTTCACAGCCGCTGCCCCCAGGTTATGCGGGGCCGCGCTTCCGGAATCCGGACGCTTCTACTTTAGTAAAGACGGTACCGGCCATGTTACTGTATGGGGGGTTGTGTCCTGTAATGGGTGGTGTGGTTGGAAAGAAAAAAGTTGCTTCCTTGTTGTCATTGGTTCTCATGAAAGAATGTGAGTTTTTCTTATCTGACAGCATTCGCTTTGAACTTCTATTCCTACTCCTACATATACGACGTCTCTAATCCCATAAGCAGGGAAACAGGGACAGGGACTGATAGCGCGCGCGTAACCCAATCCCCAAGGTCCTTGATTCCTTACGTCACCATATTTTGCGGCCGCGTAGTAGTGCGGTCTTGACCGGGGTATAGCCAAGTGGCCAATATGTATGGAGTATAGATGAATGAATGAATGGGATTTACCCCGAAGTTATCCCTCCCCAGGGAACGAACCGCTATCCGCTAAACCCAACACTAACCTTATGTCGTTTCCCTTTTTCCCCCTTCTTCCCGATCACACCATCCAGCCCGTTTCTGCACGAATGCCTGTTCCCCCTCTCCCGTCTTCGACATGGATTCTACTACTCTTACTCCGCAGTAACTTTTCTTCAATCTATTTAATCAACCAATAATTGAGCAAGTTACTCTGTAGACCGTTGCAACCCGGGGGCCAGACAGACAGGCAGGCAGAAAAAGAGGGGAGAAAAGCCGGGGGATGTACGGAGTAATTTGTTTTTATTTCTCCTAACGGTCGCTTTGCGCGCGCGCGCCGTTAGCTATCTACTTACGGACGGCTCCTACGCTATGCTACTTATCTCGTGTTGTGATGACACGTCGCCTGTAAGCAAAGCGGGAATTGGGGAAGGTACGGCGAGCGCCGCCGCCGCCGCCGACGCCCTGGTGTGGCGCTTTCACTATTCTTTCTTTCAGCCCTTGAAATATAGTTTACCTAGTATACTACTATCTTAGTATAGTATACAGAAGTAGGAGATAAGCTGGCTGCTTACTTCCTTGCTTTGCTTGATTACACAGGATAAGGAGTGAGCATATGAGACCATCATCACTCGGTCGGGTAATTGTCAGTACTCCGTACCTGAATCTAAATCCTTCACTAAGTTAATAGTAGGATTATTATCTACCCCGTGTCTATAATTATAACCAGCAGTGCCCAGTGGCCAGTCCAAGCTCTAAGATAGTGTCTTCTATAGCTTCAATGATGATTTCCCTAAACCGGTAAAATATTAATGAGGATTGACCATTGCCAAGTGGTACGCTCCTCCCTTCCCTCAGGTCCTAGTTCACCTTAGTGAGGTACTAGTGTAGGTGGTGAAAAAGCTTGGGGCCGGAGGAAGGTAGCATGATGGTAGGCTTGAGATAAGGATTTCTTTTTCTTCGATTAGTTGGTTTTTGCACACTATGGGATGCAGGGTGGTGGTGGTGGTGCAATCGTAATCACCATGCCATTACTACATGATCCCTTCCCTTATTCTTGTCTATCAAGACCGTTGAATGTCTGAGGTATACAGAAGAGTACCACAGTAGGCAGACATACACACGGACCTAGTACTACGGAGTACATATTAATTAATATCAACTAGTTAGCTGCTTGCTTGCCCCTCTCTTCTCTTCCCCTCTCGAGCTATGACGACGATCTCGGGGGTGTGAGGAGAGGAGAAGAGAAGAGCAGAGGCTAGACTATGACCCCTTTCACATGATAACTAACTACAGTATGTATCGACATAGTCTAAGCCTGCAGGTTGCAGTTTTAGCTAGGTTACTTAACTTCACTTCTGCACGGCATATGTAGCTCACTCTGATGCTTTTTGTGTAGCTACTTAGCTGTATGTATCTATAGATGTAACAAAAGTGTAATTTTGTATTGTTGTTATTTTCCCCAGACCGCCACCACCTAATAACCTAATGAGATTAGTTAATACAGATGGGATGGGATAGCGGGGATAGATGCCTAGGATAGGAGGACAGCCAAGACAACACTTAAGACAATGAAAGGGGAATTGAATGATAACACTACGTATTCACCGATACTCTCACACTCCTTTGACCAGATAGTAGAATGGAACCATAATTTCTTTTCTTTTCAATACTAATAAGGGTGAGAAGAATACCAATGAGGAAAATTCCGAATCGGGAATGATGGGGTAGGAGGAGGAAAAAGTCACACCAGACGGAGACAGAGAGAGAGGACGGAGTCACGGAAGATGGCCGGGATTGCGTCATGAGAATGATTTGCAGCTAATCCAGGAGTCGAGACATGGGCCTGCCTTAGTGGCGGCGCACTGCCGCGTTTCTAGATGACAATCTCCCGCGTCTGGAGGACTGGATCAGGCTGTTGACTAACTACTAGTCTAGTAGCACACCATAACTGGACGAGGGTTGGTTGTTTGTGGGTTGTGGGCTACGGAGGGGAGGAGAGGACCGGAGATCCGGTGTATTAGATAATATCGGGTTCTAATCTGACTAGTTATGTTAGTTGATTCTGTTGGTTTGCTTGCTATCATCATATCGTACAGTTAGTTATGTAGGTGCAGCAGCAGCAGCAGCAGCTCAGCTCAGCTCATCTCAGCTCAGCCAGTCTAGTAGCTTTTGCCACGTCAGGGCAACTACCATATTCTTTCCGCTTCGCTTTGTTGGGGCGGGTGTGTACTGTCATTATTTCAGTCTCTCCCCCTGTTAGTGGTACTGGGTCCATTAGGGGCCTTTTTTTTTGTCTGCCTCTCTACTCCGTATACATGTGATGATTTGACTGGACTGGAGGAAAGGGAACCACTCGTGAAGAAATTTCTCGTAAAAAGAGAAAAAAAACCAACCAAGGCACCACTCACCGTCTTCAAATCCAGACAATTTACGAACAAGTTCCGGGACAGAACCTGCAAGAATGATACGGTGATCGGATGATTTCGGAAGAATTCCGGGCATTCTTCCCCTCTGGGGCCCGTCTTGCGACTAACGGGGCTGGCTGGATAGTTTATCAGGGCGGATTGCGGAGAAATTTCTTACCTAACTTGCCCCCTCCTCGCTCTCTCCAGATGGGCCGGAGCCACGGGCTGCCCCGAAAAGGGTACCTCGGTGAAGGTACCTTTGCGGTTAGGCGCTTTTTCCTGCCCTGCCATTCTTTCCCTTCTTTCCTCTTGTGACAAGACTGACGACCGACCTCTTCCTTCAAGGAGCTTGGTACTCCGTACCAAAGTAGATGCCTCCTACCTACCTAACTAACTAACCACACTAGATGAATTTTTTTCTTCCCTCTACGGGGTATCTCACCCCTCCTTCGCCTTTCCCAAGTTGACTGAAGCCCACCAACCACCCCTTCACTTTCCTTCCCCCCCTCTCCCCTCTAGTCTCTACCACTCCCTCTTCCCCCGGCTGAGGCAATTTTCCCATCCATCGGCATGTCCGTCCCGAGTCCTGGTCTTGCCGAGTCTATCCCGAATCCCGTGGTGGTCTGAGCCGTCCTGACTGGCGGCTTCCCTACTAGCCCTGATTTCTGGGGGTTGATTTCCGGTGGACGGAGTACAATACTCCCCCCCTCCTCCCTTAAGGGTCACATTAAACCGGTTACTGTTCCAGGCAATCATGTAACTATTCTGGAGCCGTGATGTGGCCAATTGACCGATAGCCCCATTGTTTTCCCTTTCCCCCTCCGTACGTCGGCATTTACTCCTTCCCGGTAGAATGTTTGCCCTGTCTATCAGTCTAATGCTTATCACGCGTTAAAGTTTTCAAGTATGGCTTCTAGTACAAAGTAGTTTTTTTCGGCCCCTGGCTAGTTACTCTGTATAGTCTGAGTTTCTCGCTTCTCGCAAAACTGGGGCTTCAGGGAATATAGCGGTGAGCAGAATTTTTCAGCCGGATGTCCCATCTTGACTCACAGGAAAGGGTTGCGAGAAAGAGATGTGTGCCCAACCCGGTTCCAGCCATTGGGGCTATCTTTTTTTCCTGTCCAGGGTTATACCGTCGTTATGTGCCATAATTGTGCGAGAGTGGATCCCTCTCCTCCCCCAAGTCACGACTGTCAGACCACCCCCCATCTACGGATACGGAGTAGTAGTACTATCGCTAGTAATCGGCTACTTTAGTCCTTAACCGCCGGATTCAGCTGTCACGTGGTTGGGGTCATGAGTTACTCCGGACGGAGGTGAAACCCTGACAGATACCCCAGGCACAGCCGTGTCAAATCCCGATGCCATCCCTGCTTGGGGTGATAAATGATATTCCGTCGAATCCGTTCAATTGATAGGCGGAATATTTCTATCCCCCTCTCCCAAGGGATTCCCCCATCCTATCATTGAGACTCGCTAACCCTCATTTTCACCCTCATTATTGATTAGTAGTACTAAGTAGTAGTAGTACTCCGTAGTAGCCTAGGTCAGGGTGCTTCATTTCGGCATATCCGGACACGTGCCGGGGTATTTTACCCTCGTTCGAGTACAGCTCACCAACCAACACATGCCAATTACTACTAGTAAATACTACCTTGTTGGTGCTCATAAGCGCTACGGGGAAAACTATGGTGTGAGAGGATAACAACAGCAACAACAACACGGGGCAGCAGGCACCCGTATTGCCATAAGCAGTAGGCATGATGCCATCCGATTGGGTGCTGGGATAATTGTCTCGAACGACCGAATCTGCCCATGGCGCAGCTCGATAGGCATGGAATTGTTCTAGTCCTATAGCCTTAACTCAGGGGTACAGTCCTGTCACGCCCCTAGACACGGGCGCTCAGACTACGCCCATGACGTCGGGTCTTGCAGTGCTTTGCTTTTCCAGCTCAGCTGGAGCTGTGTTTCTGCTGCCTGGCTGGGCTAGGACCCTGTGATGGTGGGAGGAGGAGGGGGTCTAGATAACACACGACCGACCAATCCATCTTCTTCTTTTCATGCTCTTGGTGATAGTAGCTGAGGGTCGCGGTTTCGTTGGGGGCTTCGCTGCTTTCGAATCAGGTAACAGCCATGGGCCGGTTAATATTGAGGGTGTAGCAACCATGAGTCCAGCCCTTTTGGATGCCGAGACCATCTACATACTTCAGACCCCTCCGGAGAATTGTGGTTCGCCATCATTCTAAGGCAGAAGCAGCTTTTGCACCCCACTGCCGGTGGGATAGACAATAAGTACTTACAATATCGTCTCTAATAGTGATGGACACGCCCCAGTGTTAGTGACATTATCATGAGTGGGTGTGATGGGGTAACTGAGGCTGCCTCCAACCTTGCTGTTTATGATGCAAGAACGTGTAAGGTTGTTTCCTCCTATATATGGAAGTAAATAACGTGTGGACATGTGATCTTGGTATAACACTTCTGGTCTAAATCGTGTCTCATTCTAAGGACTAAACTTCCCCCGTAAAAAGGTCCTTGAATATCTTGACAGACCCAAATATGTTAACAATCATCATATTCAATGCCTAGTGTTCGTGAATAATGAGTTGATACCATTCTTCATGCTGCATGATATCTGTGTTGTCTCACTTCCCACCACCGATACTTTGACTCTCCACACCCCGGAGACATGTCCGATATGGTGATATCAGGACATACTGAGCGTCATGACAGTCTCTTCGAATAAACAACCAGCCATGACCTGTCACTTCATTCATCTGACATATCCCATACCAACCACCACCATTCCTCTCTTCTCTTGCCTTATCTTCTCAAAGTATACTCGGTAATATTACCCGATGCGGTCGCGATGATGTCGCGCCTCGATATTCTGCCGCGTCTGCCCGCCTCCCGTCGGCCGAAGCAAAAGTCATTCAGGCATGCTTTTTCACCATTGCGATTAGTCTTGTGCTGTTGAGTGCAGTTCGTTCAGCTGTTGCCGGTGGCTATTCAATTCCTGTAACACAATTGTTCGGGGCTGCGACTGCCCCGGCTGCCCTTTTCCCACCACCCTCTTCTTTCCTCTTTTCTTTCTCTCCATCTCTCACGGCCATGGCTCCCCCGCGGCAGCGGACGACAGCCGCTCAGGATGACTCTCGCTCTGAAGGCTCCAGCACTGCAAGAGAGCATAAAACGACAACGGGCAAGTCTCGCAAGGGTGCTGGCGGAGCAGCTGCAGTGGCCGCTTTGAACAGTCGCGAGGCAAAAGCCTCTGCGATTTCTGCAAACGTCACCAGCGCTCCAGCTGGAGGCGAACAGGACAATTTACCAAAGGTACGCTGCAGTCGGGGTTAACCTGCTCTTTCTTGATTATAGATTCATTATCTTCTCCATATCACTTCTTTTCATACTGTGGTATCATATCTGACATGGATTGGATGTAGATCCCCTGGTCCGACATGCCCCTCGAACTCCTCCATTCCTATCGACATGCCTACAAACTGTCTACCCCAAGCGCGTTCGCCAGCGAATACTCCCACCTGCTACTCTCTCGTGGAATCGGACTCCGATCACCAACTTCTATCGCTGCCCAGAGAGCACACCTAGCCCGCCAGGACCAGACGACGAATGGCTCCCAATCGAGCGCATCCACATCCCGAAAAGCTCTGCAGAGCAATTCCTCCGCTCCGAATGGCGTCAGCACAAGACACAAAGACCGTCCTTCGAATAAAGGCCCAGATACAATTGATACCAAGGGTGCGCTGCATCACATAATTGGTCAGGAAAGGGTATGCAAGAACCAGCTTGCCGTAACAGTGCGCAAACACTTCAACAGCGCCGGTCTTGCGGAACAGGAAGCTATTGCGCGGTTCCTGTACAAAGTCCGTGAAGAAGGCAGAGGACGACACTTCCGTCTCAGGTTCCAGCCATAGTTCCTACACCACTCCTTCTATGACTTCGCCTCTCCCTTCTATCACCTACCTCCGAACCCGGAAGAATCATCCCGGACCTGCGGATAGCTCGTGAGCATAGCCTCGGTTCATTGTGCTTCTGGCCTTGAGCACAATCTTTGGCGGGCCCGGGTTTGAATCTGCCCCAGAACTCTACGCGCTCTATTCTACCTACTCTTCACCCTCGAAACATCCCTCCTTTCACCGGTCATCGGGCATCCTAGTTCCTTTACCTTTTCATGATACCCATTGGTGCTAACTCAGATAAGTACTTCTTTCTTACTCCTTTTGATTGTTTCCTCTGTTATTCTGGTCTGTCCCCGAGAGGTCATTGCTTGCTGTATGTTACCTTTGAGCCTTATCTGCTTCCAAGCTTCTGCCATGTCGGCTATATTGTATGCCGCATTAGACCTTCGCCATCAGTGCACTGCTCCTTTTCCTTCTTTGGCTCATATACTTGTACATTATCACTCGGAAATCGGAGATATCGGCGTTTTTATCTTCCTCATGTCTTTGTTTAGAGATCAATGGCAATAATATACCTACTCTGGTTCAGTCGTCCTTCTTCACTCGTACTGGTTTATACTATATATATCTCGGTAACCGTACTCGTATTACACCAAATACCAATCATTGAGACATGCATGACTAAATCATCCAATCGCCATTTTCTTCTCCCTCTGTCTTAGCACTTCACCTACACTCACTATATACATTTCACTCCATTCCATTCGACAGTTGGTCCTTCCACTTTCCCAAAAAACCCCCCGAACTGAACCACAGAACAACACAGGACAGGCAGCAGCAACAGCAAGAATAGATAAACCACTAATACTAGCTCAATAAATAAAAAGGAGGAGAAAAGAAGAGAGAAAAGGAAGACCAAATGACGACTGACAAGCACAAAGCAAACAACTCTTCAGAGAAAGTGGGGGTAGACTTGAAACAAGAAGAAGAAATACTGCGGGGAGAAAAACGCCAAAATGCATAACGTAAAAACGTGTCCATTCCATAATGAAAAGAATTCTATCATACTTTCATATCATGACCCTACCCTGCTTCCATTGCCAACTGTTCATACCATTCCATTCCATCCCCGTGGTTCTCATCCGTGCATGCATGGGAAGTTATTAGTTAGTTGATTTCATTTCCATGCATTCAGGCCAGCCCAGGGGTCATTGCCGGACGCGGATGTCGATTGGGGTTGAGACTGCGAGGGAGCTTTGTGGTGCTGGGATGTGCCGTAGGGTCTACTTTGTGCGTAGCCGCCAGGACCGGATGGGTATGGCCCCGTCGTGGAGGGGTAAGTGGTCTGCTGGGGACGGGGCGGCGGAGGAGGTGGAACATAGCCCTGGGGCATGAAGGAAGATGGAGCTGCTGGCGGGGTGGGCCCGGCGTAGCTGAATGGAGTAGGGGTGGACGTGTAGAAGTTAGGCGGGGGTGAGACGGCCGGAGGGATGGGATAGGCCATTGGGTTGTAGCCCTCTGAGAGAGGCGCTGCTGCGCCTTGTTGGAAGGTCTGTCCTGGGACGTAGGAAACGCCCGGTGCCTGGCCCATGTACTGTCCGTAGGGGGCAGGGGAATGGGAGATAGGGATGCCGTGCGGCTGTCCGCCGACATTGGGAGGATACCGTGGGGACATCTTCGGTGAAGATATGGCGGGGTTGGGATATGCGGGCGTCTGAATGGCAGGAGGAGGGGACTTGACCTTGGATGGCGCGGTTGTTGTGGAGGAAGGAGTAGACGATGTCTTGGGTTCCGTAGACAGGCGCTCCATTAGCTGTCGTAGCTTCTCGCGTTCGCGGTCTTCCTGCTCAGTGGCATTGCTTGCCTTCTCCCGCTCGATTTGGCCCAGTAGCTGGGCACCTTCGGATCGTCGGTTGTTGATAAAAGTCTCGACGTTCTTCTTCAGACTGTCTACGGTTTCGGTCATCTCCTTGTAAAAGGTCTGGGCCTGTGCCGTTCCCGACAAGAGACCATTGAATGCATCGTAAATCTTCTTGTATCGGGACATCACCGTGTTGCGTTGACGGGTGATGGTTTCGTACTTCGATTGCTCGGCACGCACTCGTTTGTCCTGCAGTAGATCACCGTATATCTTCGTAAGCTCCTTCATCAGCGAGGCCTGCTTGTGGTTGGCCTGGAGGAGTCGATTCTGATGCGGACGGAATTTCTCCAGCTCCGCTTCGAAAAGCTGACTTTCCTGTCCTGCAATGGTTTTCTTGTTGAGTATCAAAACGTTGGAGATGTCGTCGTTGTGAACCTGTTTGTGGGCCATTAGTCTTGCAGAGCAATGTGCTCAAGCTGTCACATGGACGTACCTTATCCTTCAGGTCTTTCAAGACCTGAGCCCGTTCTCTCTTGACCAGATTCAATTTTTTCAATATAGCCTCGACCCTTGCGATTTGCTCTGACACGGAAGAGCTGCCTTCGTCGTAGACATCATCAATCAAACTTCCTTCTGCCGTTGATGCGTAAGGGCTACCAAGCCCATTTTTACCCTTGCTCTGCTTGGAGCCAGCTTTGATCATGGCACGCTGGAAGAGTACTTCAGCCTCGTCTGTTTCACCTGCAGATCGCATCTCATCGAAGTCTGCCTCATACTGCCGCAATGTAGACAAGAGTTGAGAGTCGCTGGCACTTGCTTCATTGATGGTGTCTCGGTAGGTTCGAATGTCGCCGCGTAGTGTAGTGTTTAGCCTGGCGCTGGGCTGCTGGCTCCAGTCCGCTCCGTATTTGGAGCGCATCTTTTCGCATACACTCTCCTCCAGGTCCAATTGCTTGGAGCACTGGTCTAGCTGCGCGAGAATCTCCACCTTGCGATCCTGTAGCCCATCAAAGGCCTTGATAAATGGTTGATGACCCGCGAGCTCCTGGCACCATCGTCGAAATTCATCATCCACAGTCACCTCCTGGTCCATCCCGCCTTTGAGGATATTCAGGCTGCCCGGAAGTTTCAGATAATCAAGACTGGCAGCCATTTCCCCATTTGCTGTCTCAACTTTCTCCGTTTCCGCACGGATCAGCTTGGCTTTCTCTTCATCATAGAGACTGGCCGTTTCTGTGACAGACATGGGCACCAGCTTCTGGAAGATATCTGGGCCGATTATACGTTGAATATCTTGGCCTTGATAGAGCTCGCTGACAGGAATTGCCTTTGCTGCAGGCAGCTTCGCAACAGCTGACAAACCCGCCTCACTGGGAATGGGTTGGTGATAGATAAAGTCGTTGTCCTTCATGAATACGGTAAGCTTGGCCTGGACATTGGCAAGATGATACTTGATGATATCGAGGAGATTCGTGCCCGATTCGGAGCTCAAATTGGCATTTGGAGAGACCGATGAGGGGAAGGACTTGGCCCATCCTAGTGCTGCTGTTGAATTCTTCTCTGCCAGCTGCAGCCGGGCAATGGCGACACCGTGTGATCCGCTTTCGCTGTCCGTCAAAGCTTGGTAGTAGGATGCCACAGAGGCCATGTGCGCCGCCTTGGCCTGCACGACGATTGTCCACACTTTGTCAAAAACTCCCTTTACGAACTCCTGCATTCCCTCGGCGGCCTGAGAGTACAGATAGGCGGACTGGCTTGCAAGTTTTGCGAGCAAACCGGCCTTCTTATTGTCCGCGATCTGCTTCTCCAGAAATACTTCTTGGCCTTGAGCGAGGGTGATGTTGATCAGAGCTTTGACAGTTTCCCGGTTTAAGTCGGTAGACGGCGCGTGGAGGAAATTCTCATTGATATATGTGAACATGCCAGCGGATGCCTGAAAAGAGTGATACGCGGTTTTGAGACCGGTATCTTCAGCGCGATTCTGGTTTGCCGCGTGGCATGACAGAACGGCGGAGATGTTGAAGATGATCGATGCTTTCTCGAATGCCAAGGAGTATTGCGAAGTGGGCTTCTGGGTAAAGGCATCATACCTGTATGAGGGATTGAGGCATTAGCAGACTTGAATGATGTGGTAGGAACAGGAGAAGACAAGGGTTTGTAATACCAAGTGAAGGAGATCTTGATATGGTTCTCATCGACCGGAAACCTCAGGTCCAAGAGCTCCAGCTGTCCATAATACCGATACAACAGGTCGCGGCCTGTCGCACTATCCTTCCCCGCGCCCCTCATGTCCTGGCGCAAGCGGTTGAGGGTCGCGCATTCTGAACTGTAGCGATCGGGGTCTTCACCGTAGCTCTGACGGATGTAGTCCTTGAGGGGTCGAATCCAATCGATCTCGTTGGTCTGCTTGAGCGGACACGAAATCATGGGCGATTGAACCATCTTGTTGCTCGGGAGGAGCGGGGAGCTCCCATCCAAAGGCGGAGAGACAGGCGGGCCCGAGGTCGAGCAGGGAAGTCAGAGCAGGGCGGACAAGGGCGAAGTCGCAGTGTTTCGAGGGGGGAGAGTTTTCGGGGATGGCACTGTGGGGTAACGAAGGTAGGCGATGCTTAGTCGTTCAACCCTGCGAGAATTGTGGTGGCCGGTGGTGGTAAGGATTGATAGATAGATTAGTCGCAGGGTCACTAGCAAGTCTAGTCGTCCCCGAGGCAGCCTAACAGTAGTTCCGTCGTTAGCTCGACGATGATGACGGAAGTGGGGAGCCCAGCAACAGAGGAGCGAGGGAGGCGGGAGGGAATTGCGTGGTGTAGTTGCTCGGAGAGGAGATTAGGCTTTACTTGACAGGCTCCAATGAGAGACGAATGACGGATCTTACCTGCTGGGTGATAGAATCAGGCAGAAAGGAGTGGAGTGGAGTGGGAGTTGGTTGGTGGTGGTTGACTGAAGGTGATTGTGACGAGTTGCGGATGGGGGCGAGGAGTGTGCTGTGATGGGACGGATTCTAACCGCCGGCCGTGACGGCCAAAAAGGCAGCAATGTGGCATGCCTGAATCAATACTTTCTCTCACTTTCTAACTCCGACGCATTCTGCAATTTAGTCTCCACCAGTCAATGCTCTGGGATCCTTCTGACATTTGGACGATCGAAACTCTGAATTGATTACTTGTTTGGAGAAGAGAAGAGGAGAATGTCTTGGAGCGCTAACTCTAATCGTACACAACATACATACACACATCATCCTGAGAAAGTCTCTCTATAAACAACCCAACGTCACGAATGAAACAATTGAACGGATACAGGCGAATCGAATTATCCCAACATGCAGAATGGCACCAGAACCCCCAATCTCGCCGGCGCTATGATATTTTCCCGTAAACATAATTACACAGTAAGGAAACGAAGGTGTTTCGAAGGAGTATCCAGAAATTGTCGATTATACACATGTTCGTCGGGGTACTCCTTTTAGCTGGAGCCGGACTTCTTCTCATCGTCGGATTTGTTGCTGTCGCTGCGGTCCTTCTTGCCTGACTCGCTACCCGAGCCTTCCGATCCCGATTGTTTCGAGTGGTTCATGAGCTTGTGCCAGGCCGATTTAAGGAATCCCTCGTTCTTGGAAGAATCGGAGGTGGCGCCGGAGTCAGGAGTTGATCTGCTTGTCTGTCAGCAACACTGTAGAAGGAATCAAACCCAGGAACGGTGCAATACTCACCCATCCTTGGGGATGTCCATGATGCGTCTGGCCGTCTTGTCACCCATTTCATCCGCTAGAACCTCGAGGATTGTCCGCTGGTTGCTAGTCAAATACTTCGGCATGGCAACCTTGAACTCAACCTTCAAGTCACCGGTAGGAGTGAAGGCTCTAGAACGGCCACTGAGTTTCTTCATGCCCATGCCCGAGAGAGTAATGCGGTCACCCGTGCCGGTACCCGTTCCAACCTTGACCTTGACCTCGCCGTCCAAAGTCGGGACCGTCACCTCACCGCCAAGCAGAGCAGTGGTGAGAGGAATAGAGGCTGTGTAGAGAATATCGGAGCCGGAGCGGCTGAAGCGGTGATCGGGGGAGACCCGAATGGAGACGTACAAGTCACCACGCTGCGTACGGGAGCCAGGGGCTGCTGCGGTGCCCGTAGGAGGGGCGTCACCTTCTCCGGACACTCTCAGACGCATGCCATCCTCGACACCGCCGGGGATGTCGACCTGGACAGTCTTGCGATCTCTGACCACACCACTTCCTTTACACCCGCCACATTCGGATCCGCGGGGAACAGTCATTCCCGCACCTCCACAGGCATCGCAGGTAGCCGCAACTTGGAATCCTCCCTGCATGAAGTGTACCCGGGTGCCAGAACCGTTGCACTGACGGCATTGCGTTCGTTTAGCACCCTTCTTCAGTCCATCTCCATCACAGGTGCCACACTCCTTCAGGGGAGTGATGACTATATCCTTGGAAGTACCCTTCGCAGCTTCCATGAAGGAAATGTTGGTCTGAACCTCGATATCTTCGCCAACCAAGATCTCCTGGAACGGGCTTCGGCGTCCTCGACCCGCACGGCGAGCGCCGCCGGTAAATGCGCCGAACAAGTCTTCGAAGTTGATGTCACCCGAGAATCCTCCAGGGAATCCACCACCAAATCCTCCACCGAAGCCGTGGAAACCACCGGCGCCGGCAAATGGGTTACCGCCACTGGGATCGAAGCCGCCGTTCTGGTCAAAAGCAGCTGAGCCGAATCGGTCGAAATTCTCGCGCTTCTTCGGATCGGATAGAAGTTCGTAGGCCGACTGAGCTTCCGCAAACTTTTCCTTGGCGCCAGGGTCTTTGTTGGTATCCGGGTGGTATTTCTTGGCCATTCCATAGTAAGCTTTCTTGATGTCGCCTGCAGAAGCACCCTTGTCGACTCCTAAAACTTTATACGGGTCAGACATGGCTCCAAGAGGAGCGGTCGTATGGAAAACCTGCGGGCGGGAATGGGAACTTAGTCACAGCCCGGACATCTCTCCATGGGATATTGTAGATAATACCTACCCTTGACGACAGGAATGCCGGACTGTTCTTGCTACGAACACCATCCCGCAGGCGCTGGCTTGTTGGAGAAGCAGCCGACACATGATAAGTCCGAACTGTGGTGGATGATCGGACACTGGCGGCCGGGTTCTGCTTGGAGCATTGTCGCGAAGTCCGCAGTAAACGAGCGGGAATAGCCGCGGCTTTGGGCATTGCGGCGGAAGCAGCACTCATCGTGAGTAGCAGAGGAGCATCCAACGGGAAGATAAAGAGAGACGATGAGAAAGGGAACGAAGGAGAAGGGCAGAGAAGCGAGATTTGGAAACCGACGAAGCTGATTCGAGCAGAAGCCGGCGACCTTTTAGTTTTGAGACTCGCTCGACCGCCTCCTGATGGGGAAGACGCTTGGAAGCTTCGAGTCGCTCGCCTCGAAAAAGTTTCCCGACCGGAACATCGTTAGTCCGCGGACTGCGATGATGAAAGCCTGCTTCGGTAATCAAGCACTCGACCGACTTGACCGAAGTGAACTGATCTCCCCCTCGACCTCATTGTTCCCATTGAGCCATCACCTTCCTCTCCTTTAGTCTTCGTTGGGATTTCTCTTTCAGTAAGCTTCCGAGCTACTGGCTTGTATTATATTTATTCTCCATCCCTCTCCTTCCCACTCACCTGCCTCTTTGCCGCCTCGTTTCCATCCGCATCTACATTAGTAAAGCTACTAGCATGCTCCGCGGCCAGACTCTCCCCTGGAGAGCCGCGCTCCAACAAGTCTCGCGTCCTTTCATCCCTCGACCTCTACTTGCTCCCTCAAGATACAATGTCACCGCCCGATCGATACTAAATGCGTCGCGACTTCACCGCTCCCTCCCGACCTCCCGCGCTTTCTCCTCGAGCTCCATCCGGCGGAGAGAGAAGCCCCCACCCGGCGACGAAAAGGACGACCCTGCTCAGAAGGAACAGAAAGACGCAAACGAAGAGAAGGATGTTGAACGTGCTCCAGACGCCCGACGCAAGGCCGCTGATCCCTCTGGCAAGCAGGGATCGTCACACGAACCCGGAGCTCCGACATCGGGCTTTGCACGGCGGAAGGAGAAGGCGGGCGCGGACAAGGAGCAACGTGGCCTGGAGGAAGACTCGAAGAAGGATGGTAATGCAGTAGAAGGCAAGGGGAACTCCTCTGATACCCCATCCCCTATACCTGTCAATGGTGGCTCCGACTCGAGGCCTAGTGGCGCGAATAATGGTGGCAACGAGGATGGCGGCAAGAAGGGCAAGAAGGGCTCCGGCGAGAAGGCCTTGCAGAAGCCATCGGTTCCCGAAGTGTATCCTCAGGTGATGGCAATTCCGATCGCTAAGCGACCGTTATTCCCGGGCTTCTACAAAGCAATCACCATCCGAGACCCGAATGTAGCCGCCGCCATACAAGACATGATGAAGCGGGGACAACCCTACGTGGGTGCCTTCTTGTTCAAGGATGAGAATGCAGATGGCGATGTGATTGAGAACCTCGATGATGTCTATGATGTTGGTGTCTTTGCTCAGATCACTGCCGCATACCCTCTCCGGGGCGAAGCGAGTGGGGTCACCGCCGTTCTCTATCCTCACCGTCGTATCAAGGTCTCTTCGCTGCTTCCGCCTAGCGATGCTGCCAAGGCTGGTACAACTGATGAGAAGACATCGGAACGCCGTGGAGATGTTGTTGCCAGTTTTGAGGAGGGCACTGCCGAACTCGCTCCTAAGGACCATTATGAACCCACTTCTTTCCTGCGGAAGTATCCCGTCAGCTTGGTCAATGTGGAGAACCTTGCGGAGGAACCCTACGATAAGAAGAGTGCTATCATCCGCGCTGTCACCAGTGAAATTGTCAACGTTTGCAAGGAAATCGCGAGCCTGAACCCGTTGTTCCGCGACCAGATTTCTGCGTTCTACACCGATCAGTTCCCCGGTAATTTGAGCGACGAGCCTGCCAAGTTGGCGGACTTTGCCGCCGCCGTCTCTGCAGGAGAGCTCAACGAAATGCAAGAAGTCTTGGAATTGATGAACATTGAGGAGCGACTTCCCAAGGCCTTGGTGGTGCTGAAGAAGGAGCTTATGAACGCGCAACTCCAATCCAAGATCTCCAAGGACGTGGAAGCTAAGATTCAGAAGCGACAGCGTGAATACTGGTTGATGGAACAGATGAAGGGCATCAAACGGGAGTTGGGCATTGAGTCCGATGGCAAAGATAAGTTGGTCGAGAAGTTCAAGGAGAAGGCAGAGAAGCTTGCTATGCCGGACGCCGTCAAGAAGGTGTTCGACGAGGAGCTCAACAAGTTGGCCCACCTGGAGCCTGCTGCCTCTGAGTTTAATGTCACCCGCAACTACCTGGACTGGCTGACTCAGATCCCTTGGGGACAGAAGAGCGTGGAGAACTTCGGTATTCAGCATGCGGTGAAGGTCCTGGATGAAGACCATTATGGTCTCAAGGATGTCAAAGACCGTATTCTGGAGTTCATCGCTGTGGGCAAGCTGCGTGGTACCGTTGAGGGCAAGATCCTATGTCTGGTCGGACCGCCTGGTGTGGGAAAGACCAGTATTGGAAAGTCCATCGCACGGGCATTGAACAGACAGTATTACCGCTTCTCCGTTGGAGGCTTGACCGACGTCGCCGAGATCAAGGGACACCGTAGGACCTATGTGGGTGCTCTTCCTGGACGCATCATCCAGGCTCTCAAGAAGTGCCAGACCGAGAACCCCCTTATTCTGATCGACGAAATCGACAAGATTGGCCGCGGGCACCAGGGAGACCCGTCTTCTGCGCTGCTTGAGTTGCTTGACCCCGAACAGAATTCGTCGTTCCTGGACCACTACATGGATGTTCCGGTGGATCTCTCCAAGGTTCTCTTCGTTTGCACTGCAAACGTGACTGACACGATTCCTCGGCCACTCTTGGACCGAATGGAGCTCATCGAGTTGTCGGGATATGTTGCCGATGAGAAGATGGCCATCGCTCAGCGGTATCTCGCCCCTGCTGCTCGGGAGCTTACCGGTCTGAAGGAGGTTGATGTTAATTTGACGGAGGAAGCCGTTGAGGAACTCATCAAGTCCTACTGCCGTGAAAGTGGTGTTCGGAACCTGAAGAAGCAAATCGAGAAAGTTTATCGTAAGGCGGCATACAAGATCGTTCGGGATCTCGGCGAAGATGTGCTCGCAGAAGAGAAGGCTCTGACAGATGAGGGTAAGGCCGTCCAGGAGGAGTCGCAGAAGGAGACTGAATCTCCCGACTCAAAATCTCCTGTCGACCCGGAGAAGTCCACGACGGAAACGCCTCGCGTTGCACTGAAGGTTCCGGAAAGTGTGCAGCTCAGTATCGGCAAAGACAGCCTTACTGACTATGTTGGACCTCCCATCTTCACAGCTGACCGCCTCTACGACACCTTCCCGCCTGGCGTGACCATGGGACTTGCCTGGACTAGCATGGGAGGTGCTGCTCTGTACGTCGAATCGATCCTGGAGAACGCCTTGACGCCTCAGTCCCGACCGGGTATCGACATCACCGGTAACCTGCAGAACGTGATGAAAGAATCTAGCCAAATTGCCTACTCATTTGCCAAGTCGGTCATGGCGAAGCAGTTCCCTGAGAATCGATTCTTTGAGAAGGCTAAGCTGCACATGCATTGCCCCGAGGGTGCCGTACCCAAGGACGGCCCCTCTGCTGGTATTACCATGGCAACATCTCTGCTGTCCCTGGCTTTGAACCACCCACTCGACCCGACCATCGCCATGACGGGAGAACTGACCGTGACCGGAAAAGTTTTGCGCATTGGAGGTTTGCGGGAGAAGACCGTTGCTGCTCGCCGTGCTGGTGCTAAGAAGATCGTTTTCCCCGCGGACAACATGTCCGACTGGCTGGAGCTGCCTGAGGTGAGTGGTGATTAACTGTTTGGGAGTGTCTGACAAAGCTAACTTGCAATCACAGAACATCAAGGAGGGCATCGAGGGCCATGCAGTAGGCTGGTACTCTGAGGTGTTCGATCTCCTCTTTACCGACTTGGACAAGGGTGCTGCCAATCACGTCTGGCAGAAACAGCTGGCTGAGAAGCCTGAGAAGAAATCCAACGAAGTAGAGGAAGACGAGTGAATTACGCCACCAGTCCTCACGCCTTGATGACATACTGTTCTCCAGCTCACGCCGGGGATTGTTTATTTTCTTTCTGGTCACGTGCAAGGCGTTATCCTGTGGAAAGCATGGTTCGGAGTTGTTTTCATTTTCTTGTCACTTTCCTTCTTTGGTTTAAAGATTCACTTCGGGGCAATTCGCCCTTCGCTTCGAGTTGTGGGCCCTACCACAACACTGGGTGGAAGTTGATGTTCGCCTAGACCGGCTGTTTAACAGTCTTGATACTGGACTATGACGAACTGCAATACTGAAGCCTCGCACTCACTCCGCTCTGAGAAAAGAAGATGTTTGGAATGGTTCATGAGACCGGCTGTGTATCCTTGTTGGATCATGTAATAAGCCGGTCTGAAGGAGAGGATAGAGCTCTGACTACAGTGTTGCCTGACGCTGTTGTCAGATTTGCTAATGGACAATATCACATCTTGTATATGTATATACCTAGGCTTTGTCTTTGTTTCTTGTAATAGAGGCTACGTTGCCCAAGTCCCGTTCCCTCCAAACAGCCAAACCATGGCTTGGCATCTATGCTCCCGTCCAGCTTAGGTGTAAGATTGCCTCTTCACCTCACAGAAATCTGTAACCAAAGGTGAATGCCACTCAGTATGATCTACTGGCCCTGAAGAAGTGGTGCATTTTACTCGCTCTAAACGTCCTGTCAACCAAGCTGGTTCCGGATCTTTGTTTGCGCTCGTTGGTAGCCTTTCCAGATCATGGTGATATTGATGGAGACTTCATATCTATGCAGCATGTATATTTCCTAGATACCTACAATCATACCTAACAATCCTAGTATTCGAAGAAATGCAAAAGTATTTGTAATTCAACTCACATTCACGCGTCCTATTCGCTTAATGACACAGGAAACATCTCATTCACAGCGGCGTAAGTCACGGGATGTCTTTCTCTCAATCTATAAAGCGCCTTCAGGATCATTGTATGCTTTTCCGACTTCTCTCTCCTCTCCTTCCCGTCACTCACATACTCTGCACGCATCGTTGACCTGCGCCTTTCATTTATTGTCACCCAAAACAAAACAACCGCTACCCTCATTGTCAATCACGATGCAGTTCAATATCCTCTGCGTCTTGACCCTCCTTGTCGCCTTCGTGGCCTCCGCGGCTGTTCCTGAGGCCGCTCCCGATGTCACCAGCACATATGGAAGTATGCAGTTCGCCTTTCTTCTGATGCTGTTCATATAGAAAGACAAGATTGCTAACAAAGCTTTCTGTATAAGCCTGGTTCGATGTTGAAGACTTCGATGTGACTAATTTCAAATTGGCTACTCGCGATGAAGGTTTGTGCCTCTCTGTCTCTGTTGATATGGCATCCCTTTTTCAAACAGGCAATAACTAAACCCTTCCTCTGAACACAGACGAGTCCAATTCTGAATTGGCCAATGAAGATGACGACGGAACCATGGAAATTCAGGACAGAAGATGCCATCGTCGTTGCCGCGTTGACTCTCATTGCTGCCATACTGATCAATGCGCGCTGGGCTCCTGCATGGGGCCTGGAAGGTGGCCTTAAGTGTGATACATGCATCCTTGTCGACAGTATGCTTGGCGATATTCTGATTTTTGTTCAGTTATCTGGTGCATATCATGAGTTTGTGCTTGATGTATGGTGGTGAAGAAGCAAGCTCTAGGCAGTCGACATGGTTGTTTTCATCTCGGTGGTGTTGTGTTTTCTCTTCATATTTGCCAATCTTCTCAGCTTAGTCCATGATACTGAGTGGCTCTTCTGTTTCACTTATGTCACTTCAACTCTCATATCTCTTTTGTTGTCTATGAGCTGTTGTTTGCCGAACAGGGCAATCGTCACTGTGGACTGTTCTGTTGTCACCTGCTGCGCGGGACGACATAAGGAACGGACTATGGAGACTTGAGAGCCTAGTTCTAGCAATCTCCACGCTTGCATTTCACTTACTTGATAGCATTCTGGCAATCCTAATCATTTAACACTTACTCAAGAAGAATCTTGGCCGGCATGGCCCAGAATCCCCCTAGCATAACCCACTATATCCAACACCGGCACCAACACCGACATCTACCTTACGATCAAGTGTAGATATTGATCCGTCTGAAGGACTACTAACAGCGTACTATCACATATGCATATCCCGTATACTAACGACTAGGATTGTAGATATCGCACCAATGATCATGGAACCTTATCCGTCCTATAGGAGGAAGCTATCTATCCGACCTACATGTCACTACAACTGCTACTTACGTCCGGACTCGTCAAGACCCCCTTCTCCACTGGGTCCCCCAGGCTTTGCCCCGGATTGGATGCAAGCAGGGAGCTAGTTGGGAGAAAGACCACGACAACGGATCTGACAGGCTGGATGAAGATGGGAGTGTGTCATTCGGACTTCCTGGCTATGCCATCCGGGAATCTCCGCATGGGTCGGTTGTCTGGTTTAATCTGACTTTTTAGTAGATCAGCATGAGCGGTAGTAGTGATGATGAGAATGATGATGGTGATGATGTATGTCCCATTGCTGAGGTAATGAAGGACAAGAGTTCTCAAGATTTTATTCACGAAGTCATCATCTTAAAGTTCACTGAGGTCATCGATGAGACTATGAAATAGTATGTTTGGTCTATTATAACTGACTGTCTATTAGTATACACTGGGCTTTGGCACAGTTGTACAGAACATGCATACCATGTCAGTAGGCAGTGCAGCGGGCCTGCATACAGTCCCATCCCCATGCCATCATCTTCTCCGAAGCAGGCTCAACCACGACAACAACGGTCTGTCAATCTAGCAACTACTACTACCAGTACTAGTAACCGCAGTTATGCTGTTTACTGCCACAGGAGAAAAAAGGGGAGAGAAAAAAATGGTGATGTTTTACGCTACAAGGTGGAGGATAGTGATTGGTCGCATCATCCTGAGGTGTTGTTCCTTCGATCTGAATGGGAGCATCACTTTGAAAAAGCAAAGTTTAACCGCGGGGATAGCTACCTACTACAGACTAGGTAATATCTATGAGGACCCGAAGAGGGTCTTGGTGCAGCGATGAAGGATGTACTACTACTAGGAATGAGGTCCTCCAGGGACTTCTCACTTATCTTTGTTGGATTATTGGATCCAGGTGTACTACTTCACTTCGCGCCCCTCCCTCTTCCCTTGTCTTTCCCCTCCTCCTCCATGGCAACCTGGGTATGCACTTGATCGGGAGAGGGGGGGGGGACCTGGCAGACGATTGTTTGTACAGCGTGGCCTTGCCTGGTGTTGTTGTGTTTGCGGATCCAGCGATACGCTCGGGTAAACCAAAAAATTCACATCTGGGAGAGCCTAGTGATGAGGTGATGGGTGGATTTTTGGGGGAGAGGGGGGCTCCGTCGGTGATAGTGATGAGGGTTAGTAGGAGACGATCGGAGACGAAGACCCGGCCAGCTCAGTCGGAGAATAGATATTACTACTGTAGGCTACTGCTAAGGAGTACCAGAGTAGTAGGAGTAAGTTGGATCGAGGGGAGAAAGACAGGAACGAACGGGGAGGGCTTCGAGAAGAAAGTTGGGCTGTGCGTCTGCAGTAGTGGATGCCGTGAGATGAATCGAGTAGTGCTCCAGCCTGCTTGCTGTAAATTTGAAGAAATCAAGGCGTTATCCGAGGCGATAGCGATTATTGTAGAGTTTACAACTCGGTTCCCGGTTATTTCCTAACGGATGACTGTTTTGAGTTCCTTAGGAGGATTGATTCCCGATCGGAGTTCTTCTCCCCCAATATCTAACTGTCTCCCAACGGGAATATACGTACTACTAAGTTACCAAGTGACTCTCTGACTAACTAAACTAACTACGAACGATGCTCGTCTCATCTTTAATTATTCTTCCTACTTATCCATCAGGCACTCACTGTCAGGCCGCCGTGCATTTCCACTGGCTCAAAGCCGGCGGCTGTGATTGCGGTTCCAGATTCGCTGTCTCGCCATGGCCAGAGACCGACTAGACTCTCCATAGTAGACACAGCAGCGGATTAGTAGTATTTCGCATCATCCTTCGTGCTTTAGTCGGTTTGGGATTTCCATTGGTTTGAGTATTATTTTCCTACGCAAGGATCCGATTGTGCGTTCGCCGTTTCTTCCATCGGTCTTCCATTGGGCCTGTTCCATTCTGGCCCAGTCCTGCCAATCTCTTTTCCTCGTTTTCTCTCTTGCTCTCTCTCTCTCTCTCTCTATCACTCTCTTGGGACGACTAGTCTAACTCCGTACTTGCTTGCTATTCATCCCATCTCCATCCTCTCGCATCTTCCCTCTCTCACTCTCTCACTTTCACTCTCACTTTCTCTTTCTCGCCTCTTTCCACATCACTGCGTGTCTCGTGGGCGGTGAATTCACCAACACTTTCCTCGCCTCCTCTTCACCAACCTCTCCCAACTGGTCTCCATCTCCTCTCTACCACCCCATTTATGGATCAACTGATCGACTGGCTGCGATACTGATCCAATCCTCGGCCTCTCCTTTCCTGTTCCTTCAGCCCAACCAGCCTTGCAGCCGGGTGACACCTACTACCAATTTAGTCGGTCTACTATCGACTCATCCTCGCCCCCATTCGTCGTATTCCTCTTCCTCGTCATCCTTATTTGTCCTGCGTCTCTCTATGCTCTCTCTATCCCACTGCATTGTCACTCCCTCTGCCTTTGATCCCCATTAGTAGCAACCTGACAACAACAGTAACAACAACACCACCACCACCATTATCTCCACTTCCCCAGGTCATAAGAACAAGATCAAATTACATCCCCAACCATCATATCGTCACAGTGCGCCCAGTGGGACTCGGTTTGACTGGGCAAAGCAGTGCCTGGACAACACAAACTCGGGTTCTCACCGACTTCTTCAGGGAGATTCATTTCTATTTATTTATATCATTGAATCCGATTTTAAAGTTTTTTTTCCCTTTTATTTTTTTCTCTTTCGTTCACTTGATTTTTTTCTATTGCTTATTGGTCTACTTCAGCACAGTTTCTCATTTTTTGCTTTTTTGCTTTTGATTTCCTGCTTTCTTTTTCCTTTCCCCTTTGTTCGTCTCATTTACAGGGCTTAAATCTAATACCCATAATTATCTCTGTTATTTCCTTTTCCTCTTCGTCAGACCTGTGAGGACCTCGCACAGGGTTACAGTCACTGCTGACCACAAGGATATCGTCGCAATTCTTATGGACATCGCCATCCCATTACCCTCGGGTGTTCCAGTCGTTCTCCGTACGACAATTTAGCGACCGTGTCGATCCGTATGGCCATCTCCATTGCCGACAGTTCCTGTAGCCCGACGAGGTCGCTCGGTCTGTTGTTGGACCCGGAGAAGGTTGACCTTCCCCGTCCCAAGCAGAGCATGTGGCATCGCCTGGGCCTTCGCAGGTGGCTGGGCCGCGATGATCGAGATTTCTCCTCACATTCCCCCGCTGGCGACGCTGCCCCCACCGCAAATAAACCCAATTCTCCAGCCGCCCACAATGAGCATAATGGTAATCACAACAGTAACAACAACCATAACCCACCCCCCAGCGGCAAGAATAACAACAAACCGCACCACAGCCACAACAAACCCCACGACAATCTCAAGCGTCGCCTGTCCAGAAAGGTAGGAGTCGGTCTGCCGCGAGCCACTACCTTCAAACGACAGAATTCCGAGCGGCGAGACAATCTATCGCCCCTAGAACCCGAGCCCCGTCGTGCAGTGTCCGCCGACCGTCGTCGCGCCGTGAGCTCCCACCGGTCCAGATCCCCACCGCCCACCGTGGACCCCAGACTGTCCGCTCCCGAGGTTCAGTGGCGCGAAGACCCGAGCGAGACCACGGTCGAGCGACTGCCTGAAGCGAATGAGGACAGCGACTTTCTCTCGGAATGGAACCCCTGTCCTGACGTGGCGGAAGCTCCCGAGGAGCTACCGGACGATACGCTCGAGATGGAACTGGAAAAGCGTTGGATTTTGAACCTGAGCATGCATTTTCGGGATCGCTCGGAGCGAGAAAAGTTTTTCGTCACATATGCTGAGACTCCAACTCGGTGGCGGAGAGTCACTATATCTTGCGATTACCGTGGTGCGCCCCCGGATTCCTTGGAACAAGACCTGAGGGAATTGCGATATCAGCGAGACAAGTGTGCCCGAATCTACGAGTCGATCCGCGAGTCGCTGTCGGAGATTCAATTTTACGACACAGTCACGAATCTGAAACTAGAAACTCGAGACGGCCGCCTGCATGTGCACGTTACGGAGGATGTCAACGAAATCATTCCCTATCCGCCGGTTTCTTGCATCGGACATTTGCCACAAGCACGACTGGTCCCAGAGAACCAGCTTCATTTCGATGCGCATCTATCCGGCTTCGTCTACAACGTCCAGCTGGATGGCAAGGCATACATCAAGAAAGAGATTCCTGGACCCGATACAGTAGACGAGTTTCTGTATGAGATCAACGCGCTTCATGCCTTACAGGGCACCCCTTATGTTGTTAGAGTAGAGGGGATCGTGGTCGATGACTTGCAGCAGGTGGTCAAGGGGCTCCTCATAAGCTTTGCAGAGAAGGGAGCGTTGGTCGACATTCTCTATGAGAACCGTGGCATGATTGCCTGGGAGCGGCGGGAACGCTGGGCCAGGCAGATCGTCCACGGTCTTTGTGAGATCCACGAAGCCGGCTACGTACAAGGAGACTTTACGCTTTCCAATATTGTTGTGGATGCCGATGACAATGCCAAAATCATTGATATCAATCGCCGGGGCTGTCCGGTAGGATGGGAACCTCCTGAGATTGCGGCAAAAATCGAGAGTAACCAGCGAATATCGATGTATATCGGGGTGAAGACGGATCTGTTTCAGCTGGGCATGACACTGTGGGCTCTGGCAATGGAAGAAGATGAACCAGAACGACAGCCCCGTCCTCTAATGATTGGACCGGATGCACGGGTGCCGGACTACTACCGTAGGTTGGTCTCTATTTGTTTGAGTGCGTCCCCCCGACACCGGCTGTCGGCCAAGGAACTTCTGGGCTTCTTTCCCCGCAATATGTGGATGACCGAGCAGTCGTTTCCTCCGATACGTCCTGCCCAGACAGGCCTCGGCGTCGCCTTACAGAATGGGGCTTTGCCACTGTACGATCCTCGAGCGGCTTTTCTGTATCACCACACGCAGCCTGTTGTCAATGGGGCATCTTTCGACACTCAATTATCGTTGGATGATACATATTCATTACAGCATGATGGCAGTGACTTTGCTTCTTCTCCAGATCGAGAACAGTACATAATGTCCAGGGAGCAGCAAGCTGGGGTGACTAGGACTGCGGGCCACGAATTGCTCGAAAGGGAGCCACTACCTGCAGCCCAACACAGAGTGAACGCAGTCACATACTTACCAGTGGCCAATGGAGTATTGCCTCAGACAACTCTGAGAGACTCTCATGCAGTACACAATACCGATCCAAGTTACGTGGAGGACGAGCCTGACTTGGTCGCCAACGCCCATCCTCCTTATCGGCGAGGATCGATGGACGGTGCAGTTGATCGGATACCCGGTGAAGCGATTCATTTGCCGAGAGAACATGCCGGTGCTGGGGGCCACCTACCACCCTCATTGAATCGCTATTCATCCAACAATCTCTCGGAAATGGGAAGGTCCCAGGAATCTCCGATGTCATCAGCAGATACTCAATCCACGGATTTGTGCCCTGCTCACTTGACGGACCTGGGACAGGCCATGATTGACGACCAACATTGGCCGATGGAAGCGCCGTCGCGTTCTGTTTCCTCACTTCTTCACTCGATACTACCGATTAACCCTGCAGCCAATGTTGCCGACCAGAAAATGATAGACTCGGAAGCAGACCGGTTCTCCCATCTGAGTATGAAATCCACCCTGGGATATTCTCACCAGGGCCTTCAAGAACCCACGACCTATTTGAGCGATTCTCATTTACCTATCAACCCAGCATTTACTGAAAGCGCCATTGGCGTCCATATGACAGGAAGGGAGTGTTGAGCCATTGCAGGACGTGCCACTTGTTCATAGTAGTCACCCATGCCTCTAAAGTCATAAGGGACCGAACAGTGCAACCCCTGCGAATTTCCACTGTACAGTTAGTTCTTTTGAAGCGTTGCTCTACGGAGTATTCAGCGGGCATCACGGCGAATTCGGAGTTGGATGATTTCGGGGGTTGCTTTTCTTTCGTCTTTCTATTATCTTTGGTTTGATCTACTACACGCTGATCATCCCCCCAAAAGCCCTCATGCAGGTTTTCACTACTGCAGTTGCGGTTACAGTCTCGGGAACCCATATGCTACCAGAGCAGTGGGGATATTTCTGGACATGGCGTTTTGTTTTTCTGTTTTCTTGACTGCTTCTACCTACCTACCTACCCACTAACGACTTACGACCGGCTGGATATTGTGACTTTTTGACCTTGCGCCGTTCCCATATTGTACACTGGTTTGTTAATACTATTCTAAGCAGCAACTGTATTAATCTGAAAGGATGACCTATTTGATTCGGCCGCGAACGAAACGATGGGTACATAGATATTAACATCTAGCATCTCTTCCCATCTAAATCATATATCGTAGCAAGTAGTGTGCAACTGTAAAACTCTACTCTTCTCTTCGTACATACATTCATCATCATCGTTATCATCATCAACCATCCTCTAAATACCGACCCCCTCAACACCTAATCCACCCGCCCCAACCACTCCTCCAAACTCCTCTGCCACGCCCGCCCCCCATCACCACCCAACCCCCGACCAATCAAAACGATCTTACATTGCGTCTTCCCATCTGCGGGCTCCGAGTCCCTAATCTCAAAAACGTCCCGCACCGCCTGAATAATCTTCGTCGACCCATCACTCAGCACAAGGATGCCCTTTAACCGGTGGATATCGAATCCCGTAGGCCCGGATACCTCCGCTGCGAGCGGCATCGTGGAGTCCCACAGGACGGATTGAAGCCAGGTGTCGACACGGGCTACTTGGGCTGGGGTGATGGGGGGTGTGGTGAGAGCGATGGTTGAGATGGACTGTGAGTTGTGTTAAATAAATCCCTTCACCATACGTCTCTGAAACTGGAGGGGTAATACCGGATCCATATGACTATGTCCCTTCTGGGCGAAATCCAAGCTATCCAAATGATCATACGCATGCAGATCAAGCACCACGCCCTCTATCTTCGGCGTCTTGCTATGATCCGTGATGTGGATTTTAGCTGCGCTGTTGATGGCCGTCACGCGGTCTTGGACTATTGCTAGTTCGTCGGATGTTACTAGGTCTGCTTTGTTGATGATGATTACGTCCGCGTGCGAGATTTGCATGTGTGCCATGGAGAGGACGGGGCCGGTGTGGGTGTGCGTGTGGGAGTTCTCGGATTCAGCTTCTGCTCCGTGGCTGGAGACGGTTTCTTCGGGAGTGGGCTCGTCTAGTAGATGCAGGATGTTTTTGGCGTCGACGAGAGTGACGATTCCGTCCAGGTAGATGCTGCTTCCTAGGTTGTCGTCCACCCAGAAGATTGGGGCAATGTTTCCTGGGTCGGCAAGCCCGGTCGTTTCAAGCAGGATGTAGTCGAAGGCGCCGCGGCGTTCCATTAGGGATTCGATGGCCATGACGCCGTTGTCTCTGCTCTTGTATTAGTTGTGTGTGTGCTAGATAAGGGTGGGTGATGGGGATGTACTTGACAGAGCAGCAGATGCAGCCATTGCCAACTTCCATCCATTCGGTCACTTCTTGACCGTCTTGGTTGACGGTTAGCGGTTTCTCGATGTCGGTTGCTGGGTGGGTGTTAATTTGGGTTTGTTTATATAGTGGAAAGGGCGAGAATGTATGGGTTGTTTTCTCTTACAGTCCCCGAATTCTACATTATCTTAGCAATCTAATAGTTCTTGTTCTATGGAGTGGTGGTCACTCACCGTTCATGATCACGGCAATCTTCTTGCCATGCTTCTCGGTGAGGATATAGTTGAGGAGAGTGGTCTTGCCGGCTCCCAGATAGCCTGACACGAGGAAATGTTAGTTAGTGTGGATCTACGGGAGATTTTTCTTTTCTGCTGCTGGTCTACAATGAGATCGATCTGCATGTGTGGCATCACATCATACCAGTCACAAGCGTGATGGGCACGCGGTTCTGAGGCGGCGTGTCTAGTGACGTCGATGGCGGGGCCACATCGGGGGCGGTCGAGATGTCAACCAGCTGGGGTGGGGCATCGTCGTCGTCCATACTGAACGCTGTGTTTTTCAAGCTGGGGAGAAAGTTGACCGGAGTATAAACTAGAACAGTTAGGATGCAGATGAATGCTAAGATGGAGAAAGTCGGGGAATGACGTTACCCCAACAGGAACGCTAGGGCTTAGGGCACCGGCAGTCATTTGGCAGCAATGCAAACCAGACAATCGCGGCCAATCCCCATCCGGCCAGCTCCATCTTATCTCCTCATTTCAGCTCGTTGTTGATCCGCTCGTCTCCAATTCCTTCCGTCTCTCCTTTACATCCCTCCCGTTCTTTCTCTTCTTTATTTCTATTTTCACTCATTTGAGCCCTTTGCGAATCCTCTCGCTATGGCTACTGCGGGAGTCTCGCAGGCTACCTCTCCACGCCTGCCTAGTCCGCCCCCGTTTACGGAGGTCCAGATTGGGCCCAAGTCACCCTCGGTCGGCGAGTCTCTCGACCACGAGACGGAGCAATTGCTGGGCGCTTCACAAACCTCGGAGGATGGCTCTACCCGGAGGATTCGTCCGGGTACTAGAGCTGGGGATATGGCCGTTGGTCCGCCTCTGATTCCTCTCTCTCAGGTACGGTTTTTGTAAACAAGGCACAGTTGTCTCCGAGTCCTAGCTCCGCTGACCCAGCCACCCCTTTCTGCGATAGCTCGATTCCCCCTTCCAACTCCAAGAACACCTCAAGGCTCTCTACAACCATTACACACGGCCCGAAGGCACTGATACAGTAGTTCCTATCAGTCGGGATGTCGCCATGCAGCTCGCGGAACCTCCGGACGGCGTCGACCGGTCGCTATGGCTCTACGAACTGTGTCGCTTCCTGACCATGAAAGTCAACAACCTCATCATCGCCTTCTTCGCCGATTCCCCTCCCTGCTCCTCCCAGACTTGCCCCGAAATGCGTGCATCCGAATGGCAGTACCTCTGTGCCGTTCACGATCCGCCCAAATCCTGCTGCGCCATCGACTATTGCTGCCATACTCTCGATTGGGCCACGAATATCCTTACGTCGCCTAAATACTTTCCTAGCCGACTGACTCTCGGTTCGGAGACGGGCGGCGGCGCTCAGGCCAGCATGAGACATCTGACCAACATCTTCCGACGGCTGTATCGCATCTTTGCGCACGCCTGGTTCCAGCACCGAGAGGTGTTCTGGCAGGTAGAGGGACACGATGGGCTGTATATCTTCTTCAAGACGGTCTGCGACATGTACAGTCTCATTCCGGAAGATAATTACACGGTTCCTGCGGAGGCGGAGGGTGTCGATGTTCAGCAGCCGGCGGCGCCGGAGCACACGGACAATCGTCGGATGACGATCTTGCGCAAGGAGAACGAGCCGTTATCGCTGGAGAGTATTGAGCCGGCGTCGATCAGCACGGGAGCGACCACGAGGCGTCACAAGAATAGCCCGTCGATCAGCTCGAGCGTGACGACCATCAACGAGGGCGCCGAGGACGACGAGCAGCAGCCGCGGCAGCAGGCTGTAGCGGCGGCAACGGCTGCGGTTGCAGCTGCGAATGCCGCAGCGGCTGCTTCCTCGACGCCTGCCCCTGCCCCTACGCCTGCCCCTGCACCGAAGGAGGCCGAGCCAACGCCATCCGTCGAGGAGCAGCAGAGGCCGGAGCCGGAGCCGCAGCCGGAGCCGGAGCAATCCATCGAAGACAATGGATCTAAGGTCACCGTCTCAGAGGTCCACGCCGATGATGACGAAGCTACGCAGGACTCGACAGAGAAGCCGGAGGAGAAGTCAGAGGAAAAGCCAGAGACAGCCGAGGCCGAGGCCGAGGTCGAGCCCAAGACTGAGGTGGAAGCTGAGGCTGAAGAGCCGGCCAAACCTGAAGGCGAAGCGCCTGCAGAGGCGGAGGCGAAGCCCGAGGTAGAGGCAGAAGTAAAACAACCGAGCGAGCAAATTAGCGAACAGGAAGCGCCAGCGCAGGAAGCAGCGCAAGAGGCGTAGCGACGAGCAGATTCCTTTCTACTGATTTCTTTTTCTGATATGATACATGATGGCGTGTGTCGATACCACGGTTGTAATATGTGAGCATGTTTGTGAGGAGGGCTCTGATGTAATATACGAGCGAGTAAT